TCACTCACTCATTGACTGCGAAACAGCATCACAGAATATTTTACATTAGATGAGATCAAGTGATATTGCTGGTATTTGATATGGCATAAAGTTGAACGAGTAATAGAAATTCCAAATTACGCTGTTCTCTATGAGAGAAGATATACCTGTGGATGCTGCTCCTATGAACAAAATTATCTAGTCTCTTTTTCAGTCTTGCCTCAAAAATGACGTCAATAGTGGAAAATATACGAGGTAAGTTTGAACGCACGGTATCTAAGATAGATACAAAAAGTATGCTCCTAATTAGGAAAATATTTTTATCTCTACATGGAACGTCCTACATTTTATTACAGCTTTGGATAGGTCCTTTAAAACAGTAGTTTGACATATAGGGTTTGATTTTCAAATTAAGATACTGGACAATCAACTCATACCTCCACAACTGTAGCTACTGGATGTTTTGCGATAAAATTTTATTTTTATATATTTTACGTTTCCAGTTGCTTTGATAGATACAGGGTGCTAAAGTACGCAAAATCTACCGTTTCTCAATATTTTCAAATGGAACAACCTGTGTATTTTCACATTCCATAATTTCGCTTTTCACAGGTTTTTTGTTATATAAGATTTATAAGGGTTTGTATGAGTTTATTTTGAGTTACTAAAAATACAAGGACACCTTCTTGACTTCTCGAGAATTTTATAAGGTTGGGTTGGGACTGAGTTTATGATAACACGCCAATTCTAATGATCTACTGTTACCAGCTAAGTGCTAAATTTTATTTTGAAACGTACTGTAAACCCCCAGAAATCTTATATTAAAAAACGCTTGTGAAAAAGATAATCTTAGAATGTGAAAATAAACAGGGTGATCCATTTGGAAAATTTGAGAAATCGTTCATTTTGCGTCCTTGACGATCTTGTATAGACTATCAAGAAAACTATGTGGAGAAAAACTATGATATAAAATTTTAGCGTCGAAAATTTTGCTAGCTATGACATTTGAGGAAACAAAAATTGTCAAAGTTGAGCGTTTTGCTCAATAAATTGCCCCACATCTCAGCAATGTGGAAAGAAAAAACTACAGTATGTTAAATCAAATTGCTTCATTTGGAAGGACGTATCTAAATCTGCAACAAAATGAAGGTCTTTCCATCTGAAAAAATGTATGTTAGGGTCGCCCCGTAGTTATGAATCCTTGTAGAGATGAAACTATTTTCTGATTTTTTAGATACCATGCATAATAATGAGGCCCACACTAAAAACTCACTATGTATAATATTTCCAAAAATAATGAAGAAAACCTGAGCTAAGTATCACTGATTCCGTCAAATTACCGTATTTTAAACTTGATAGCATGTCAATTAACCTTAAGATAAATTTAATAATCAAATATTCTACAGCACTTTTGTAACTTTATAGAGGATATGAAAAAGTATGAAGTTTTATCAGTAAAATCAGGAATGAAAAAGTGTATGTCATTGAAGAATCTCATGCTGAAATAGCACCACATTTAATAGGCCAAGAGATATGGAGATTTTGTAAAAGGAAATCCTAAAATTTGGGCGACAGTAATTTTTTGTTTAAATGAAAAAGTTTAATTTCTGCAAAATGCCGGCAAATGCCTCAGAATTATTATGACGCCTATTTGAACTCTTCGTTAGGAAGCAATAATCTAACGATATCATAAAAAAACTATCGCCAAAATTGTATGATAAAATTAGCTATTTCCTGGCCTATAATGAACAATATATATTTAATATTTATCACTTAAGATGGCCATATACAAAATTACAACGATAAAAAAGTAATCACCAAAAAATAAAGAGAACAAGTGAAATAGTCAGCCCAGATTTGTTTCCATTCTTTGATGATAAAATGTGTTCCATATACTTGAAAATGACAAAATAGCTTGTATGAATAATCCTTGTATAAAAAAATTTTTGATGCACTAATCTATCAAAACATTTGATGCATTAATTTGTTTGCTTAAATTTATTGATGAAAAAGATACCTAAATGAATGGAGCACATTTTTATAGCTAATAATGGGAAAAAATTACTTAGAAATGATTTTCACACAAACTATGATAAGAGATAAGTGTTTCTTTGAAAACGCGGGTAAAATGTTGTGCATTTTTGAACAAATGCTGATTAGAAGGACTTTTCAAAAAGATAGTTTTAGAAATTACGCTGTTCTATAAAAATAGGTCTAACGTAATTTCTGAAACTTATACCAGTTCATCATCTGCAGATTCTTTTTTGATCAGATTAAGGGAGGATCAACAATGAATCTAGTTTTGCTTTGTCTATCCAAGAATATGCAGCACAATGCGGTCCAGCAGTTTTACTTTACTATAAAAGAATCTAAGGTATCAAAGGTTATTTGTTGCAGTTTTGACTTTGAACACACGTTTGTGCCGAGTATTAAGAAAAAAATTAGAAGAAAATTGGCTAGCAATTTGTGGCAAAACTTCTGAACTCATATGTTTCTCAAAGCATATTTTTTAGATACCTTGCCATGGGCGCCCGTAGGAATTTGTGAAAGTGTACCTACCCTAAACAAAATTTGAGATAGGTACAAAATCCTGAAACTTCTCAAAATGTAAATATGCAAAGTACCAGGCAAAAACATGGAAATGAAATGAAAATTCGTAAAGTTATAAGAATAGAAGAATAATTGTAGAGTCTCGTTTTAGTGCTGCAAGTTGTTCAAAACATTAACGCATAAAATGTGTAGACCGATTTTTGTGGGAAATCTTTTTATTCGACAACAAAGAATGAGAAAACGTGTTTTTTAGGATTCAATCGAAAGTTTTGGCCGGAACGAAAAAAACTCTTCATATTAAGATTTAGGTATTTATAAGACCTTCAAAATGAGATAAGTAAAAAGTTCCGATTAATAGCAAAAACGTTACGGCCGAAAACCGATACAAACTGCAGGTTTTGGCACTTATTGGTAATGCGACGATGGTTTCTCGCAGATATTTGAAATTCTTCAAATTCGTACAACAAAATTGGAGTAGAATAATTAATAATAATAATAATAATAATAATAATAATATGCCTTTATTTTACCTGGCGGGTGTATCAGCTAATAGCTGCTTTTGGTACCAACCAGGGCTACATAAGTTTAACAAACATAAAAAAAAAAAATCACAGATACAAAAAAATAATGATCAAGACATATAGTACGGAAAAGTGACAAATACAACATAATAGTGTGTAAAATGTGAAGACAGATTTAAATCACATTCACTCACACACTCACTGAAACAGAAATAATGAAAAAAAAAGACCACAACCAGACACTTAATGTAGAATCACAGCAGTTACAAGATGAAAGCTTAGTATAGAATTAGGTATTATCGAGAACAAATTGCTTTATTTTAACTTTAAAATTATTGTTACTCAAACTTTTCAGATCTGATGATAGACAGTTATAAAGGGAAGGCGCCATGTATGAGAAGCACTTTGTGAATTGTGTTGATTTATGGGGGGGCATATCGAGGGTATAACCTACAAAGCGTAAGTTCGCCGAGTGATGCTGACTTCTAAATGAGAGTTTGCTGCTCAGATATGCTGGATATTTGGTTAATAGGACTGTCTGTACTATGACCAACAAGTGTACAATCCATCTCTGACGCATCGTGAGCCACTTGACATCCTTAATGTATCTAGTAATGTGTTCCCTTCTCGGAACACCTAATGAATACCTGATACAACTATTTTGCACTTTTTGTATCCTATAAGCTTCCGACTGTGTCAGGCATGGACCATACACCGCATCAGCGTATTCGACTTTGCTGAGAATCAAAGAGTTACAAAGCTTGATCTTGGTTTGACTAGATAATACATGTTTATAACTGTAAATTGTCTTGAGCTTAGCATATGAATTTTGCACAACCCTGGAAACGTGATCGTGAAACGTGAGATGTTCATCCACTATTACTCCTAAATTTTTCACGGATTTTATATGAGGCAAGTCTCCACCTTCCAGGTGTAATTTTATCAAGTTACTATCGAAATTACTTTGTATGGACTTAATAGTTATGACAGCAGATTTGTTTGAATTGATAAGTAACCCGTGATCGTTATACCACTTTGCAACACGATCTAGATCACAAGACATTCTCCTGTTTGCCTCCAGGAAATCGAAAGGACGGTAAGACAAATACAGTTGGGTATCGTCAGCGTAAGACTGAATAGAACAATATTTAATGTCACGACTTAGATCGAACGTATACAAAGTAAACAAAATTGGGCCAAGTATGGAGCCCTGCGGTACCCCCTTCAAAATCGCACGCTTATCGGACATACAGCCGCCTACATTGACTAGCTGTGACCGCTCATGCAAGTAACTCCTAAACCACGTAACAGTACTATCAGAAAATCCAAGATAATGCAGCTTACCAAGAAGCAATTCATGATTGATAGAATCGAAAGCTTTGCTGAGATCAACTAGAATTGACGTTGTGACACAAGATTTATCCATAGCTCTGATATAGTCATCACATATGTTTATCAAAGTGGTAACCGTACTGTGACCTTTCCGAAACCCCGACTGAACATTTGGAATCAAACTGTTTTTATTTATGTGTCCTAGTATTTGCTCATAGACAATTCTTTCCAGAATTTTAGATAGCAATGGCAGTATACTAATAGGCCTGAAATCACCAGGTGCTATCGGATCATCAATTTTTGCAAGAGGTCTAACCATAGCGGCTTTCCATAGGCTCGGCACGACACCTTTTTCTAGTGAAAAATTTATAATGTGTGTTAATGCATCGATACAGTATGGAATTAGGGGAATCAAAAGATCTAAGTTTAGGCCATCCAGACCCTTTGCACATGACTTAATTTTAGAAAAAATATCCAAAACCCTTTCTTTAGTAACAAGTTTAAAGCTAAACGGTTGAACTGCAGGGGAAAGATGATTTGTGTTATAGAATGTCCGTAAGTAGTTATTAACCTTATTGACGGGAATAGAGTCTATGAAATAATCATTAAGCATGTCAGGCTGTATTGAACACCGGTTATCATTTTTAGAACCATGAACGCCAATGTTTTTGATAGCATTCCACCATTCTCGACTATTGTTGCTTTGTCTCAGTTTATATTCAATGTAAGCTTTCTTTTCCCTCCTGAAAGAGGCTGTGACAAGATTTCTAAGCTGTTTATAATATATCCATTTTGAAGCTATTATTTCACTGGGATACTTGTTCTTTACTGCTTTAATATATTGAGAATAAGCCTTATTTCGCAGTCGCATCATAAATTTGATATTAGTAGTAATCCAAGGATACCGTGCTTTGGTAATCTTTTTGGTTTTAAAAGGAGCACAAACGTTGAGTACCTTTTCAACCAATTCATAAAAATATCGCAACTTGTCTTCAATGCTTTCTAAATGGACTACATCTAACCAATAGAGAGACGATGCAACTTCTTTTAATAAGGAGTGATCGATGTTTCTTATGTCTCTAGTAAGTACATATTTCGGACACCTAACAATTTTTTTACATTCAATGCAGAAATATACCAAACTGTGGTCAGAAATTAAGTAGTTTTTGAGATTTTCTAATTGTTTGTCTCAAAACACCTGTCTTCCGGCCATCACTACTAGGTTATTGAGCAATATACAGGGCATTTTATAGCAAAATGCACGTGTTTACCTTGCCGATATGAATCGCAAACCATTCCGGAAGATAAACGTTATTTTTATGCGAAAAGTGATACGTTTCGTATTTGTGAGTAATTCGCAACATAGATGATAAACACATCCGGTTTGTTTCAAAATGTGTATGGTAACGTATGTTTTTCGAAAACCGTAGCGCATTTGTTCAAAAAAAAAACCACATTTTGTTGTGGTTATTTAGAAGAATGAATCCTACGGTTTTGAAGAATTTCAAGTAGTTGCGTGAAATTATCGTCGGCCATAACATTTTTGCTATCAGTAGGATCTTTTTACGTGTGGTATCATTTTTTAGGTCTCTTAAATACCTAAAAATCTTACATGAAAAGTTTTTTCGTTTCTGTCAACACTTTCGATTGAATCCAAAAAAGAAGTTTTCTCCTTCTTTGTTTGGCCACAAAAATGGGTGTACTCTGCATTTCCAATAGAAAACATTTCTGGGATTTGCGCTCATTGAAACATTTGATCGAACAATCTCTATATGAATTTTCATTAGAATTGACCACTGGTCAAATTCCAAAAGTTTTGTGCCTGGTACTTTGAGGTTCAACCAGATTCCAAGACCTGCGGGCGTCCATGTCTGTTGCCTAAAAAACTTCCCTTTATCCCTTCAAACTATACGATTATAACGCCCATATCTGCACTGGTCACGCTTTCAACAACTTGTCTCTTATCGCAGCAAAGACCTAAAAATCTATTCGGCAAAACATTCAAAGTCGCCACCTCGCGTCTGCTACAAGCACACCGTACCCGCGAACACAATGAAAAAATCTATGGAATAAATTAAAACAACCTAGGAGAACAACCTGCATTAATTGACCCTGGAGGCCATCCGGTGCATTTCCGCTATACACACCATCCTGTTGCTGACGACGCTGTCCTTTTTCAGGATCGCCGTAGCGCTGTCCGACAACGCGCTCTGATTCGACGAATCGTCGTAGCCGGAATCGGAGCTGCTATCGCTGTAAGCCTTCGTGGCTAAAGGCTCGGAAGGCTTCGCGCCGCTGAGCACTTGCAGCTTGCAGCTAGCTGCCTGCCGGAAACGGCACGGCTTCATGTAGCTAGGATCGACCATGATTTCGTTGTTCAGGCCTTTGAAAATTATACCGCAGCACACGGTCTCCCTGGAAAAGCGAATTTTGTTTGTTGATGTATAAAAGTTTTGCAATATAACTTAACAAACTAACACAGGAGGCTGTATGTTAGATGTTCATTCGTATTGACAGTGTGAAGTGCGGATTATGGCATCATGGTCACGCAGCGAGATAAGGGTAGTTTTACGTTATAACTTTACGCGTGGTTTAAGCATAGACCAGTGCTTAGAAGCAATGACGCTTGTATTAAAGAATGATTGTCCTTATCGTACGACTATACTAAGTGACATATAAATCCGGACACCCAGTTTAAATAAAAGTTGGTGAATGTATTTATCTTACTATAAATAACAAGTGAAAAAATTTTCAGCCTTATCAGTTGGACATTCCGGTTTTTATACTGCTTTTTTTTAATTCACTAACGCTCTAAAAATGAATATTTCAGCCGCAGTAAAGAATCAACGTTGGCGGATTTTGGTTCTTGACATCCTTTACGATCGGTTACGATGCCTAGAGTACGGAGACCTGTACGATTTCGTCAACTTAGTGAGTTTGATAGGGGCCGTATAGTGGGACTTCGGGAAGCTGGACTTTCTTTTCGGGCAATTGCAGTTAGAGTGCAAAGAAGTGTAGACACTGTGGTTAGGTGTTGTCAGGCATGGCTTCGAGAAGGCCGTACGCAAAGAGCAAGGGGCACTGGACGCCGCCGTAGAACAACAGACCGTGAAGATCGCCGCCTAAGATTATTGGCCTTAAGGGACCGTTTCTCCACTACCAGGTCCATTGCAAATGAATGGTTTGCAGAACACGGAAGACCTATTGGCATGCGAAGTGTTTACCGACGAATGAGAAGTTTTGGCTTGTTTTCATACCGGCCACACTGGGTCCTCCCTTTAACTCGAGAACACCGACGTAATCGCCTTGAATGGTGCAGAAAACGGTCACTCTGGGATCAGGAATGGAACAGTATTATCTTTAGTGACGAGTCTCGATTTTGTTTAGGCATGCACGATGGTCGTGCCAGGGTTAGAAGGCGACGTGGTGAAAGGAGGAATCCACAGTTTTTTGTTGAAAGACATGTTCATCACACTGTTGGAGTTATGGTTTGGGGTGCTATAGCTTATGGTTCCAGGTCACCTTTAATCTTCATCAGAGGTAACATGAACGCGCAGCGTTATATCCACGAAGTTCTAGAACCCCATCTTTTACGCTGGCAGATCCAACTTTCCAACAAGATAATGCCCGACCACATGTTGCAAGAGTCACCATAGACTTCTTTCAACATAATGATGTCACATTGTTACCATGGCCACCAAGATCTCCCGCCTTATCCCCAATTGAGCACGTGTGGGATATGATGGGTAGGAGATTGCTCAATTTGCAACGTCCTTCTCAGACTCTAGAAGCACTTCGAGAGGAGTTGGTGGTTGCCTGGAATGAGATACCACAGGAGGACATTGACCACCTGATCAGAAGCATGCCTAGGCGCGTTGGAGAATGCGTAGCACATGAGGGTGTATCCACACATTATTAAAGGTCAAAGGGCTTTAAAGCAGTGCAATCATTTTGAAATTTTTATCATTTACTTACTATGCTTCATTAAGTACTTATACAAAATTTTATTAAAATAAAACCATTTAAACTGGGTGTTCGGATTTATATGTCACTTAGTATATATTCAGATGGTACAGAAAATTCGAGAGGAAAGTAAGGCCGCGGGCGTCAATAACAGAGGAAAACATTACTGCCATTAGGAAAATGCTTGACGAAGACCGGAAAATGACATCAGCAATTCAGTCAATTCTGCATGACAATTTACACGTAAGGAAACGTGGGTGCCGCATAGAAAGCATGGCGTGGCGCTGCGTGGTTCAGGCCGCTGCGTATTCCCCGAGTGTGAGCTAACCCCCCTCCCCAATTTTGCCCCTTTTTCCCGAAATTTGACTCGAACGCGCACGCGTCGCGGAAGCACGTTTCTTCCAACTGTCGGTTCTCGACTTTTATGGACGGCCTCTTTCTTGGAGGTCCTGCGCTGGGGGCTTTGACCTAAGCCCCGCATTAAGGTTCCACTACCTTCCCATATTCTGATGAAGATTATATATCTGTTGTTAGTGTCAGCGCAGCCGCAAAGCTCAGTGTGTTGTCCCGTGTTTCGGATTTCAGACCCATCGCGACTGAATACGGATTTCTCAGTGTTAAGACTCTTATGGAGAGAAAATAGGTTCTTATTGATCATTATCTTTGCGTTAAATGTTTTATTTTAATGTTCTATTTTTTTATTGTTTTTAGTTTGACCTTTTGATGTAAATCTATCAAGAGGTATCAATAAACGCATTTCATTTCGTCGATGTTCCATTTTTGAAAGTATGAGTTGACATATGTCAAAGAATATACTACTATAAACGACTTTTCTGTACCAGAGAGAACAAAGTACAAAACCAGAGCGCGACTACAGGAGGGTTAAGAAGAAAATGATAGCTGTGTTTTTAAAACCGAGCAGGATTGTGGAGCGTGTCCTTTTAGACGCACAGAAGACAGTCACAGCTAAGTAGTGCGCGGAACAGTGCCTGCCTAAAGTCATAGAGTCTATAAAAAACCTGGGGCCAAAGTCAAGAACGGACACTTGGAACCACCACCATGACAACGCTCCAGCTCCAGCAGTCTGACCACTGCTGGACTGAAACTTATTGAGCACCCTCCTTACAGTCCAGATCTTGCTCCGTGTGACTTTACACTGTTTCCGCATGTGAAAATGAAGCTGAAAGGAAAACGATTTTCTAGCGATGACGACCTTCTGAGGAGTGTGCCGCACACCCTGGTTTTAAATACAGCTATATTGTAAAGCTTTTACAGTACCTTTTGTACATGAATATACCAATAAACATGAAAACCGAAAAAAAAGTATGAAGTTGTGCTTGGGTTTGAGATACATCAAACTTGAAATATTTTAAAATACAAGAGGTTTTTGTGTATTGGTCAAATGTTTAAATTTACATACAGGGTATCCGGTAAATAGTACGCCAAAAAAAAAAGGCGAAAGGCAGATCTACAACATACCAAAAAATCACCAGAGTAAAAGTTTCACTGTTTTTGAGATAATTATTTTTGTCGTTTTCGAAAAATTTCATCGTTTCATCTATTTTTGGTTGCTCATTAAGCAGGTAATTTATCGCAGTACTTTGCAGTAGCAGTCTAGTACATTTTTATTTCATTGCGGAATACCAAAGTTGAGTAAAATAGTTTTCTAAAATAAAAATTGCGAAGAAGAAATTAGTTTGTCAAGTTTACCTACTTGTATTTATATATTTATTTCAAATGTCAGACCAACTATCTGGGAATATGTTGGAAATAAACAGATATCTTGTTATTCCTAGGCACAGCGACAAAAGATTCAAAAAAGAGCGACAAAAATTAATATCTCAAAAACAGTGAAACTTTTACTAGGGTCATTTTTTGGTATGTTGTAGATCTGCCCTTTGCCTATCGTAACTATTTTTTTTTGTCGTACTAATTACTGTATCTTTAGTAATAATAATTTAGTCAGCTTTGATGTCTATGAGTTTATGTATATAATAAATAGCCTTGGTTGACTTAGAATCCACTATTTTCATTCAAATTTGGTACATTTTTTGGACTGTACGAGGGATGTCTTTTAAGTTTTGCATATAGAAACATAGTAGGCCGCGCGGATCGAACGTCAGTACTGAATCTTAACCTCACTCTTTAGTAAACTTAAATTCAAAGTTTCACAACAATACGTGCAGTGTTCTCACTACAGTGAATTTTCAAGTGTCATCAAGTCATTAGAAAAATGGAACTCAACCGATATAATTTATTACAGCTTTCAGAGACAATTATCGCAACAAGAATGCCTTGCTGAGTGACTGTCTGTTTTCGGCAACGAAGCGCCACATCAGTCGACAATTTCCCGTTGCTATGGAGAATTCAAACGTGGACGGGCGAGTCTTAGCGACGATCCCAGGGTGGGTGTAGCAAAAACGGCAGTCACCCAGGAAAACGTCGATGCTGTGCGCGATCTCATCATTGAAGATAGACATGTGACACATCGCGAGATTGAGGCATCCTTGAAGATCTCAAAGACCTCAATTCGAAAAATTTTACATGAAGAATTAGGAGTCAGAAAATTAGTTTCTCGTTGGATACCCCACCTGTTGACTGAAGAGCAGAAAGCAACCAGGGTTAATTGGTGTCAAAAAACGCTTAACCGGAAACTCAAAAAATATGTACAGCATTGTTAGTGGTGATAAATCGTGGATTTACTGTTATGAACCAGAAAATAAACAAAAGTCGGCTGTTTGGGTGTTCCAAGGTGAAGAAAAGCCAAAAAAAGTCGTCCGTTCTCGAAGTGTTTCGAAAAAGATGGTCAAAAGCGGGTCATATTGCAACAATTCCTCTTAATGGGCAAAGAACTGTTACTGCGGATTGGTATACCACCATTTGATTGCCAAAAGTCATCACCGAGTCGAAAAATCAAACCCGAAAGAAAAATCATCCTCCACCAAAACAATGCAAGCTCGCCCACAGCCCAAAAAACAAGGCAGTATTTAACAGAAGAAAACGCGGAATTATTTGACCATCCTCCATATAGTCCTAACGATTTCTTTACTTTCCCGAAAATTAAAAACAGACTGCGTGGTCAAAGGTTCCAGTTACCAGAAGAAGCAGTTAACGCATTCAAAAATGCCGTTTTGGATCAGCCAGCAAACGATTGGAATAAGTGCTCCGAAAAACAATAAAGTCATTTAAAACTACCTACTGTGTTGTTTTATTTCCATATGCAAACGACATCCCTCGTATGTGTTTTAAATTTTGCATAATGATATCAAAAAAATTCGTATTTTTTATTTTAGAAAATAAAATGATCGTTGTCTTAAAGTTTTATTTAATCTGCGTATAGTTACTGAAGTGTGTTTAAGATGTGTTTGATGATTATGATCTATATGCTGTAATAAATATGTACGTTTTAGTAAATATGTATATGATTGTATTGTAGAAATAAAATTGCCTGAATCCCAAAATTTGTGAATTAAATTCACTATAATGATTTTCCATTGTATTAATCGATTTTTGTTAAACATATTCTTTAATATCCACCTCTAATAATAGTTATTCATGACTCCACCCCATGCCAATATTCCATACGAAATAAGTGGGTAGATAAGCGCGTGATACTTTTCAACATGTATATTCAATTTTAAGTTATTATCTATAATTATCCCTAAATATTTGCTATTATTTACTGATTGTAAATATTTTCAACCATCTGGTGTTTGAAAATGGAATTTATGAAAGGGTGAAGATTTCTTATCGGATACAAGCTTTATGAAGTATGTTTTCTTAAAATCGTCAAAATTATTTCTTTCTGTAAAAAAATCATCACCTTTTGGATATCCCATTTGATTGTGTGCTTTAAAAAATCTAAATACATAATTTCATCAGCATAACCAAATAATGTTTTCGTAATTATTCAATTCAAAAAGATCATTCACATATAGATTATATGACCCTGCTCCTAACACAGATCCTTGTGGAACTCCATACCTAACCGTAACGTCTTCAATTAGTGAGTTGTTGATATGGAAGATAGACTTATATAATAATGAAATTGACATACCTTTTCCAGTAACCCAAGTCGACAAAATCACTGACCATCTCCAATTCCTGCCGTCTACGTCTAGCTATGGCCTTATATCTACTTCTCCTACTGCAGTCTCTCACCTGTAAAGAAACAGCATGATTTACATTCTGATCGTACTCTGTTATTTGCTTTGAGATATTAACTATGGTGTGAACAGCATGTTTTTAGTGATTGCCAGTTTTTTTGATTTAGGTACATTGATTTTTCACAAAGATATTGTTTACAACATTTTAGTCAAAGATTTTATAAGAAATAACCGGTGTGTTATGTTAGTTTTTTTTTTAATTCTTGAAATTTGTGTGTAAAATTAATGGCGTTGGAAGCATATAAATATACTGCCCCCAAAAAATGAGATACTCGTATATCCTCCTCCACCACAACCCTCGATTTGCAAACGCTTAAAATTTTTTTCTGAATTTCAGGAGCCTCTAAAAGATATTTTTGTCTCTCGCTCCGTCGCCACTGGACAGAATATCAAAAAAAAAAGTTTTCGTCTTTGGCATAGTGAAAACCTTGCCAGTTACAATAAACAAGATTTTCTCAAGACATGTGGTTTCAGTTAGCCAGACAAATATGGGGGATTACCGACATGAAAACCGCACGATAAGTTTCAGATGCTACACATATACAGTAGCGGATAAAAGTTTGGAAACAAATATTAATTAACATTATTATGAACTATTTCATATACCAAAATTAAAATTGTGAAGGAACCGATAATATAAATATTAAAGTCTACATTTGGCTCTCTTCTAATACAAGGTTTATCTTATCAATGTTCAAATACTCTGAAAATAAAAACACGCGTTTTTGTAAATAGCACAGTTTTTGTAACGAGAAAAGTATGGAAACATTTCGGTTTTGCCGTATTTATTCGTTCTACGATACTCTAATATTGCGTGCGGTAAATATACTTAGTGACATATAAATCCGAACACCCAGTTTAAATGGTTTTATTTTAATAAAAGTTGGTGAATGTATTTATCTTACTGTAAATAACAAGTGAAAAGATTTTCAGCCTTATCAGTTGGACATTCCGGTTTTTATACTGCTTTTTTTAATTCACTAACGCTCTAAAAATGAATATTTCAGCCGCAGTAAAGAATCAACGTTGGCGGATTTTGGTTCTTGACATTCTTTACGATCTGTTACGATGCCTAGAGTACGGAGACCTGTACGATTTCGTTAACTTAGTGAGTTTGATAGGGGCCGTATAGTGGGACTTCGGGAAGCTGGACTTTCTTTTCGGGCAATTGCAGTTAGAGTGCAAAGAAGTGTAGACACTGTGATTAGGTGTTGTCAGGCATGGCTTCGAGAAGGCCGTACGCAAAGAGCAAGGGGCACTGGACGCCGCCGTAGAACAACAGACCGTGAAGATCGCCGCCTAAGATTATTGGCCTTAAGGGACCGTTTCTCCACTACCAAGTCCATTGCAAATGAATGGTTTGCAGAACACGGAAGACCTATTGGCATGCGAAGTGTTTACCGACGAATGAGAAGTTTTGGCTTGTTTTCATACCGGCCACACTGGATCCTCCCTTTAACTCGAGAACACCGACGTAATCGCTTTGAGTGGTGCAGACAACGGTCACTCTGGGATCAGGAATGGAACAGTATTGTCTTTAGTGACGAGTCTCGATTTTGTTTAGGCATGCACGATGGTCGTGCCAGGGTTAGAAGGCGACGTGGTGAAAGGAGGAATCCACAGTTTTTTGTTGAAAGACATGTTCATCACACTGTTGGAGTTATGGTTTGGGGTGCTATAGCTTATGGTTCCAGGTCACCTTTTTTTGAAATTTTTATCATTTACTTATTATGCTTCATTAAGTACTTATACAAATTTTTATTAAAATAAAACCATTTAAACTGGGTGTTCGGATTTATATGTCACTTAGTATATCAACATCAGTGAGAATGGCAAAAATAAAAGAATTTTCAAAAGATTTAAGAGACAATTTAGTTGAATTACTTGGAAGTGGTGTCAGAAATGTAGACATTTCTCAAAGATTAAAAACGGACAAAGGGACGATTTTGAAAATTATTAGTAAATATCAAGAATACGGATCAACAAGTGCGGAAGACCGAAAAATACCGATTTAATTCCTAGAATGCCAGTCACAGGTTTTCAAAAGGATCCTAGAAGAGGGTGTCGAGAATCTTTCTGTCAGAACAGTACAGAGACGCTTGGTGGATTTTGAGCTTTTTGGCAGGCGTACACTGCAAAAGCCTCTCATTAAAAAAATCGTATCGCTCGACTTGAATTTGCTGGAACTCATCTAACGTGGACGGAACAACAATGGAATAGTTTTATGGAGCGATGAAAGCAAATGTAACTTGTAAGCACGGTGGAGACAACATCATGGTTTGGGGCTGTTTTTCTAGTTCTGGAACGGGTCCAAATACTTGAAATTGTTGGGAAAATGGATCAAAAACTTTACAAAGATATTCTTAGCGAACACATACTCCCTTTTGCTGAAGAAGAAATGCCTTTAAGGTCGCTCATCCCTTTTTTTTCAACAGTGCGATTGGGGCAGCATTATTAATACATATTGTCTAATTATTTTATGGTGTGTCTAAAATCTCTTGTTTTCTTGTCAAAATATCAACTTTTTTTGTCAATATTTCTGCCACGATACCTTCAGAACAAATAGTCGCAAAGACATGAGTTTTCGTGATTGCATTACAAATAGATAAAGGATGGTCGCATATGGTTCATTTGATAGATTACGGTTTTTTCTTTCGCAAAAAGGACATTCCAGCAAGATAGTGACCCCAAAATTCGTAAAAGACTGGTTAAGACTAAAAAATGTTGATGTTCTTACATGGCCTTCGCAATCCCCGGACCTAAACCCTATAGAACATCTCTGGGAGAATGTTAAAAGACAACTGACAAGAAAAACTTTCAAAAATAGGAACGATTTATTTGATTATGTAAAAAATATTTGGCAAAATATCTCAACCGACGTCTGTAAAAATTTGGTGTCTTCTATGAGCAGCAGATGTAAGGCAGTGTTCAATGCTAAAGGCTATGCTACCAAATATTAGCTAAACAGTATTTTTAAACCTTTTTGTAGAGTTATTGTTTTTAATTTTGTAATAAAAAATATGTTTATATACTTTTAAAAATAATATAAAGGTATTTAACGCTAGTCTCTAGTACCACAGCAAACACAAATTGTGATTTGTATCCTCAAGACTGCAAGCAAACTATATGAGAAAAAAATAATCCTGATAATAATAAAGAATAAAAAATTAGCACACTTTTTAAAAATTACTAAAAATGTTTCCAAACTTTTGTCCGCTCCTGTACATATATATTTTTTTGAATTAAGCATCTAAAATACAACTTTTTTGTTTCTTCATGTCATACTTCGTTTTCGACGGGAAAAACATACATACAACTAAATTACATGGCGACAAATTGGAATAAAATCGATTTAAAACTATCTAGTGAAGAAACAGTGGGTGCAACAACTATCAATTTATTCAAGAATAAGCTGGATAAGAAACTAGATGACACGTTTCGTGTATTACCCAGCATAAGAAAGACTTGACACAACACTGTCATCGGATGTTTCCGCCTCCTGTCGTAGTGCTACAATAATGAAATAATAACTCACCTCCTCGCCATCGCTACCTCCAGGGCTGTCCACTCGACCCAAATGCCCACCCAAGAAGTCTTCGTTCTCCTCGTTTCCTTCAGAAGACGAGTCTGGACTGGCTTCCCTATCGAACGGTTGATCAGTCTCCATTGACTCCAGTGCTTTCTTCTTCTTCTCTTCCAGTTTCCTGTTTTTCACTTTGAACTTGGTCATCGATTTGATGCCGGGCCCCGCTCGCGCATCAACCACCTGGAACACATACGTTAAAGAGGACGTTTCCTAAGTTTGTCGCGGATTTCAAAACGTTATTTGAAACATGTTTTTTTGCAATGGGTCAGTGGAATACTAGGAAGTCCGATTATTTGTTGCACTTATTCACTTCATCTTACAAAAACTTGCAATTCAGAACCAGAACATTTACTTTTTTTACACAACTGGCTCATTGTACAAATACGGATCATCGCATGTCCACTTACATGTTGCCAGTTTCTATCAGATCCTGCTGGCAGTTTCTTCCACCTTTTTACTAGCAAGACGCACGCGTTGCATATCTCGCCTTGTCTCGGTTGAGATAGTTTAAAGCATTCCAAAAAATCCTCTTCATACTTTTTGCTATCGGTGAACCTGGAACTAGAATATTTTTCGTTATAATTTAGAAGTCACAATTTCCGCTCCTTGCTGCTTAAATCATGTGAGTTTTGCAATATGACTTGACAAACGGTCGCAGCAGGCTGCATGTTACTGCACGTTGAGACATGTCCATGAGTGCATAGTAGCTGCCGGCAGCACGTTTGTTGATTCAGTTGTGCATTCGTATTGAAAGTATAAAGTGCGGACTATGGCATCGTTGTGAGATAAAGGAGTTTTACGGTATAACTTTACGCGTGGTTTAAGCATAGACCAGTGCTTAGAAGAAATGACGCTTGTATTAAAGAAGGGACAATTTCACTCTGGAGGACGCTGAGAAGGAAGGAAGTAACAGAGGAAAACACTACTGCTCTAGAACTTAGGATTTCTACGTTAGCGGCATATGTAAACTTGTTTCTCGTTGGCAAAAGTGATCTCATTCTAATGGTTTTTATTTTGATTAATAAAGTTTTGTGAAAGCTGAGATATGCTGCTTTGAGTTTTAAAGGTTAAAAACCGGAAGAACTTTCCGAACAACCTAACATAGTATTTCAAGAGGTTCTTAAATGTCTTGAGATGGCAATTCTTTATTGCCAAAGGTAGTAAAGATTTGGTCATTAAAACATGTCTCATGCACTCCTAGATCAATTCCTATTTTCAAAGTAGCAATTAGTAGGGCATCCTAATCACCAAGCTACTTAGGGTATTTTCTGAACACATCAGCAGCACATTTACTCTTATTTACTGGTAAACAAATTAATATTATGCCTTGAATACAATAACTTATCAGTAAACATTATTTCTTTCCATCTGAGAAATATCAAGTTCTCAGGCAATATCAAGGCATCTAATGACTCTTCCTTTTATAGGGCAGCTCTTATCAAGTGTTGACGATATTTTATACAATTGGAGTTTAATGGTAGATATGGGGTCATCGACCTGATTTTGAAAGACAAACTGTTCATATACTTTTTTGAAATGAATGTGACATTACATTCACCATATTTTTACTTTCCAATAAGCAAAGAAGCCATGCAACGACGGAAAATTTCGAATTCCAGATTATTTTTTTGTATCGCTTAGCTATGCATCACAAAAATTCATTTAACACGTCAGTTTATCTGTTGAATAGATCGTCATGAAATCTGGTGAATAATATGCCTTCAAGTCATAATAGGTATTGTTTTAATAGTTTTGAAAATCATTGCTATGGCAGTAGATTGATTATGAAACAATATACAGGATGTTAATTAAATATGTACCATAAATTCAACAGACGATTCTACGAGTAATTTTAAGACAAAAAGTTCATATAAACATTGGTCCGCAAATTCTTCGTTCTTAAGATACAGGGTGTTAAATTAAAAAAAAAATCATATCATTTAGCTAATTTTGTTGTAATTTGGCGGTGGTATTCGGAACATTAAGGAGCTAATTTAGCCCTAAGTTGATTAAATTTAATTCTTTTATTATCCCTTGTGTGGTCCAGGGATATGCAATTAAGTGGACTTTTTTTGTATTCATTTCTATTCACTTAATCCAAAGAACATACATTTATTGTACGTACATACTATGTTTATATGAACCTTTGACTCAAAGAATCCTCTGTTAAATTTATTGTACATACTTAATTAACACCCTGTATATAAAACTTTATTTCCTAGCAAAACAGAATTCACGTTTCCTTGATTTTTTGCACTTTATGAAATCAGAACTAAAATAACTTACCTGCTGGATTTGGCCTTGCAGATACAACACCCTGTCGATGATCTATAAACCTTTGGGCGATGGAATGAGAACATGATGTATTCTTAACCTGTTGGTACAACAAATAAAGGCTCGTCATAATAAAATTCCTAAATAAAAATGTCATTAGCAATTACATAATGAAAATTGCTAGTACTGCATGTTAATTTCAAAACATATCTTTATCGAAGATTATAGGTAAGTGAGGCATCATAAAAAAGTGCAACTAGTATATTACAAAAACAACAGCTTATATCAATTATTCAAATGAGCTTGAGAGCAATTAAACAAATTACATCTATAGATGGTCAAGTACAAAACCTCAGCGAGATCCACTGTTTTACAATCATGAAAACCTTTAAGGTGATATTAAGATTATTGGATGTGTAAAGCAAAAAAACCATGTCACACGTTGGTTTTAAAAATCACTCCAGTATCCAAAAGCACTACTTGAATTTTAAGATATTCTTGAAAATAATAATTATTATAGTAAACTCAAAAAAAACTTTACAGTTTTTTGAGGGTTCAATAGCAACATAGTAAAAGAAAAGATAAAAAATTGATGGTTTTTTAAAGATTGGTGCATTGGTAACCTAATGATCAGAAATTATAAACCTGTGGCCCTTTGGTTTTGAGGAAAAGTAATGCAAACTACCATGTCGCCAGATACCGTTTTTGTATGCATTATTTTTTGTCAGCTAATAAATTTTTTGTCGAGGGATTATGGGATTAAAAGAAATAATGTTCTGATTAATACAATGGGTTTTATTAAGTTTTTAAAAAAGGAAATTATGATGCCCTATCCTGTAAAATCACAAACATCGTTTTTCAGGGTCTCTCAATTTCCTAATCGCTTTAAGAGGAGTCTTGTTAAAAAAAGCTGCAGGTATTTTTTAAAATCTTGTTGCAAATCTTTGATGTTTCGCGAATCGACTGGTTTTGGGTTTGAGTTCTTTTGGACAGAATATTTTTCAAAGGAACATATGTTTCTAAATATTTTGCAATTGATTTTAACCCCATATTAAATTTTGTTTGTCACCCCAGATCAGATCATCAGATATATTCTGAAGGGCAACAATGTCATTTTTAGAAGTGCATTTACGCAACCCGAGACAAAAAATTAGGTAGAAATGCCTACGTGTAAAGTGGCGCGAAATCCAAAGAGAAATAGGGTCATTAACACGCGCCCAGTCAATGATGGCGTCATCCGCCACGTTCTTCAATCCCAGCGTTGCCAGACGGGTCAAAAAGAATTCCCCCAGGACAAGCACAAAAATCTCCAGAATCACAACTTTCATTGAACTTTGCTTCTTTTTTTATAATTGTCTATATACTTTTGTCCATTACTGTACATAGGGGTTCAGCGAGTGGGAGGGTAGTGCGATGATTCGAGAAACGTGTGATTTATAACTTTATAAAAACAGAAGTTGTTCGTAAAACCGATACACCTTTTAGGGGCTTGGGCAGGAGAATTACACGATTCATCAAATAATAATTATCAGTTTATAATTCGTTTCTTTAAGTAGTCTGTGATCGCATCATTGAGATATTAAGTTTTTTGAGGATTGTGGAATCGCAGAAACGAGACGAGCAAATCGGTGGAGCATCGCGGAAAAGACGAGTCCGCATCTAGTTCTTTGTCTCGAAACACGTGTGAGACAAGAATATCTGGATCAAACAAACCCTTCACATCTCAGTATTCCGTTATTTTATTTTGTTTTATGAATATGGATACAGGTCTACGACTTACAATTTATTGATATTGTAATTGTAGGTGTTTTGTGCAGATCGATTCAAGTGCGACCATGAGGAAAACAAAGCCTCAGAAAGATAAAATCGTTATTCAGGAGTGAATAGTTTTGTGTGGCTAGAAATGGAATCAAATACCCTAAAATACTCAAAGTTATTTTCCCCAAAAAAAATCACCTATAACATTTTATCCCCCAAGAGAAGGAAAAATCCTGTAATATGGCAACCCTGTTCAATCTTGGCTTTCAGTGTGTCCATTCTGGCCCTCTGGCTTATAGAAAGCTGTGTCGCCACCCAACGTTGCCACATGTTCCAAAATGACTGTACTTGTACGATGTTTCCATGAATTTATCATTGATCATTGGATTTATTTATAACCATGCTGAATGTGATAAAATACTACTGTTTTTATGTTTGAAAATGTTGTCAAGTAGTACTCCGTACCTCCCACACTTTAATATAAGTCTATTTTCGAGTTAGGTGAGCATAGAAATTCTGAAACCAAGTATTTTTGAAGCTGCATCAAAATTGACTGCTAGATTCAACGTTTTTATAGCTGTCGGTGCAAAAATTCTATTAGATCTCTAAACTGTTTTTGTAGATGACTTATAGTGACCAAACAAAAGGTTGAACATGACAAAAAAATTACGATATCTTTCTCAATAACAATAAGAAATAGCATCAAATAAACCAGCTCTATTCTCGATGCATTGTTAAGTTCAGAAACAAACATAGGTTTTGGATTTTCAATCTGTGTATCATCCTGTGTTGAAACAGGATGTCAGTAGAGTACCTGGCCAATCTTCAGTGGATCGTTCCTTTCGTTGTTATTAAAAGAATACTTCATATAAACTTAGATCCAGAGCTCCTTCCTTTTCAAAATACAGGGTATCAAACTTTTCTTGAATATACGCATTTATTAGAAAAAATCTGAACAATAGGTTATCCAATTTCATAAAGATTTGTTGAAACAGTGGGTACAAACGCATTGCCTAAAATTCATAAGACATTCAACAAAAACGCTTAGTAAAAGTGCAAATGGCCATGGCCATCTGAATCGCAGTTTTATTGATAGTTTTTTCTTATATGCATTGACGTAGATTTTTAACGATATGTTTGCACTACGTTTATCCAAACATTAATAAAACTATTAGGGGCTATGATTTTTCAAACAAAAAAAAGTCAAATTCTCAGAAAAAGCTACACGCTATATCTTGAAAATCAAGCATTACGGACGTTTATTTATATGAACTGATCTTAGGATCCCCTAAGAAATTATCACCTCAGAGTTTGGCCACATACTTTACCAACGAACTGCAAATAAGTATAGTACTAGAAAGACCTAGGAGTTATAATAGCACATACTTTAAAATGGGAAGCTTACATTACCAATAAAATTAAAAAAGTCAACTCACTGATATATTTGATAGAAAAAGCTGTAAAAAACTATTCTGCTGCTATTATAGAAAAGCTATACAAGATGCACCAGCATATGGAGTCTATATTCTGTCAAGAACATCGAACTACTGGAAGGATAGCAACGTAAAATAACTCACAATCAATTAAATATAAATTACAGTTTAAAAAACAAACACATGCTTTATTAGCAAATTTATCTAAAAAGTGGAAAACAGTTTTCAACTATAGGGGAGTTTGTGTTACTGCAATAGAAAGGCCAACAATCAAGTGTGACAAATTAAATTGGAATAAGATCACTAGAAAAATTAAGATAAAAAGATTCAATTATAGTAAAAAAGCATGGGGTGCTAAAAATTATATTTTTAGTGTAACTGCATTTTTAGTTAATATCTTAATTTCTATATTGATCTTATTCCAAATTAATCATAGTTGATTCTATTGCAATAAGACAAACTCTCGTATACTTGGAAAATTATTTTCAGCTTTTTAGTTTATTTCAAAGCATGTTTTTTTGTTACAGTAAACTACATTTTTTTTTTGTAATCGCAGTCTCAAACCGACTACAAAAGTACTTATAATTAGCAGCTTCGATTTTTGATATATTTGATTTGATATAAGATTTGATCACCTGCTATCATTACATACATACACATGTATACTGGTCAAGCTATCTTTCTCACCTTATATTGGATTCAGTGAATTTAAATTTTCAAACCTTTTTCCAAAATTTTAAATTTTTTTCCAAATTTTTTTTTTTTCTAATACCCAATTTTTCCCCTCTTTCTAGACTCAAATTTCTTTACACATTTCAAAATTTAAAATTTCTAAATTTACATTTTTTCAAATTCCTTAATCTTATTATTTTCCAATTTTCAAATACTTCTTTTACAAATTTCAAATTCTTGTTTTTTTTCAAAGATTCTTGTGTTGCTATGGCCCTTGACCCCTGTGCACATTTATAAGTTACGCTTCTTAAAATTGGTAAAAATTAAGTTGAAAGAATCGAAGTCAAGCTAATAAAAGCGAGTTAAAAACTGACACTATTAGACGTTATGCTGGTAACTAGCATCAAGTAGGTGATATACCTAAGAATCTATCTTACTCATTCAATCGAAGATACTTTATGCACAAACATGTACTGAAAATGCAAGATGGAGTATTACTTTTCACTTAAGAGGTTTGGCAACGTCGCTGCCACTAGCCATGCTTTTATATGGCGGCCATTTTGAACATGTCTGTAAATGCAAAACTGCTTGAATTTTAACGGTCCCTGACTTTCAATAAAATAAAAATAAAAAAGGATTATTCGTCTAGCTGGTAAAATTCAGAGCATGTACCAACAGATGAACTATGTTTTAAGTAAAAAAGTGCAAGTCAAGATAATAGACCCGGAATTATTTCAACTTCAAAAGTGAGATATTCTCTTCCCTAAATTATTTTGGACTGCTTTGATTGACAATCAATAAATATCAATTATGGACAGACCTCAGGAAGTTTTACTATTTCAAGCTAAGCTAACAGCTCAAAAATAAGATGTGAAAAAAAAAATGTATCCTTTGAGAAGGAGAAATTAATATCTATGCACTAATTGAATTGAATTGTATAGCACTCTAGATCATTCAAGATATCAATGTTCTCAATGAAAACTTATTGTAGCCATCCACTCAATACATTACGAAACAATGAACGAAAGGTGGTCATTTCCAAAAATCACAATGAAAAGAAAAACGTATTTCCACAAAGTGTATGTTTTTTCCAGTTCCAATCAAGTGAATTGCCAGCAGCTTTTACTCAGACCAAAAATGCAGTCAATTTAAAGGACAAATAAATTTGGTGAACGATCTTTGAAAGCGTAAGTGAGTACGTGACACCACCACTCGGTCTTTAGAAATATAGGCTAACCACGCTAACAATAATACCCACAAGAATATCTCAATTTAAACCAAATACATTCAATTTCGATGATTGAATGACGATTTTGATCAACTTTAAATCGGGATTCAAGGGCTAATTTATATAACTTTACCGGTATACTAGCCAAACTTTTAGGTAAGATGGTAGATGGACATGACGCTACACAAAACCAATTCCTTTTTAATAAAAAGCGCAGTGAATAGTGATGACAGCCTTACCTTTTCACTCCTTCGGATGTTCGGCACCAAATCAGCAAAAATCGCCGTGGTTAACGGGCAATTATAATAGAAAATATTGGAAAATTTCACTAAAAATTCAGACACACCAATACAACAGATGACGGCTAAGAATTCTAGTGAAGCAGGTGCCTAGTGCGCATGCTTATCTCTATGCGCGGACACCAGACGGGCATCCTTCGGGTAGGCAACACGTAATGCACCATGAATTTGACGTTCCAATTTTAAAAGGCGTTTCCTTTTTTGCTTTTTTGTTCAACAATAGCCTCAGGCTTGACGAATAGCACTGCTAGGAGTAATTTTGGTCGAAATATAGCATACGAGCTCTATAAACCGCTTTCCATACAAAGAAAAAAATTAAGTGCTTTAGGAATAAAGCTTTGTCCTCTTTAACTTCTGCAGTTATTGAACAATGGATGAAGTTGCGAGGAGTATTTAACTTTGGCTTCGGATTTCTATCACTTCTGAAATATTTCCTGAAGGTTTCTATGTGTACCGCCTGGTGTAGTTAAATTGTATTGATTTGTTTACAGTGACTACCGCGAGATCAATATTTTTTACATTACAAACAATAGAATTTTGCAAGATAATAGAGTAGTTTTGTTTAAAATGACTAGCGCACTACAAAAAGAGCCTGAGTTCAAGACTCAGGAGCCTGTCAAAGCTCAAGAATTTGACATAACGTTTTTAAACGAGCAAGAAGAAAAAGGCAAGCGAAATATTTCAGAAATGGCCCGACTATCTACACCAAAGCCTATCATGCACTTGGGCTCATCAACCGAGGTAATTTATATTATCAATTACTGCTTTGTTTTTGCCAATTAGTGGGAAAACGAAGGAATACCCCATAAAATCTCGAAAAGTGGAGTAATCAAATTGCAGATAAAATAGATAAAACAAAGATGAAATAGTTATTTGCGAAATGAAGGTGCAAAGTACTTTACCGTTCGAGAAATGAGGCGGTATTTCAGGAGAAACTAGAGGAAAATTGTACGATTTGTGTAAGATGGGTCCCTAATTCCCATATTAAATCAGGAAATACTTCATTATATCACATGATTCAGCTACAAAAATCTACTTTTCGTTTGTATACGGCCGCAAATTCCAACGATCAAAAAGAAGGGTTTGTGGCCTACCCGAAACATATGGATCAAAGCGGTTATAATAGATGGACATGTAGCCATTACAGAGTATATTATATATAATAACCGTGTCTTACTGGTGCTGTACAAATAATATAATAAATTACAGAATGCTCATTTTTTAACAAACGTCGAGTAGATAATCAATTTACCTTGGGAAAAACCCTGTTCCTCGAGCCAGCCCTGCTAATGTTAACAGGAAGATGTCGCGCACTCTATTGGACGATAGAATGACTATACGACTGTGACGCGCTGTTGTGACGGGGGCAATAGTTATCCTACCGCCTGGTAGAGGGCGCGACAGCTCTCTGTGAACAGGCCTGGCTTAAGGAACAGGGGTTTTTGCAAGTAAATTGAATATTAATTCGATGTCTATCACATAATAATCCTGTAATTTTATTTTTTGAAATCAAAAAATTTATCAAGCAGAATTTTGTACAGTAACAGTGACACACTGTTGTAATTGTTGTCATAAGTTATATCAATCTAGACATTGCATCAGATGTGTGTCCATGTTCAAAAGTATAGTGCAAATGCAACTGTACAGACCAATAAATACATTTTTCCCAGTAAATGCACATTATTTTCAAAATGAACCGTGTATAAATGCATGCAGTATGTCGTATAAATTGCTGAATGAGCAATAATTCACCATTCCAGTTTCAACGTCCATCTCCCGAATCAAGCAGTGTTCCGAAAAGCAGGCATTCCCGATTAAGCAGCGGCGCTGGTCTGTTCAAGCCTTCCACAGGTTTGAACGCTCGACATAGACCAATGACGGGTGCGGAACCGCCTGTTAATAGACCAATGACAGCTGTCAGAGGTGCCGGGTACACATCGTCACATGGTGGAAGGAGGACACCGTTTGATCCCTTACATGAGGGAGCTCAAGGACGTAACAACATCTCAGAGCTAGAGCTGCAAAAGGATGACTCGTTAGTATTAAGATGCTCAGTACGGGGGCGGTCCGATAAGCTCTTACCCGAATTTATATATTGTAGAAAAAGCATTTGAAAAGTCCTGTCGCTTCCAGTATCTGCAGAGATACCCGTAAAAGGAGACGAATTTTCCCAACATCATTTCTATTTTTTTTTTAAATTTATTTGAGATGGGATTTCAAAATAAGCTGCACATTGATATTGAGACTTTTTGATATCTTCGTCTCTTTTCTTTATGTATGCCATTTTTGCATAGGCGGATAGCTTTTAATTCTGATCAGGATCAATCATGCTTTTTAGAGAGCGTTTCTTTTAATACAATATTGCAGGCAAGAGGCCAGAAAATGTAAGAGATATGTGCAACTTTGATCGCTCATTTTTGTACATTCCAAAGTGTGAATATACCTCTTCGTATTTACTAAGATACTGCTCACCTATATCAAAATTAAATCATTAGTTTTATATCTCTTGATTACGAACGGCTTAGCACGTTTGTGGTTGAAAGGTGCTTAAATTATTCTAAATAAAGAAGTGTCCATGTTATATGTTAGACCTGAAGAAAGAATCAGACAACAAGAATCTAAGATCATGCAGCTGATAGAAGAGGCGTGCATCGCGCAGGCTAGAGGAGAAAACAAAGTGGCCCTTACGAAGGCTAAAGAGGCTTCAAACAAAGAAAGAAGCCTAATCCGAATGCAAGAACAATCTGGAATGGGCGATCATCACAACATTGATCTGACTTACGCGGTAAGTTATAGTGAGTGACATATAAAATGCAACACCCCTAATTCATTAACCTTTTAAGGTACTCTTCACCCTAGCCAACGAATATGCTGCTAACGAGCTCTATTCGGAAGCGCTAAATACTTATCAAATGATAACGAAAAATAGAATGTTTCCTAATGCGTACAGATTGAAAGTGAACATGGGAAATATCTATTTCAAACAAGGGCAGTATCAAAAAGCTGTAAAGATGTTCAGGATGGCTCTGGATCAAGTGCCCTCTAGTCAGAAAAGTTTGAGGTAGGTAGGACTCCATTGTGTTGCGGCTGATGTTTTTTTTATTGTTTAAAATACTGTTTTCGTAGTATTATAGCTTATTATTTATGGATTTTGAACTTTCTTCCCAAATTTTCAATTCTACTCAATAGCAAGTAGGCCACATCTACTTTGCAGCCTGAATCGTCAGCCAACTAGCGGTCACGTAATGACTCGGCTATTAAACGTGAACTGAGATGCCTAACAGTTCCAACTGCTAGCAGCAGGCCATGGTTGATTGTCTTTTTGGTCGTACGGAAGAAAGCACCATGTGTTTTCTGTCCTCCATTTATGAGATCAGCCAATTCAGAAAGAAACCTCATATATCCGTAGTATATAATTGTTGCCTCAATATATTTTTATCTATAGTGTCAAATGCCTTAGATAGATCGTTTTCGCCATTATAAAATTTATCATAGACGTGGTCTAGTGTGTGACAACTATAGTCGAATACCAGAATTGATGACAGTAGCAGAAGTCATCGTGCGCCACTGCTTCGACGCGGTACCTTTTGATTACAGCGACGGTTGCCGACATTTCACAAAGTAACGTCGTATTTCCGAAGTCCTCCGCGTAATAGCAGTGGCGTACGATGAGTTTCGCTACTGTCATCAATTTTGGTATTCTACTATAGCAGTTTTATTACATCTTTCAGCTCTAAGCCCATGTTCAGTATTTAGGATACCAGATGTTTCAGCAAAATTATATAGTCTATGATACATCAATACGTTACTTAACATCGCATACATCATTTTTAAATATAGGTTTTATCGTAGCGAGTTTTAATATGTCAGGAAATTAACCTCTCTCAACAGATTCTTTAAATAAAAATATCAGGATTTTGCTTAAAATGAACTTTTCGAGTAAGCGATCGCTGCAGTTCTACGTGGACACCCTGTATAGATCAGCTATATGAGTTAAGGATTCTGTTATAGGATAAAAATTATGCATAACATCGCCCTGGTTTTCATCCATACTGGCCAGCTAGAGGAAGCCCTTGGTGGTCTGGAATACATAATGAGCGAAGCGCCTTCCCACAGAGCTGGCCTCCATTTGGTAGCATGCTGTAGAGCCACAGAGGATAGAGAAAGGATGCGTACTGCTTTCGCGCTGCTTTTGGCGGTACCGCTGGATGTTGAAGATGAAGAGAAATATAATTTGGATCAGGTAAATTTTATATTCGGAAACAGAGTTGAAATGCTCATTTGAAATCGCAAGTTGAGTGAAGTATATCTCGTTTCTTAGACAACCCTCGTATAAAATATATACATGGTGGGCGCCAGAGTTGCCAGGTGTATCAAACAGAATGCTTCCAAAACAAGCACAAAAATCCCCAACTTTGAAAAAGATCCTAATACTAGAGATTTTATTTTTTCCCCAAAAAATCCCGAGAACATTTTCCCTACGTATCAACAAAATCCCCCATGTTTGGGGAAAATCCCTCAATATGGCAACGCTGGTGGGCGGTGCCACGCCTGAAGATATGGGAGGGGGTAACGTTGCCAGATGTACGGTAATTTTGGTAGGGCAGGGAAAAAATGTCTCCGGTCCTATTTGACTGACTTGATTCGTTTAATTTCCCTATCGTACATGTTCGTAACTAATTTTTTTCTCACAGGGTTTTACTTGCGTTAAACTTCCTTTATGAACTGATGACGGCGTTGCTAAGAAGTGAACCTACGTACGTATTTTTTTTAGGACTCGCCTGAGGATGCTTTGATAGCGACAGCAATCCAAAATGATGATCTACATCAGTACGAAATAAAGAGACGACAAGATGCAGAATATTGTATTTTGACAGCAGCGAAACTCATTGCTCCATTCGTTGAAGATAATTTTAGTGCAGGTGATATAACTACTACAAATCAATGTAGCATCTAACATTTATCATGTGGTTTTGATGTCGTTAATCTCCTATGTTTGTCTGAACTCCATTCTGCTTAGTATAAATGTAGCAATTTACAAATATTTTATGGCAGCTTGGCAACACCGCCTCGGTATTCCATCTATGAGCGAATCGCCAAGCCATGTGTCGGCACACGAATCCCGGTTTTCATTTGTTAACCCGTAATAGTCCAAGAGCCCACCGCAAAGGTTTATTTACATCGCGTACTGATATGAAATTTTAAAAGCTAGTCAAATCTCTCGCAACTTAAGTAACTTTTCCTTTTGAAAATGTTTTTAAAACGCTATTCGAGAAAAGCGGGTACAATGAGATGCTCAGATGCTAAAATTGATTGATGTGCAGGTTACGACTGGTGCGTAAACGCCATCAAAAACTCCGAGTATGCCAGATTAGCAGCAAATCTGGAAATCAACAAAGCCGTTATGCACCTGAAAGAGGATCAGCTGACTGAGGCAATTCAAGCACTGAAAGCTTACGAAAAGGACTCTAATATTGTTGTTAGTGCAGCCGTCAACTTGAGCTTTATATACTACTTGGTACGTAAGAAATGCGGCCTCAGTTCAAATGATTACACATATATGTACAAGTTGAAAAGAAGTGGCCCCAGGATACTACCCTGTGGGACTCCTAAATCATTTTCCATCTGTGATGAAATAACGTTTTGTCTCTTACTTGTATCCTGTTAGTCAGATAATCAGAAAACAATTTCAACGCTTTTTCAGATACACCATTTGTTTTTTTGAGGCATTATATTTTTGCAAGATACTGATGAGATTATTGACGTTTTTAATATTCCTATTTTGAAACTACATTTTCCAGCAAGGCGACTACGACAATGCTCTAAAGTACGCGGAAATTGTCAAGAAAGTAGACGTGAAAGATGCTAACGCTTACGTCAACTATGGAGCCTGTTTGTTGGAAAAAGGGCAACTGGATGAAGCTGTATCTGCTTTCGAGAAGGCTTTGGAATACGAGCCGACTCACTTCGAAGCTATCTACAATTTAGGTGAGCAAGCAGTAACATTTTATTTCAGCTACGAAATTGAGAATCATAAATCATAACTGAAAGTAAAATCGGAATATTTCAGCGGCATGTGTGATTTTCTATTTAGGTTGCTCAACGGTGTAATACATTTTATTTTTGTTTTATTTCCCGCGCCTACTGACGAGGAAGTACATCACGAAAAACTGTGTCTCTCATTTCGGTCGGTCTGTTTGTCTGTATGTATGTCTGGCTGTGTAATTTTCGGACTGAATGGTCCACGGATTCGGTGATATCAGCCCAAAAAACGTATTATAATGATGGTTGGGCTCACGCTCCCAAATGAACCATTTTTGGCTGTTTTTGTAGCCCTGTATACGAGGGTTGTCTCAAAAATAGAGTGCTCATACTTTTCACAAGCACAAGGAATTCTTTATTTGAAATATGAGTTTCAGCGCCTTTCTATCACTCTTAAACTCACTGTTTGTCGTGCGTCGTCGTCACATCCTCGATTCTTCAAGAGAACTTGGATACACCGCGCGACAAATAGTACTGCTGGCGCCATCTGTTGGGCGAGTCTCCTACTCGCCAGAGCTCATGGCCGACCTCTGCTTTTACGCGAACCACGACCGCACAAGCCGTTTGGCGGCGTCCATGAGGACCGTGACAGTGGGTCGCCTTCTAGATCGACGCGAAGTGACCTCCAATATTCTAGATGTCGCTTTGTGGTTCACCAGACCTTTCTCGAAGCAGCAATGGGGACTATATATAACTCGACGGCCGGGAGATGGCAGCAGAGTACTGAATACGGTAGAGTAGCAGATCGGAGTGAAGTATAGTGCAGTCAATGGCGACATAAGAATTAGTCAGACATAAATAGTAGTGTACATAAATGTTCTATCAAGTTAAATAAATTAGTGCATTTCTTTTTGTGGAATCCAGTGCTTTAACCCACACCCAACAGAACCCAGAAAAACGCTACAATATCGACCTCAGATGGACGTCATATGTACCTCATACAGCCGTACGTCATATCGACTTTGTATTTGGTCGTTTGTAAGACATACTATGACGTCATATAATGACGTTAATTGGGTGTGACATTAGACCGTCATAATAACGTCATTTTTTTTCACTGGAAATGGTGTACAAAAACGCTGATTACTTCCTGGACCTTCTCACAAAAATGCCCTCGATGCATTTTGTCTAAAAGCGCGGCCCTTTTAACCATTTACAAAAAATGTAGGTCTTGCTCTGAAGCGTGCCGGACACTATGACGAAGCGATGGACTGCTACCAACGCTTCTCTGGTTCGCTAGCCCTTCTGCCTGCGGTGGCTTACCAAACGGCCGATACTCTGGCCCTTCTTGGAGATGGAGATGCAGCTGTGGACGCCTTTCATCGTTTGTTGGGTCTGACATCGTCAGACGCGGCAGCGCTGAAGAAACTTGGGGAATTGTGTGACAGATTGGGAGATAGGAGACAGGCGCACCATTGGCACTCAGAGGTAAAGTGTTATAAAAAAGACTTTATTTTAATTGGGGCTTTGCGAACACCCCAAAACACTTTGAATGTACATTCTTGTTTAAGCAACGTTTTTTTCCTATACAAAGATCACGAATCCCTACCCAAATAGCACACGTTTTAAAAACGTCATTTTGAGATGTTAGAGACGTCTTGTGAACACTGTACGATATCTTAGAGACGTTGTGAAGACCACGTTTGATACAAAAACTGTGCGTCTTAAAGACGTCTTTATAGTCCGTTCGAAAGCTCTTTAGTGCGGCATTAAAAAGACAATAAAAAGAGGCGAATGTTTTTATTAAAAAATCATGAAGAAACATAAGTAGGCAAGAACTTTTCCCGCGTACGGTACGCTCTACGCCTTCAAAAGCACTGACTCAAATGACAAATGGCATTGACAGATGACCGAGCTAGAGATGAGGCAGAGATAAGTATAGAGATGTGCTCGCTTTAATCGACTCATCGTCATCTGGTGGCGAATTGATGAGTTAAAACAGGATGATGCAATGAATGTTGAAATTCTAAAGATTCCAGAAAAAGACAATTGGTGTTTATCGAGAAATAAGGATACCTGAAAACATCAACGACTTGTCCTTTCGCCTAGTTTAAAATAATGAAATTGGACACAAAAATATCAGAACATTAAAAAGGTGATATTTATTTCCAATATGGGTAAACGATATTTGTTACTTTAAAGTTTAGTTAGATGTACACGATTGAGGTTTCTTAACTAACTTTTCAAGAAGCTGGAATCTAAAAATGTTTACCACGTCTTCTAAAAGACATAATAAAACGTCTTAAAAATGTTTGTTATATGTCGTGTCAGGATGTTCTTACAAACGTCCCACTGAGGACATCTTAAAGACGTCTTTTCAACGTCTTAGGCATTCAGACATTATTAGTGCATAAAATGGACGTCTTTAGGACGTTCTGTGCTATCTGGGCAGGGGATCAGAATCTTTCTCCTTCAAGTAGAGTCTACGAATTTTGACAGTGTAGATGTTAAATTATTTGTGATTTGCGCTAAGTGCTTAATACCCGTTTTACATCAACAATTTATTCAAATGGGTTTCTTCAAGATCATCCTGCACTGTGGTCCGCATCACGCCGTCGATCAAAATATGTAGTTGTCATGTATGTCATATGTCAAAATATTCCGTCCAGCGTTGCCAGAAATTGCGAAAAGGTTGAAATTTGAAGATTTTTTCCTATTATACGGGTTTAAAAATAGATAGATTGATCCTCCCTGATTCACCCGTAATAAGTATTAATTCAATATACTTCTGACGGCATTTCTTTCAGTCTTTTAGGTTCTACCCCGCCGATCTATCGGTGATTGATTGGCTTGGATCGTACTACATCGAGATGCAGGTGGTGGAAAAGGCTTTAGTGTATTTCGAAAAAGCTGCAATAATGCAGCCTAATGAGCCAAGATGGAACATGATGGTAGCTGCATGCCACAGACGCAGCGGAAACATGCATAAAGCGTTAACACTCTATCAGGTAAGTTCACTTACATGTACATTCTGATAAATATACGGTGAGGACCAAGCGCGGAAAGTGTGTAAGGTACATATGTTAGGAAGAGATAGAAGCCAATGCTCATCACGACGTTGCCTAGCAACGGTGACGCAGAAGGTCGTGCAATTTGGAATTGAAGATATGCGTTGGTTTATTCTTTTATATTATATTATATTTTAGTTTAAAAAATTTTGAAACTAATTTGAGTATTCCGAAATTTGAAAAATAATTTGAAAATTTAAGAAGCATTCGGAAATTGTGGTAATTGAAAAAATTTGGACTAAAATATACCAAAAATCAAAGCCTTTGATTATAAGTACTTTTGTTGTCGTTTAGAAACTGCATATTCAGAAAACAAATTATAGTTAGAAAAAAACTAAAAGAAAAAAAGCTTTAATAGCAAAATGACCTAGTAGAAAATAATTTTTAATTACAGAAAAGTTTGACTAACTTGAAACACAATAAAAATTTCGAATTAAAATTAAAAAAAAAAATTTGAAATTTGGAAAAAACATTATTCTAAAATTTTTAAAATAATTGGAACTTTGAAAAATAGTTTGATCAGTAAGAAATTTTGAGGAAAATTTGGATAATTCGAAAATGCTTTGGGAATTTCAAAATTTGAAAAAAATTAGAACAAAACATACCAAAATCGAAGCTTTCGTTATCGTTTTGAGATTGGAAATTCAGAAATTAAATAGATCAAGTCACTCATTTCTTTGTCATTCCAAGTTTTAAAGACAAATGGCCAATGGGTGACTATAATTGCCAGGGTTGGTCAAAAAAATGATTTTTTACCCCTTTAGCGATTTTTATTTTTTTGGTTTTTGATCTTTTTCTTCTCCGAAACTGTATCGACATCCAAAAACATTCTTTTTCGTTCTTCATTCTCATTCTTTTCACGATTACAATACAAGGAAGTAAAAGGATAAACTATGTTATTGTTAAAAAATAGATGCAATTGCAATTGAAAGTGAAATTATGACATGGTGGAAAATATACTCCATTGTCCGTTAACCGATAGTTATTTTTGACTTGCCGTTTTGTGTCAAATCAAAAGCATTATGTATTTAGTTATTGGGAAGTGATATTTCACTCTCACTGATTTAATAGAAGTTTTATATAAGATTCATCATTTTCTCAATAGGAGATTCACAAACAGTTTCCTGAAAACGTGGAATGTTTGAAGTTCCTTGTTAGGCTGTGTACCGATTTAGGCATGAGAGAAGCGCAGGATTATATTGCCGAGCTCAAGAGGCTGGAAAAAGCTAACGAAATAAGAGAAAGAGTGGGGAGCAGTAGACCAGGTAAGGCCAAAGACTTCTCACGATTTGACAAGGTAACTGTTCGCCAAATCTAATCTGATCAAACCTTTTCAAACCGTGTCAATGCATATTAAATGGAAGTATTGTGTATACGTACGTCATTAGTTTTGCATTAGATGAAAGATGTTGGTTTCGCAGAACGGAATGCAGTATTCAAAGTAATGCAATAGTTATGTAGCGTTTTTCTGGGTTCGTTTGAGTGTGGATTAAAACACTGGATTTCACAAAAAGAAATGCACTGATTTATTTACTTGAAAACGTATCTGATCTTGAAGATCATGGTCATAAGGTTCATAATGGCAAGGATATTCCTGAACTTGAAATTATATTTGCAAAATGTTCATTTCAGGAATTAAAAATATAATGTAACGCGTTTCAGAAAACTGTCTGTCTGTCATCATTAGACGAATCCTTTCAAATCTTATATGAAGTACTGCATGGTATTTTTTTTAGGTTCACGTAAGAGCAACAGTGGCTTATCATCTAGAGCTGGATCAGGTTTTACACCGGTTCCAGAAAATGTGGTGATGTCCAGTCCTCGAAATTCGGCGAATAGGAACTTGAGATCCAGACTCATTCAATCTCATAACAGTGCCAGCAGTAACGAATCACTATACGGACAACAGACAGCTGGTATGCGACTTTGTTCAATGAAAAATCCGGAATTTAGAAAAATAATATATCTATAAAAACTAAAAAAAATCGATTCAACGTCAAATTGATATAATATAAAATAATTTTCAGTTAGAGAAAAGTTTGCGTTGCTGCAATAGAAAGGCCAGAAATCAAGTATGACTGCTTAATTTGAAATAAGGTCAATATAAAAATTACAATATCAACAAAAATTTCATGACAGTAAGAAACTATACTTGAAAATTATTTTCTACTTTCTGGTTCGGTTTATTATTGAAGCGTGTTTTTTTAGTTTATTTAAACTATAATTTATTTCGAAGTCTTACAGGTGTTTCATAAACCTAGGCTACCTACAGTTTCATTGTGTGCGCATCAGGTGTAATGTTCTTAATATTCTTGTTACTTTCCAGATGCAAGTTATTCTGATCCACTCGGACCACAACCTGTAAGACCAAGAACCGGCGCCGGCAGACCGTTAGATTTTGATGATTTCGCAAACGAAGAGTTAGGTGATGATCTGTTGCCAGAATAAACCTCTCTAAGACGAGTGCACAATGAATAATATAAGTTCGACAAAATATTTATCTAGAGTTACATTACAATGAAAGAAGCTATAATAAAATATGAATATTTTTGCATTCTGTTTGATTTTTCCCATCGCGTTTATTCTCTGCTGGATCACGTTAATTTCTATCATTAATAATAATTGTTGATCCTGTCGAATTATTTGCAGAAAACTGTTTTGCATTCTGTCCCACATAATATTTTGTGACTTCAAACCTTCACATACCTGGTTTTGCCAACGGTGCATTGCGTTGGCATTTCTACTGCAAACGATTTTACGTGGTTTCCGTTTCCACCGCTAGGAGCACATTTCTCTTCAGCATGGGCATGGAAGTTTCACATCTTGAAATGTCGACTCTGTGAGGATAACAACTGACAAGCAGTGTTACCAAATCTACCGATTTTAGTCCTATGCTACCGAACTATGGATTCTCATGCGGATCTACCAAAAAATGTATCAGGTTCTTAAACAGCAATGTTAAATATAATTCAGCTGAGCATAAGAATAGAGCACTTTGCCACCCTCACCCCTCCCCTCTGCTCAATTTTCCATTTGATGTAACCCCGCGCTCCTCAATTTTTTTAAATAGCTGCATTTCAACTCAACTTTCAAAACCGTGTGAGGGTCAAGCAAGTTGCCTCCTCTACACTTGTCCAGCATTAGGAGATGGATCAAATGGAATTCACCCACAACAAGCACAAAAATCCCTCAAATTCAAGTTTTTTAAAAATCTCCCCCTAGATCTACAGATCTACCGAAAACAGACACTAAACACAAATGTAGTGACTTTAATTTTTTTTTTGCTTAACTTGGCAAACCTGTGTTTCAACATTTTCTGGAAATTCTTGACACTTTCAAATGTATTCCTGATTTTTCTTGTTTTCGCATATTTTTCACAAAATGTTGCATTTAGTGAACTTATCGAGAAATTCTCGGCTTTTGTCAAATCTTTCGAAGAGACACTTGCGGAGGGTCAGCAGAAGTTTGAGCGAAAATGGAACTTTAACCTCCAATACAAAGTGCCGCATAAATAGGAATGAAACGTTAAAAAATACGCTGTTTAGCAGCAGTACCTCAAGCAGACTGTTAAAAAATAATATAGCCAACCCGAAGTTCTTAGCTGCAGCTAGATTTTGTAGTACGAAAAACCCTGATGGCTCGGACGAGGATGCAGGGGCACCACATGAAGAGGAGTCATTTAACCCCCAACTGCCTGCAACAGTTGCGGTCCCAGAGGTTTGGCCCCATGTGCCGGTAATAGCCATTTCCAAGAATATCGTGTTCCCTAGATTCATAAAATTGATCGAACTTACCAACCCACAATTGATCGAGCTGATAAGGAGGAAAGTAAAGTTGAATCAGCCTTATGCGGGTAAGGTATTTGTAATAGTTGAGTAGTATTTTTGTTGCAGTACTTTAAAATCCTGTTCAAAGTTCAGTCATATCAGTCTTATTTAATGTTACATTGTGAATTTTCACTGTAGGATGTCAGATGGTATTTTGCAATAAGTAAGATCATACGCAGTCACCAGTCACTTTAAAAATTACAAGTTATTGTTCAAAAACGTTATTTTTCAGAATATCTGAAAGTACATTAAGTGATAAGTCATCTTCTGGGTCAGACATATCAGCATCATTTAACTGGTGTAGAGTTTGAATATCTTCTTGCTTAAATCTTGCTTTGCAGAAGCAATTTTGCACTGTTTCTTTGGTTACCAAGTCCCAAGCAGTTTTCAGTAATTCTAAAATTCAATATTGTTTAAGCAAATGTCAAATCCTGCATTGTCTAAAAATAAAAAAATGTTCCTTTTTTCTTTAGCCATTTTCTAACAAAGGCCTTGCAACCACTGTGTCATAATTTGTCTTGTCATCCAAGCTTTTGTATTGCATTTCCAAGTTACATGCATGTTATTTGTGTTAATGTTTTTAAAAGCTGTGGGTTTAGCTTCCTTATCAATGACTAGGAGTTTTTATTTCATACCCATGATTCGTCGGTAAACACTTCGCATGCCAATAGGTCTTCCGTGTTCTGCAAACCATTCATTTGCAATGGACCTGGTAGTGGAGAAACGGTCCCTTAAGGCCAATAATCTTAGTCGGCGATCTTCACGGTCTGTTGTTCTACGGCGGCGTCCAGTGCCCCTTGCTCTTTGCGTACGGCCTTCTCGAAGCCATGCCTGACAACACTTAACCACAGTGTCTACACTTCTTTGCACTCTAACTGCAATTGCCCGAAAAGAAAGTCCAGCTTCCCGAAGTCTCACTATACGGCCCCTATCAAACTCACTAAGTTGACGAAATCGTACAGGTCTCCGTACATCGTAACCGATCGTAAAGGATGTCAAGAACCAAAATCCGCCAACGTTGATTCTTTACTGCGGCTGAAATATTCATTTTTAGAGTGTTAGTGAATTAAAAAAAAGCAGTATAAAAACCGGAATGTCCAACTGATAAGGCTGAAAATTTTTTCACTTGTTATTTACAGTAAGATAAATACATTCACAAACTTTTATTAAAATAAAACCATTTAAACTGGGTGTTCGGATTTATATGTCACCCAGTATATTTTAGAATTAATAGATCATGTTGCTAAATAACACATTTTTTTTCTTATTTATTACAAATTTTAAAGTAGTAAAGTAAAACATGTAAGTAGTCATAATATATTTCATTTTATTTCAAAAGCATCAACATTGTTACTGCCGAATGTTTATTTTTCCTATATACTTTATGTCGTTTAATTTGGTTATTTTATAAATAACCAGTAATATTTTTGATGCAGGTATATTTTTAAAAAAGCAAGAGGAAAACGAATCTGAAGTTGTCAATAATGTAGATGATGTATATAAAGTAGGAGTATTTGCCCAGATCCATGAAATGCAAGACCTTGGTGACAGGTTAAGACTAGTTGTGATGGCACATAGAAGAATAAAGATAACAGGGCAGTTATTTGATACTGTAGAAGATGAACCTAAAGGTATGTATGACGTACGACCAAAGTTTATTGCAATAGCATACCTGAAAAATCAGGGAAATTTGAGAAATCAGTCTTAGAGTCCCTGATTTTTTGTATTAAATTCTCTTGACTAGTGCACTTTTAGTTCTTTATCTACAAGTACTTGTTGTGAAATGTGAATGTAATATTTTTCAGCTGTTAATTTTTTTTTTGACTTGCATTTTCATTTCTCTAGCACTGAAACTAACCTTTCCTTCATTCAAAACAACAATGCACATATTTCCAGAGGAATCAGAGGTAGCTAGAAGGCGCAAATTGAGGAACAATCGACCAGCGAAAAAGCAGGAGTCCAAGCCTGCTGACGAGAAGGCTGATGCCAAAACGAAAACGCCTCTAAAGGAAGGTCTTCTAATGGCCGAGGTCGAGAATGTTATGCATAACAAATTCAGACAGACAGAGGAAGTTAAGGCTCTGACTCAAGAAGTTATTAAAACTATAAGGTGAAAATTGAACAGTCCCTAAGAAAAATGTTTTTTTTTAATCGACCATTTTTTTCAGGGACATAATAAGTCTGAATCCTCTATATAGAGATAGTTTGCAGCAGATGATGCATCAAGGTCAGAGGGTTGTTGACAACCCTGTATATTTAAGTGACTTAGGGGCTGCGTTGACGGCTGCAGAAAGTAAGGAGTTGCAAGAAGTATTGGAAGAAATGGATGTAAGTGTTGAAACATTTATAAAGAAATTTTCAACAGTTTGTTGATCATCATTACTGTAATGCAAATTTATAATAGTGGCGGGTTATAAATCTTTATGGAAGTGATCTTGATTCCCTTTATATACAGGGTGTTAATTAAGTATGTACCATAAATTCAACAGACGATTTTAATTTGTAATTTTAAGATAAAAGTCCAGTGGGATCTGAACGAATATTTGTGACAAAAAACACTTTTGTATATTGATTTTTTTGTATCTTGCTCAGACCACACAAGGAATATGGGGAAAAGTTTCTTTTGGAAATAATTTTTTTTGCCGGTTATTATTTCAGATACCAAAACGTTTGATGCTAACGTTATCCCTCTTGAAAAAAGAATACGAGTTATCGAAACTGCAGCAAAAAATCGGTAGGGAAGTAGAGGAGAAAGTCAAACAACACCACAGAAAATACATTTTACAAGAACAACTGAAGGTATTTCCAAAAATAATTATTTTGTGTGTAGAAATATCCAAGTAGCTATTTGTAGGTGATTAAAAAAGAATTGGGATTGGAGAAAGAGGACAAAGACGCGATAGGGGAGAAATTTAAAGAGAGAATAAAAGACAAGGTTTTACCGCAGGCGGTTTCTTCTGTTATAGACGAAGAATTGAACAAGCTTGGTTTTTTGGAAAGTCACAGTTCGGAATTTAAGTAAGTATGGACACGTTAGTGGAAGCAAGGAAAGCTATTTAATGATATTTAGAACAATTTATGAAAAAGGTACATTTTGCGTTTTGAGATACCCTGTGTATATAGAAATATATTTTAGCATTTCTTCTAGATCAGCTTAAAATCAATGATAATAAAATCTTTTTGAACTGAAATTTATCTAAGTAACTTAAAAAATGACGGACTACGAGCCGTCAAAGTTGGGCATTTTTTCAGACATCCCACCAAATATCTAAAGCACTGACAATCGAAACCGTATGTTATATGTTCTTGATTTGAGAAGCTCTATTCAAATATGTAATAAAATATAAGATATTCTATTTAAAAAAATACATATTTGCTATGGCACACAGTTATGGAACACCCTGTACATATCAAAATAATTTTAAAGTATGCACTAGCAACATATCAAGGTTACCAAGAAGACAAATTTTTGATATATTTTCCAGTTTGCTTGTGAAACTACTTTTAATTTTTGTTGGGACACCCTGTATCTATATTGGCCTGATTGGCGGGTAACAGTAATTTAGATTTCAGAAGGACATTTGAGACTATAGATAGGGAAAATTCAGTATTACACATTTTACAAAATTGTTTAGGAAATAGAAGTGATATGATGAAAAAATTGAAGAAATCTAATTATTTAAATATCTTTGTATAAACAGACTGAGCAAAAGTGGAGAAACATTTTATTTTATTAAAGATTTTATTATACTATTAAAGTAAACTAAACACTTTTTTTATTATAACTCAATGTAACATGTAATAAATAACAATTATTATTAGAAAATACAGCGAGCAAAAATAGAGAATACAAAGCAATTTTCTTATACAAAGAAGCTAATACTTGGTTGCATAACCTTTATTTTCGATAGCTGCTAGATATCTTTTTTTCATAGAACCGATTAAGCTATCTATTGTTTCTTTTGGAATAGAATTCCAGACGACTTCGATTGTTTCAAATAGTTCGACACTATTTTTGAACTTTTCTGGATGTTCAGTCCGAATTTTTTTATTAACTAAATTCCATAGGTTCTCTATGGGGTTAAGGTCTGGACTCGGAGCTGGCCACTTAATGACATTAATATTGTGATCTGCAAAAAATGTTTTTATGATTTTCGCTGTGTGCTGGAACCGCCAGCGTAGAGGCATGTTTTTTCTGCGTAAAGTAGCACGGTATCGGTTAATATTTCCAAGTATTTGTTACCGGTCGATAATTCCTTCAATTTTGACGATGGGTCCCATTTGAAGACCACAGAAGCAACCTTCCCGCCTCCGTGTTTGATTGTGTCCAAAGTGAACTTAGGATCAAATCGCTTGTTTTTAGGACGCCTTACCCATAAAATGAAATCCGATGAAAGTAAATTAAATCAACTTTCATTAGAAAATAATACAGGATTCCACCTTGTTTCTGACCAGTTCAAATGATCGTAAGCAAATTGAAGACGGGCGGTCCGATTTTTCTTGGAAATAAAGGGTTTTTTAGATGGTCTCCTTGCTGGTAAATCACTCTCCCTTAAACGACGTTGAATAGTGTGGACACCAATATTTACTTCTTCAAGTTGAACTTTTATGTCGACAGTAGTAGTGAATGGATTTTTAAGAGCCAGTGTTTTAATTTTCCTATCAATCCTAGGAGTGGTTTTTCGCGGTCTACCAGTCTTAGGAGGGCTTACCAACGATTTTCTGAGCCGGAACAGCTTAATAGTTTTGCAAATTACCGATCGGCTTAAATTCAGCTGTTTGGCTATGGCGTTTTGCTTGTTTAATGCCTGATCGATATTTTAAAATAATCAATTCTTTTATTTGCAAATTCAATGTAATTCCTCTGGCCATGTTTTTGAACTACACCTTACCGAATACACTCAAAAATAACACCTATTCTAATCAACGACTAGAGTCGTAAATATTTACAAAATGTTCCTCTACTTTTGCTCGTTCTGAACAAAAAACCGACCATATTATATTGAAAAAAAAGAAGTATACAAAGATAAGCATTTCAATATCTTGAGGTAGTCATACATAAAAAACTTTAGTGTACAGTTTTGGGTTAGAGTAAATCTTTATGGATTTTTATTTGTTTCTCTACTTTTGCTCGGTACTGTATGGATAGTAAACTGCAGTTTCAACAATATCAAAAAGATATATTCTATATATTGCAGTTTCCCATAATTTGAGTTTTCCAAAAAATTGTGTATAACACTATAATTCTTCCCCATCTTTTATATTGTTCAACTGTTACGGCAAATGTAAATATATTTTCAAAATTACAAATTCTACAAAATAAAGCTAAGCGATCATTATAAATAGGAACAAATATGCTAAGCTTAAGTCTATATTAAAAGAAATGCAGTGGTTGAATGTAAAAAATTTTATATGATATTTGGTTCTCATTTTTAAATTAAAAGCTCATTTATTACCATCACATTTAGAAAACTTTACAAAATTGAATAGTCATTATCATAACTACGAAACTAGAGGCAGTATAGATTTTCATCTGCAAAATTGTAATAGTAGCATAACTAGCAAATCTGTATTTCAAAAGAGAGTATTTGAATTTAATAATGATATACTAAGTGACATATAAATCCGAACACCCAGTTTAAATGGTTTTATTTTAATAAAATTTTGTATAAGTACTTAATGAAGCATAATAAGTAAATGATAAAAGTTTCAAAATGATTGCACTGCTTTAAAGCACTTTGACCTTTAATAATGTGTGGATGCACCTACGCATTCTCCAACGCGCCTAGGCATGCTTCTGATCAGGTGGTCAATGTCCTCCTGTGGTATCTCATTCCAGGCAACCACCAACTCCTCTCGAAGTGCTTCTAGAGTCTGAGGAGGACGTTGCAAATTGAGCAATCTCCTACCCATCATATCCCACACGTGCTCAATTGGGGATAAGTCGGGAGATCTTGGTGGCCATGGTAACAATGTGACATCATTATGTTGAAAGAAGTCTAAAGCCTAAACAAAATCGAGACTCGTCACTAAAGACAATACTGTTCCATTCCTGATCCCAGAGTGACCGTTGTCTCCACCACTCAAGGCGATTACGTCGGTGTTCTCGAGTTAAAGGGAGGACCCAGTGTGGCCGGTATGAAAACAAGCCAAAACTTATTCGTCGGTAAACACTTCGCATGCCAATAGGTCTTCCGTGTTCTGCAAACCATTCATTTGCAATGGACCTGGTAGTGGAGAAACGGTCCCTTAAGGCCAATAATCTTAGGCGGCGATCTTCACGGTCTGTTGTTCTACGGCGGCGTCCAGTGCCTCTTGCTCTTTGCGTACGGCCTTCTCGAAGCCATGCCTGACAACACCTAACCACAGTGTCTACACTTCTTTGCACTCTAACTGCAATTGCCCGAAAAGAAAGTCCAGCTTCCCGAAGTCCCACTATGCGGCCCCTATCAAACTCACTAAGTTGACGAAATCGTACAGGTCTCCGTACTCTAGGCATCGTAACCGATCGTAAAGGATGTCAAGAACCAAAATCCGCCAACGTTGATTCTTCATTATTTACTGCGGCTGAAATATTCATTTTTAGAGCGTTAGTGAATTAAAAAAAAAGTAGTATAAAAACCGGAATGTCCAACTGATAAGGCTGAAAATTTTTTCACTTGTTATTTACAGTAAGATAAATACATTCACCAACTTTTATTAAAATAAAACCATTTAAACTGGGTGTTCGGATTTATATGTCACTTAGTATATTAAACAATGTTCGGACTTAAAAATGCTTAAAGTGACATTAAAAAATCACTTTATGAATACTCAAAATGCATAGCGATGTAGTTTTGAAGGACAATAACGTAAAATTAACATTGTAGCATTAATGCTGAATAAATCAATAAATACCTTGTTCATTTTTAAGCGTGACTCGTAACTACTTGGATTGGTTGACGTCATTACCGTGGGGTGTACAAAGCGAGGAAAATTTGAATCTGCAGAGAGCCTCCGAGATCCTTGACCAAGATCATTACGGTATGGACGATATCAAGCGGCGCATTTTGGAATTTATCGCGGTCAGTCAGCTGAAGGGTAGTACACAGGGTAAAATTCTATGTTTCCACGGACCGCCTGGCGTTGGAAAGACTAGCATTGGTAAGTTTATTTATTTATCAACGAGCGACTGCCCAATAATAGTAATATTAAGTAATGGATGTTCTATTTTCTATTAAAGCATAGCATTATACTGAACATAAGGATCTAGCTAGTTGGTCATCGACCAGTGCCAATAACACAACAAAAAAAAAACGAATTTAATTAAAATATACATATATGGGGAAATCAAATATTAAATATTACTGACATATTACTGAATGCTTTCTGACTTCTGAAGAAATCCAACTTGTTAGAATACTGATTTGCTAACCTTGAAGATCTAGACAGGATGGAATTGCTAGCATAATTAGTACGAAATGATCTCACGTGGAATGGTTGATTCAGTCTTGTTTGACGAGAAGGCTCATGGAGATTAATATTTTTCTTTAAGTTCTGGAGCAAAACTAAGAGAGTGCAAAATATAAGTTAGATTTTATGCAAACTTAATAAGGTTTAGCTCTTCTGAAACATTAAAAAATTATGGTATATAGCGACATTTCACGCATTAAATTGTTACATTATTTTTGAGTATTGCTATAAATACATTAGTAAATTGACAGTCAACTTGCGTGCTTGTAAAATTTGGGTATTTTATTAATGGAACCACCTACAAGCTGAGGTGTATCTAAAAAATTGATGATACAGGATGCGGCAGCAGAGCTTCATTTTTTCAAAACTTAATGAAGCTCATTGTAGGAATCAGAACATTCTTACTTGTCTCTTATGTAAGCGCATGCCTAGAGTTTTGTTTTCCATGGTTTTGAAGATCAAATCAAAAAGTTAACATCCCCCATTCTCCGTGTAAACCGATTTCTGGTGTTTGTCATGTCTCTTGCCGACATAGGCGTTATGTTGGCATTTTGTTGGTCTTCAAACATTGCAGGGTCCTTGAACGGTTCTCATCAACACAGTATTTCAAAAAACCCCATAGAAAAAAATCACAAGGTGCCAAATCGGTAGAGCGAGCCGGCCACTCCAAATCGTCCCTAATTGAGATGAGGCACTCAAAACAGCTATCGATGCACTTGAAGTGTGCGCCATTGCGCCTTCTTGTTGGAACCAAAAAGTCCAGCTCATCTAGCCGTGGAAAACATTTCTGAGGAATGTTTACATATCGGTCTGAATTCACTGTCACTGTCAGGGACGAATAATTCCAGCTGAGGAAATTGCGCACCAAATTGTGGCCTTTGGTGCAATTCTCGATGTTTTGTTTGTTGACGGATCCACTAAAATGAAAATTTGGCTTTATCAGTAAAAAACCAATAGCGTCCTCGAGGAGACGCTCAGACACGATCAGAAAGTTCCTGCACAATTTCCAACTTATAAGGATGTTTTCTTACAATTGGGAAACAGGTTTTGTTTAAAGCAAGGCCTTCCTCTTTTCTATTGAAATTATCATTGTGTTTATAGATTTCAATTGCTTCTCTGTACATTCTGGCTGAGTAGTGGGTGGATGTTGATGCGACTTCAGTTTGGTCGAACAGAACATTGTGGCCGTCTTGGAGTGCGTGTTCGGCCACCGCTAATTTGTCAGTTTGTCCCAGTCGTCAGTTTCTTTCATGTTCCTTGATGCGTGTTTGGAAGCTACGTTTAGTGTTGTCTACGTATACTTTGCCACAGGAACAGGGTCCCTAAGGTCCTTTACCGATGTTAGGAGTTGCTGGATTTTATTTGTCGGCTTGTAGATGGTCTTCAGATTCGCGCACTTTTTTATGCTATCCAGCCACGGTATATCTTACGAACTTTTCAGCAAGATCCATCGCCAGGGCACTGAACAGGGAGTATTTTCGGTTTTCTGTGGGCGGGATGACAGACGTGGCTGAAATCAAGGGACACCGAAGAACCTATGTTGGCGCGATGCCTGGGAAAGTTATACAGTGCCTTAAGAAGACGAGAACCGAAAATCCCTTGGTGCTTATCGACGAGGTTGATAAAATCGGAAAGTAAGCAAATTATTTTGTAAATACGTTGGTTCACATTTTTTATATTAATCATTGATCAACATGTCCCACCAGAAGAGACTCAATCCACGGTGCTTGGATGTCAGCACTGCTGTAAATGTAGAAATACAGCATAGGTTTGGGCATCTTGGCCAGTATGTTAATCCATGTATTAAATTACATTCACACCATGAAAATAATTATTTGGAATTTAGATAAGATTTTTACACCGTCTCGTTTGTCCAGATGAGAGGTACCATAATTTATATCAACAATCTTTTCTAGAGGTTACTCGGGCGATCCAAGTTCCGCACTACTAGAACTATTAGACCCTGAGCAAAACTCAAACTTTTTGGACCATTACCTCGACGTTCCTGTGGATCTGTCCAAAGTATTGTTCATTTGTACTGCCAATGTAGTTGATACAATCCCTGAACCGCTTAGGGATAGAATGGAAATGATAGATATGTCAGGGTAAGTAATAAGTACAACTATTAGATATACGAGGATTGTTTCAAAATATTCTTTTCAGGCACAAAGAATTTTTTATTTTTTTTGAATTATGGTTTGCAATGAAATATTTTTTCAATACCCATTCGAACACATCTTGATATCATTACCTGATGTATTAAATTCGTTCAAACCTTTTTGAAATACGCAATTGTTTATTCTATTGCTACTACATTTTTGTAACTGAAAGTCTATAACTATAAAATTTTCTAAATGATTTGGTAGATGATTTTTCAACTTGGATATGAAAACCAAGTAGGTTATGAAATTTTCGATATTTAATTATTGTAGTTTTGTCAGCATAATATTTATTCTAGTATATTTAAGATGATTCTGGTGTCATTATTTTCTAATATTTGTTATTTTGAAAAAAAAAACAGTTTCGTTTGTAGTGAACAAAATAGTCGTACAATATAACAAATGAGGAAGAAGGAAGATAATAATTGGCTCATAGAAAGATTATGAATAACTTGCATGTGACATACAGTAGCAGACAAAAGTTTGGAAACATTCTTAGTAATTTTTAAAAAGTGCGCGAATTTTTTATTCTTTATTATTAATGACTATTTTTTTTTAAATAGTTTGCTTACAGTCTTGGGGATATAATCACAATTTGTGTTTGCTGTGGTACTACAGACTAGCATTAAAATACCTTCATATTATTTTATGACTAAAAATGAGACGACAAAAGTATGGAAACATATTTATTACAAAATTAAATACAATAACTCTACAAAAAGATTTAAAAAATACTGTTTAGCTAATATTTGGTAACATAGCCTTAAGCCTTCAACACTGCCTGACATGTGCTGTTAATAGAAGACACCAACTTTTTACAGACGTTTGTCGAGATATTTTGCCAAATATTTTTTTACATAATCAAATAAATCGTTCCTATGTTTAAAATTTTTTCTCGTCAGTTGTCTTTCAACATGCTCCAGGGGATGTTCTATAGGGTTTAGGTCCGTGGGTGACGAAGGCCATGTAAGAACATTAACATTTTTTAGTATTAACCAGTCCTTTGTGATTTTTGATGTATGCTTGGGGTCATTATCTTGCTGGAATGTCCCTCGTAAAGGCATTGCTTCTTTAACAAAAGGGAGCATGTGTCCACTAAGAATATCTTTGTAAAGTTTCGGATCCATTTTCCGAACAATTTTAACAATTGGGCCCGTTCCAGAACTAGAAAAACAGCCCCAAAACATGATGTTGCCTCTACCATCCTTAACTGTTGGCAACTGATACTTTTTGTGAATCTTTTTCTTTTTTTAGAAAAAACAAATTACAGATAATGCATATATTATTATCTATAATTAGATTAGTGAGCAGCTTAATGGCGAAGTTTAGCTAAGGCAGCTATTCTTACACTGAACCATTAACTGCATAAGAATAATAGATGGTAAAAAAGTACAGCAGTAAAGAAAATAAAAGGCGGAAAATGCCCATGTAACTGATTACAACCTAAATAAAAATTAGCTTAAAGATATAATGCTGGAGAAAAACACCTTTAAGAATCACCATTGAGCAGAAGAGCTTTTAAGTGTTTTTTAAAACTATACAGCGGCAGGCTTTTTGTTCTGTAATCTATTGTACAACATTCATGCATTATATGAGAAGGACCTGTTAAAAACAGATGAACTATGAAGTGGCATTGTTAAAGCGAATGTGTTACGGATATGTCGTTGATGAACATTATACCTAAAAATTAGTTTTTCACGTAAATAAATTGGAGTTCCAGAGACAAGTAACTTATGTATAAAGGTTAGATAGTTGTATTTAACTAAATCTGTCATCTTCAACCTACCTATTAAAGGATAACGATCCGAAACCTGATCAAATTTTCTTAAACTAAATATGAATCGTACGCAGTTATTTTGTACTACAGATATTCTGTTACGACTTGCAACATCCAAACAAGGATGGTAAACTAGATTGCAATAATTAAAAATAGATAACACAAAAGATTCACACAACTTTTTTCGCACTTTAAAATTCAGCAAATTTTTGTTCGCATACAGAGTTCTGTACCGTCAGATCCAAACAAGTTAAGTTTGCTTCCATCGCTCCGTAAAACTGTATTTCATTGTTGTTCTATCGAAGTTAGCAAATTCCAGTTGAGCAATACGATTTTTTTTTTGAAATCGACGACTACCAAAAAGCCCAAAATCCACCAAGCGTCTATGCACTGTTCTAACAGAAATGTTCTCGGCACCCTATTCTACGATTCTTTTAAAAATCTGTGACTGGCATTCGAGGATCTTCATGGGACAAACGTTTAATGTAGCGATCCAAAACAAAATCGTTTTTTTTTTTTCGGTTTTCCGCACCTGGGCTGCGCTGCTGTTGATCCGTATTCTTGTTATTTACTAATAATTTTCAAAGTCGTCCCTTTGTTCATTTTTAATCTTGACAACATTTCTGACATCACTTCTAAAAAATTCATTTACTTTGTCTCTTAAATCTTTTGAAAATTCTTTTAATTTTGCCATTCTCACTGATGTTAATATTTACCGCGTTTTTATTTTTAGAGAATTTGAATATTGATAAGATAAACCTTGAATTAGTACGGGAGTCAAAGGTAGACTTTAATACATATTTATATTATCTCACAATTTTAATTTAGGTATATGAAATAGTTCATAATAATGTTCATATTTGTTTCCAAACTTTTGTCCGCTACTGTAGCTTGATTATTTTGTGCCATATTTTATTTTCCCATATTTTAACTTAATTCATCAATTTTTCGATTTTCTTGAATGATCAATATTGTAGATCGATATTGTAATTTAAAATTGATTTTTTGAGATGGCTGAAAATGACGCCTATAAGTAAACATAACCAAAATTTTAAAGTATTTACAGAAAATCTAAAAAAAATTTTTCTTGAAATTAATGTCGGAATGAAATGTTTATAGATATGTGGCAGAAGAGAAATTGGCTATCGCGAAGCAGTACTTATTACCACAGGCGATGCGGGACAGTGGTTTGAAAGACGATCAAATTCAGGTTAAGGACGAAGCTTTAACTATATTAATTAAAAGTTACTGCAGAGAAAGTGGTGTTAGAAATTTACAGAAACACATTGAAAAGGTTAGTAGTATTTGAAAGATAACCGAAAACCATATTTTAAATGTGATATAAAAAATACTTGTCTAGACATACGTTGGTTTCAGGTGGTTCGCAAAGTAGCATATAAAGTTGTGAAAGACGAGGCTTCGTTTGTTGACGTGGATAGTAACAATCTACAAGAATTTGTTGGAAAACCAGTATTTACACACGACAGAATGTATCCTGTCACTCCGCCTGGGGTTGTTATGGGACTTGCGTGGACTGCCATGGGTATGTATAAAAAACAAAATGGTATTTTTTTTTTTAATTAGAGGTACGCCACTTAAATTATTGTCATAATTATCTGCATAACAGAAAACATAAGGTTAAAATTGAAAATATACTTAGTGAAGAAATGACTGTAATGTATGGAGTTCTATAAGGAACAATACTTACGCCGCTTCCTTTTTAATGTATATATCAACGGCATATAGTCTATCAAAAAATAGGATTTGCAGATGACACCACTATCATCGATAAAGTCAGAACTTGGACAAAATTAAAAGAAGAAATTAAACAAGATCTAGTACAGATAACAGACTGGTTTGAAAATCTATTAATTATAAAAAAACCTACTTTATTTCCACATAAATAAATTACTGCTAAATACAGCAGACGCTCGATAATGTAAACTAATTTAATCCAAGTGTGGTTCACATTATCGAAATGTTTACATTAGCGAACGTGATTTATATAATATTTGATTTATTAAAAGAAACGTTTAATACATACTATTTATAACACAATAAACAAATATTCTAACAGCGATAAGTATTTTTTTAATTAGAAGAAAAATAATTAACAATTTTTGTCTGCGTAAATTTGCGCTTAGCATTGTCTTCCAATGCCTGCGCCCGTAATTTACGAAGAACTAAAATATCCGTGTATGAAACTTCTTTTCTTTCAGTCCAATCTGAGGCTTGGTTAAAAACTTTTATAGCTTGCGCGTCAGTCACTACACTTCTGACTTCAATGGGATCGTTCTCATCATCTTCACTGTCCATATCCTCCTCCTTATCAGCATCATTCGTCTGCTTATCTTCGTTCCATAAATTAATATCAGCAGGAGTACAAACAATGTTGGGATTCACTGTTTTCAATAAATCAACTACATCCAATGACACACTAATAACATTATCATTATTGGATCGCAAACGTTCTCTAATTACGCTTAAGGGGACATCGTCTTCTTCATCATCTTCATTATTAGTACAAAAGAGATTGTTCCAACATTTTTGAATAGTTTGCTGGTTAAGTTCATTCCAGGCCATATGTAAATCTAAAACAGCTTCTCGTAATGTTACTTTTTTTAAAGCCTCAGATAAGTTTTCAGGATTCTTTGATAAGACAGGCGAAAGTAGAAACTTCCTATAGTATAGTTTGGTGAGTCTTATTATATTCTGGTTCATCGGTTGAATTAACGGTGTTACGTTGGGCGGCATGTACATGACGAAAATTGACCCATCCCTGCTCCTCAGTTGTTGCTCGGGAGGATGACTTGGTGCATTATCCAATAATAACAACGCTTTTATTGGAAGCTTCTGTTGTTTTAGGAAACCTTTTACCTACAAATTGAAAACACATCTTCAAATTATGAATAGAGCATTTTTGATAATTGATTGTCATACCTGAGGGACAAAGCACCTGTGGAACCATTTCAGGAATATACTGCTAGTCATCCAAGCGGTTTTTGAACAGTCATAATCACAGGGATATTAACATTTTTAAATGAGTGCGGATTTTTTGCTTTCCCAATTACCAGAGGCTTTATTTTGTGTGAACCATTAGCATTAGTGCAGGCTAGAAAGTTATTCGTTGTTTCTCCGGTTTTCTTCCCGGGGCAGATTTTTCAAATGATGCAGCATAGGTTTTCTCTGGTAACGTTTTCCAATAAAGGCCACTTTCATTTGCGTTGTAAATTTGTTCCATTCTTCAATCTAGCTCGGTAATTGTTTTCATCAATTTTTCTTTGAATGGTTACACTAATTGTGGTTGTGCTGATAATTTTTCACCAGATATAGACAGCAGTCGAATTCCATATCTTGTTTTGAATCGTTGTAGCCAGCCATCACTAGCTACGAAATTTTCAGTTTCTTTCAGTTTTTCATTTAACAGTCTCGCTCTCTGTTTAAGTACTTCGCCACTAACTGGGACATGATTTTCCCGTTGTTTTAAAAACCACTTATACAGGGAATTTTCCATTTTAGGTGCCTTCGCATTTTTTAAAGTTTTTCTTTTTCCCGGACCTCCAAATGTATTGCACGTTCTTTGTAAAATTTGAGTTTTCATACGCTTAATTTTACAGATTGTTGCTTTCGATACTCCATATTTTTTTGCTGTGTCACTCCCGCACCTAGTGCAACTTCGTCTATGATTTTCACTTTCTCACTCAATTTTAAACACTTTCTTTTATAGGATGTGGATGCCATAGTCGTAAAATATATTAACGCGTGCAATGTATTCACTTAAGTTCAAAAATGAAATACATACGTACGTATAAACGTATCCTAAACGATCATACGACTGACCGAGTTTGTCGTATTTTATCGCAGAGGTGAATCCCCTACACTCTACATCATAAATCGGGGACTCCCCGACATAAATCATCGATTTTACCGTCGCGCTGTTTCCGTGCGCCTAGAGTTGTTTACGTTATCGAGCGTACACATTGTTTACGTTGTCGCGCGTTCCGTTTGACCCTATATAACGAAGTTTGTGTTTACATTAGCGCAAGTTTTCATTATCCCGTGTTTACGTTATCGAGCGTCTGCTGTAGATGTATACGAGTGGCTTTTGAAAAGTGATATAAACATGATGTAATCTATAAAAAATTAAAACATATTTTTTCTTCAGTGTTAGTCTACGATCCAAAATGAATGTACATATTACACTTATATAGCTTTTTTATAGTCCTATCAATTACTATAATAACTGCTATGTTATATTATGTATGTTGTGTTAGCATGATATCCACATACCAGGATATTTTCCTTTTGTTCACAATTTATAATTGATGCGAATATTTTTTTATTATAATTATAGAACAAGCCTGTAATGGAACCTTACTTTTTTTAAAAATGGTTCAGCGTTTTATTAGAACACATTGGGTCCTGTAGAAGTTACGATTATTCCTTACGTAATTTGATGATCTTTAAAAGTTAGTCATAATTAATTAGAACCTTCTCCAATTCTGTAGGTGGTTCGACGTTATACATCGAAACCACAACAAGACGTATCCCCACGGAGAAAGAAGCCGATGCAACGTTGATCCTTACTGGCCACCTGGGAGAAGTCATGAAGGAGTCCGCGAAAATCGCACTGACTGTCGCTAGGAACTTTTTACTAAGGACCGAACCTGAAAATACTTTCTTGCATAAAAAGTAAGTGAAAGATACGTTTGATTTTTTCCTAGTATACCCGAACAAATATGTAGTTTAAAATGCATATTACAGTTCAAAGAGCGCCTACTCAAATTGCCAAACGTCCGAAAGTTTTGCTCTAGAAGTAAAATACATTATTTCGTGAAATTTTGATAAAAATCACAATTTGACTCTTCCCTTCTTCTTTTTTTCATCAAGTTATTGAATCTCCAGGGGATGCACCTTGGACCCTATTTATTTATTTATTTATTAACGAGCGATTGCCCAATAAAAGTACAGCGTAGAATATCTAATGTAAACCTGACCCTACTTTGACTTAGATATTTAACACTTAAAACAATCATAAATACTTTACAATCCAAATCATTTCTAAATTGAAACGAGTTTAATTAAAATATACATATATGGGCAAATCAAATATTAAACATTACTGACAGGAATCTAATTGAATTTTGAATGCTTTCCGACTTCTGAAGAAATCCAACTTGTTAGAATACTGACTTGCTAACCTTGAAGATCTAGACAGGAAGGAATTGCTAGCATAATTAGTACGAAATGATATCACATGGAATGGTTGATTCAATCTTGTTTGACGAGAAGGCACATGGAGATTAATTTCTTTCAAAAGTTCTGGAGCAAAACTGAGAGAGTGCAAAATATTATAAAATAGTGATTCCGTCTTACCTGAAGGGTTGAGATATTGAGAGAGCTTTCAATGACGGAATAGATAATATCTTCTACCATAATGTTTTGTTTGAATGAGATGAATCTTAAGAATTTATGTTGCACTCTCGCAATTGCCTGAATATGAACATTACAGTTGGGTGACCAAACACAAGAACAATATTCCAGATGGGGCCTCACCAAAGAGGAAAACAACGTTTTAAATGACTGAATATTTTGAAAATCCTTAGCACATCGTTTTATAAATCCCAACAGTTGAAGAGTTTTAGAAACAATCATATTTTTATGGGTAATAAAAGGATAATTTTGGGTCAAGAATTACCCCTAAATCCCTAACTTGGGATACACTCTCTAGAGGACAACCTTTCATGGTATAAGTATGATCAATGGGGTCCCTGTTACGGCCCTGTTAAGACATTAAGTTCCATTCTATTTATTTGACACCAGAGACTTAATGTTTTCAAATCATTTTGGATATTTAAACATTCATTTTTATATTTGATTTTTAAGAATAATTTCAAATCATCTGCAAACATTAGAAAACTAACAGACTTAAAACATATATAATATCATTCACGTATACAGGGTGTTTCAGTTTATTGTTGCATAACTTCAAGATTAGATAGAACTTTTAAAATTAATGCATAAAGTCTATATAAACATGGGTCGAAAAATGCGTGGCTTCCAAAATACAGGGTGTTTAAATTCACTTTCTAAAATAGTTTTTTTTAAATATTTCGAACAATATTTGATGTATAACATTGAAAATTGGTATACAAGGGTTTTTTGGTACGACTGTAGCCGCTAGAGCTACTGTACCTGTAGTGTATTAAAATGACCGAAACATTTTTCTTAGTGCAATTTTTTGCTTTTTGAATAAAAAAAACTGATTCTTCGCACTTTTCAACATAAAAAAGCTCTCCTGTGAGTTTTCGTTATAGTTAGCCGTTTTTGAGATATTTCGATTTTTAAGGTTCGATGCATTTTTAATTATTTATGGGAAAATAATATTTTTTTTACATTTTCGATTTGGGCATTACAAGTAATTAATATGATCGTTTAGATTGTGTTTTTAAACACAGCAATAATTCCTAACTCCAAATAAACACAAAAAACAGAATATTAATTTGTTTAATTTTCCAATATTATTTTTAACAAATTAAATTAATTATTTACAACTAAAATGCTATTGGATAGTTAGGACAAACATACAAAATCTAAAGTAGTTGCTCGAAATGTAAACCCAATTGTTCAATACACAATTCACATCTACGAATGATCGAACGTGGTATAGCATTATTCAAATAAGGCCTTATTTCATCACATGCATTCCTGATTCTGTCTATTAGCATATCTCTTGTGGTTACGGGAGTCTGGTACACTTTTTCTTTTAGAAATCCCCACACAAAGAAATCAAATGGATTTAGGTCAGGGGATCGTGGAGGCCAGGCGACTGGTCCTCCAAGGCCGATCCATCTTTCTGGATAATTTTCGTCCATCCAGTTTCTAGCTATTCTCGAATAATGAGCTGGACAACCATCAAGCTGAAACCAGGCTAATCTTCTTAAATTTAACATAACATCATCCCACATATTTGCATGTTCAGCCTTTAAAAATTCCAAGAAGGTCGCAGCATTTAACCTTGCAGGCAAAAGGTAGGGTCCAAATAGTCGATTACGGTAGATACCAATCCACACGTTCACACTAAATTCACGCTGAAAATTTCTTTCCCGAACTGTATGCGGATTTTCATGCGACCAAATATGTTGATTATGAAAATTTACCACTCCACGTCTAGTGAAGCATGACTCATCGGTCCATAAAACGTTACCTAAAAACTCCCTATTATCATCAGTTCTATCAAGAATCCACTGACAAAATGTGATTCTTCGTTCTCCGTCCCCTGGCTGTAGTCCTTGCACAGGTTGCAAATGGTAAGGACGTCTATGGTCATTTCTAAGAACACGGTGAACATGGCTTGCTGAAATTCCCAAGGCACCAGAAACTCTCCTAACACTTGTGGTCGGATCTCTATCAAACTCACGCAGAATCATACGGGTAAATCTGCGCTGACGAACATTTATGTTTTGATCCCTTTGGAGATTTCCAAAACCATTTTCAATTATTTGGCGATGCACTCTTACAAATACTGAGCGAGTTGGATGTCGTCTGTTTGGAAATCTTCATGCGTATTCTCTGGCTGCTTCTGCTGCTTCTCCATTTACAAAGCCATACACAAAATGAATATCCGCTAACTTGATTGGAGAATAAAAATGGCATTTTTATAAAACTTACAAAAAAAAAACAGGTAAAAGAAACTAAATATCGTGCATTCACAATTGCAAAAAAACGTTTCAGGTTTCAACAGACAACAAAGCTAACTGTCAACTAATTGACGTTTAACCTTATTCTGCTGTCAATTTCAAAAATATCTGCAGGCACAGTCTACTTCTAAAAATTATCGAGATACTGACTTTTTAACGTTATTTTATCATAAATAATTAAAAATGCATCGAACCCTAAAAATCGAAATATCTCAAAAACGGCTAACTATAACGAAAATTCACAAGAGAGCTTTTTTGTGTTGAAAAGTGCGAAGAATCAGTTTTTTTATTCAAAAAACAAAAAATTCCACTAAGAAAAAATTTTCGGTCATTTTAATACACTATAGGTACAGTAGAGAGCGCCCTCTAGCGGCTTCAGTAAAACTATGCCCATGGTTCGTTTTGTCGTACCAAAAAACCCTTGGATACCAATTTTCACTGTTATACATCAAATATTGTTCGAAATATTTAAAAAAAACTATTTTAGAAAGTAAATTTAAACACCCTGTATTTCGGAAGCCACGCATTTTTCGACCCATGTTTATATAGACTTTATGCTTTAATTGTAAAAGTTCTATCGAATCTTAAAGTTATGCAACAATAAACTGAAACACCCTGTATATTGAACAGAAGAGGACCCAGATGAGAACCTTGAGGTACTCCAGATGGCACATTAATCTCGTTTGATTGAAAGCTTTGTATACGCACTATTTGTTTTCGGTCAGTGAGGTAAGACTTCAGCCATGATAAAAGATCCAGGCAAATTCCTAGACAACGTAACTTATTAATCAAGATCTCATGGTTGACCTTATCGAATGCTTTAGAAAAATCTGTATAAACTACGTGGACAGAAGAACCTTCCTCCAAGGATTCCAAAACATAGTTTGCGAATGTTAAAAGAGGAGTGGAGCGTTTTGAAAGAAATCCAAACTGGTGGCTTATAAAACTAAAGGGTTGTCCAATAGGGACGCAGGAAAGTAAACGTCAATTTGACATAAACGCCATCTTTGTTTTCTGTCACCGACATGTCATTTTGTTAGTTGAATGTTTACCATTGATCGCTATGGAGTCGTATTCGATTGAAGACCGCATTAAAGTTATTCAAGAGCACTACAAAAATGGTGCAAAAATAAAAAAAAACACGTTTCGCGCACTTCGTGAACATTTCGGTCGCAACAACGGCCCAAACGAAACAACCATCGGTCGTCTGGTGCGTAAATTCGAGGCTACATGTTCTGCGGCAAATCTGCCAGGCTCTGGCCGGCCAAGGAGGGTTCGCACACCGGAAAATATTGCTGTTGTGAAGGAGAGTGTTAGAGACGATCCGAAACAATTAACAACGCGTCGATCCCAAGAATTGGGCATTTCGAGAACCAGTTTGCTCCGCATTCTCCACAAGGATTTGAATGTACACGCCTACAAGATCCAATTGACGCAAGAGCTGCGTCGGGCCGACCATTTTTCGCGCCGAACGTTCTCAGATTGGCTCCTTGAACACCGCCAAATTGATGCCAATTTTTCATCAAACATCATTTTCAGCGACAAAGCGCATTTCACTTTGAGTGGGACGGTAAACAAGCAAAACTGCCGCATCTGGGCGATCGAAAATCCCCGTGAGTATCAAGAGCAGCCGATGCATCCTCAAAAAGTGCATTGTGGTCAAAAGGCATCATCGGACCTTACTTTTTCGAAAATGCGGCCGGGGACCCCGTTACCGTCAATTCTGAGCGATATCACGTGACGATAGAGGACTATTTTTTGCCGCAACTTGAAGGAATGGATATGGACGATGTTTATTTCCTACAAGACGGTGCAACATGCCACACAACCAACGTCAATATCCATCGATTGCAGTCCTTCTTCGGTGATCGCGATTTCGCGCAGAGGAAATGTGCCATGGCCACCAAGATCGTGCGATTTGACTCCCTTGGACTTCTTTTTATGGGGATATTTGAAGAGCAAAGTCTACGTCAACAAACCAGCCACCCTCCAAGAACTCAGAAACAACATCATTGCCGAGATAAATGCCATAGAACCGACCATGTTGCAAAATGTCATTGAAAATTTCGACCATCGCGTGGACGTCTGTAAATCCAGTCGTGGTGAACATTTGAGCGATATTATTTTTCATACATACATGGTATAAATGAACCTTCAAAATTAAGTACCCAACTTGATTTGAATATCAATCTTTCTTGTTTTAATATGCGTTTACTTTCCTGCGTCCGTTTTGAACAACCCCATACATTGCAAATTTGCGGATAAAAATTCACAAACTAGGCTCTCAAATACCATTCCAATGCAACTCAGTTTACTGATAGGTCGATAATTTTTGACTTGTGAAGGATCTCCAGATTTCAGTATTGGAGTAATGAAGCTTGTTTTCCAATATTCGGAAAAGTTCCACTTTTCAACGAAAGATTAAAAATATAAAATAGAGGTCTAGAAATCAGAAAGCTACAATGTTTAATGAACAACGGAGGTACACCATCAGGTCCAGGTCTAATTTGGGCAGTTTGTCATAGATGGCTGAGATTGGAATTTCATAGTTAAACAAATTGATGACCCCATGAGCACGATTACTATCATGAACAGTACTATTCCATACACTATAAGTTTTAGAGAAGTAATCTGTAAATAACTTGGTAATTTGTAAAACAGAAGAACTACTGAGATTATTATAATGTACTTCTGAAGGTATGTAATGATAATCCTTACGGCTATTAACTAATTTCCAAAAAATTTTCACGTTTTCAGTTTATTGATATAATCCAGATGACACTGTCTTTTTACATTTTTACTCTGAGCTCTGAGAATAGAGAACTCAGCAAGTGAGATTTGATGTACCTCTTGTGTAGTTCCTTTTTTTCAATTATCATTTGTATAAGTTCTAGCCCTTTTTGATCAACAAAAACCAGACATTTCACTCCGTTATTTTCCAGAGGTGTCTTAGCTCGCAAGTGGCATTTTATTATCTAAATATTTGCAGTCACCTCCATCTTCACGTTCCGGAAGGAGCAACGCCAAAAGACGGTCCTTCAGCTGGATGCACGATCACCACTGCCCTTCTCTCATTGGCCAAGGGCGAATCCATCAGGCAAGACGTTGCGATGACCGGGGAAATTTCGCTTATGGGCAGGATTCTACCGGTGGGAGGAATCAAGGAGAAAACCATTGCCGTAAGTAGTAATATTTCCTGTGTATTGAAATTTGTTGCAATTTTACTTCGACGGGAATTTTTATTCCAAACAAATTACATCAAAAATGACTGTTTTCCCAAAATTAAAGTAAGGAAACAGCTATATAGAAAAATAAGTTAAATAGTAGTAGTAGTAGAAAGATTTATTTAGCACATTTGGCTACATAAACAGAATAATTGTAAACAACTTAGAACTAGTAAATTCAAGTCATATGGTGTATGATGTAAATGCTGGGGAAACTATAATTGTAGATTTAACAAGTGATTTCTCAATTTTACTTTAAATTTTGTCAAAATTATATTGAATCAACCCTTGATGGAATACAGATTTGAAGCATATGTTATACTTTTTGGTCATTAAATGGAAGTCATCTTCATTTTTGGTATTATGTAAATGATGGTCGACATTTGATGATGTTAAATTAGTTAGACTTGATGGAAATATATTGTTTTTTACTTTATAAATGAATATCATTACAAGATATTTGATAAAAAATTTTACATTGAGCCATTTTAATTTGCTAAGCATTTGCCTAATTGGAGTATATTTATCTTTATTTAGTATTATTCTCATGCACTTATTTTGTAAAATTTGCAGTCTTTCAAAAATGGAATTATTTGCTAAATATAGAATAGTCGAACAGTACAAGAAATTTGGAAGAATGATGGTATTATAGATAATTTTTCTGCTATATGAACTCAGACATCCAGAAACTCTCGATAAATATCCCACTTTACTACTAATCTTATTTATAACTTTTTCATAATGAATATCAAACATTAATCGAGAGTCAACAAAAACCCCCAGGTATTTAAAATTTTCTACGAATTCAATATCTTCACCATCAATATTCAGTTGAACATTTGTACATTGTCTTTTTCCGATTAACAAGGCTTTCGTTTTACTTGCATTTAATTTTAGTCTGTTAGATGCTAACCATTTTGAGACAAGTTTCAAGTCTTCATTTATATAAGAGATACCAGACTGAATCTTTTTAGTACTTATATAAATCATAGTGTCATCGGCAAAAATCTGAATTTTGCATTTTTTGACTATGGCAGGTAAATCATTTATGTATAAAATAAAAAGAAGTGGTCCCAGGATACTGCCCTGTGGAACACCCAACGTATTTTCAATTTTTGATGAAATAGTGTCATTAACTTTTGTAACTTGCATCTTTTCAGACAAATAATATCTAAAACACTTCCTGTTATACCATATGCCTTCAATTTACCTAACAAAATATCTCTATCAATCGTTTCAAATGCCCTCTTCAAATCCAAAAATACTGCTATGACAACTTCTTCTGAGTCTATGGCTCTTCTCCAATTCTCAGTTACCAACTGGAAAGCTGTTTCTGTGGAATATTTTTTTCGAAAGCCTGCTTGCGCCTCCACTAAAATTTTCTTTTCTTCTATAAACTGCGTTAATTGGTCATGCACTATGGACTCTAATAATTTTTCAATGTCTGGTAACACATTTACTGGTCTCATATCGCTGCATCTTTTAGAATTTTTTATTTTGGGAACTGGTGTTATTGTAGAGCATTTCAAATTTTCAGGAAAAGAACTGCTTCTCAGTGAACAATTGATCCAATTTAATACAGGATATTCCAAAATTTCGAAACAGTTTTTCAGCACGTTTTTAGTAGTGATTTCGGCACAGTTGTTATTTGATTTTAAACTGTTTACTTTTTTTCTTAGATAATTCAATGATACACTGTGAAATTTTGAAAGTGTATGCAACATTTCCCCCTGGAAACTGATTTTCATATAGTCAGGTGCAGCATTGGCAGTGCCCACAATATCAACAATACTTTCCACAAAATATGCATTTAGTTTGTTTGCAATCACCAAAGAATTTGTTTCGGTACCGTTTTCGAATTGAACCTGATTTACACAATCATGCGGCTTCGAATTGATCAGTCTTTTTAAAGTCTTCCACATCTTTACACTGTCGCACTTGTTATTATCGATTTGTTTATCGTAGAATTTCCTTTTTACTTCTCTAATTACATATACACATTTTTATATACCTCCCAATCATCATTTGATTTTGTGAATATACATTTATTGTATTGTTTGTCTCTCAAATTTTGAGCTGCCTTAATATTCTTGTTATACCAGGGTGTATTTTTTGTCGAGCAAATCACTTTTTTATCAGTTGCAAGATCTAAACAAGTTTTTATATATTATATAGTATTTATATATACTGTGATCTAGATGCACTGAAATGCGACAGTTTTTGCGGGTTTTCATAAAATGATGATCAAACGTGGCCAAAAACAATTTTACGTTCTAAAACTTGTATACACGGTGGCCCAACGAAAAGGTCGCACCCCCATTTGTGACTCTCCTGGTATATTTTGGGAAAAACGCTCGGACTCGTCAATTTTTATTTCTAGGAGAACGTCTTTTCATCTATAGCCGTACAATACAGGGTGATCCAAAACTAAGACTTTAGTTACTAAAAACTTTATGGAAAATTTAAAAATATACCAGGATAGTCACTATTAGGGGTGCGACCTTCTCCTTGGGCCACCCTGCCTGAACTTTATGAGAAACTTACAAAGCTGTAGTATTCGTATGATTCAGTAGCCTATTTTATCATTTTCCAGGCGAAACGATCCGGTGTCAAGTGCATAATTCTGCCGGAAGAAAATAAGAAGGACTTCAATGATCTGCCTAGTTTCATCACTGAAGGTTTAGAGGTACATTTCGTTAGTACTTTTGACGAGGTTTATCATATTGTATTTAATAAGAAAGAACCGCCTCAGATAAAAATATAAATCGATGAACTGTTGTATATATGTTATCTATTTTTTTAAGCGGCAGGTTTGTTACTATTTGTATACTTGCCGCTTATCGAATTCCACTTTTTGTAAATTTGTGAGTAAAAAGACTTTGCTTAAATTTTTTATTCATGTTTTTGTAAATAAAGCGTTTTAATTTTTATTATTTTTTTTATTGCCCTTCCACAAATTCACCAAACTTTTGTGTCGCAGTATTCTACAGTTCAGTTCTGCAATAAATTGAAGTCAAAAGAATCCACAACTATAGAATGAGACGTCAATGTTTCTTAAAGCAATCAGGCGAGGCCTCAGGGCATATGGTTTGCTACTTTTCCGCTCAGCAGTAGAAGCGCGACGGTGGGGGTGGTTCCACTAAACAACAACTTGAAAGAAAAGGCGGGCGCCGGCGGTATTCGAACCCGCATCTCCTCCTTTCCGTGGAGCCGACGTAACTCAATCATACCCGCGCCGCTGTTCCTTTGTACTGCCAAGTTGCTTGATGCCCCATCTGGCGGCGTTCAAAATAATCACCGGACTGGTAAAATATCTCTAGTTGCATCACGCCGCCTCGTGGGCACTTACCACGGTATCAACGTGTGATGTCAGTAACATTCGCAACAGCGAGTATGTTTAGTGACTGATAACTTGCGAGAGAGGAAAAATGGACGCCGGCGAGATTCGAACCCGCATCTCCTCCTTTCCGTGGAGCCGACCAATTAGTCTATAGCACCACCAACCAACTGTTTGAGGCAAATTCAATCCTAGCCACGTCACGGTTCCTTTGTTCTGAGAAGTTGCTTGATGCCCCATCTGGCGGCGTTCAAATGAATCACAGGGCTGGTAAAATATCTCCAGTTGCATCACGCCGATACTGGACCAACACTATTTAATATAAATGATAAATTATTCATCCTGAAGATTTGACATAATTTAACTTCTAAAAACTGCACTTAAGATTATATACACATATAGTACTAGTAAAACATGCAGATTTAAGCAAAACGTGATAAAATAGTTCATAAAAAAGTACAGATTAAGAATTTTTGCACAGAAATGTCTTAAAAAAGGCCCTCTTAGTGATCTATTTGCATCACTCATGGTTTTCAGAGAATGAGGTAAGGAGTTGTAATGTAAAATGGGCTATTTTCATATACAGGGTTATCCAAATTAAGTGTCCACCATTAGTAACTTTGTTATTAGTGAAAATAAAAAGTTGTTTGAATTAGCAAACTAGTAGCATTTTTAACGCTGGTAAAAATGAGAAATAAAAAAAAACAATTGAGAGTCGTTAATTTGATTTTTTTCAGTAAAATAACATTTTTTTAAATGGAAACCCCTGTATATTATATTTTTTTCTGTTAAAGCATCAAATTTTAAACAAAAAAGCTTACAATAACTTTTCTCCTAGGTTACAAATTGTTGAAGTTAATGGCCTCCAATCTGAAACAATTAAATTGTATCGACAAACTTTATTTTCAACATCAACTTATAATCTTACAAAATACAATAACAATTTTTTTTAAAGAAGATGCTCGAAAACACCACCTTGTTCTTCAATACATTTTTGGGCACGTTTTTCAACTGCTCGAACTGTCTTAAGTATGGTCCTACCATCTATCTGGGTTATCTTTTCCCTAACTGCAGTCTTTAACGCGTCAAGGTTATCGTACCTTCGCTTGTAAATTTGGTTCTTTAAGTAACCCCACAAGAAGTAATCAAGTGGGTTTAGATCTGGTGATCTGGGAGGCCACTGTATTGGGTCATTTGTTCCTATCCACTGATCATTAAAAGTAGTACTTAGAAAATGATAAGTACCTCTGGAGTTGTGGGCAGGTGCGCCATCTTGCTGAAAATGCAGATGATGTCTACTTATAAGATCCAATTCGTCTAAGAAATTAGTCAGAATTTCTGACATAAATTCCACATATCTTTCACCAGTTAGGGTTCCCTCATAAAAGAACGGGCCAACAATTTTTGAACCAATTATACCGCACCAAACGTTGAAACTGAAACGGACTTGTGGGCCTCTTGGATGTACTAACAAAAGATTTTCTCTTGACCAATAATGGTGGTTTTTTCTATTAAACATTCCAGAATTTGAAAAATTTGATTCATCTGTCCATAAAAGGTAACGAAAGTTATTTACATTTTGGCGACAGAAGCTAAGATACCAATGGCAAAAAACAAGTCTTCTCTCTGGATCCCCTGCCAAAAGCGTTTGAACTGGTCGGTACTTATACGGAATAAATTTGTATTTTTTTAAAATCCTTTGAACAGTACCACAACTGAAATTAGAGTCCTTGAGAATATCTGCTATTGAATTCTCACGATAAGCTTCAAAATATCCAATAACTGCAATTTCCGTGGCCTCGCTTATTATGAATTCTTTTTTTGCCCTTGTTTTAGCAAAAACCTTTTCGTTGCCCCTAAATTTTCGATAAAGTCTCAGAAAATATCGTTCATACGGTTGAATGCGAGCGGGATATAATTCACTGTAGTATTCTCTTGCTCTCAAGGAGGATTTTCTGCACACTAAATAGCATTCTAAGATATCACACTTTTCTTCATGGGAGAACATTTTTCTTTAAATTAATGACACAATAAAGCTTATAAACAAGTATTTACACTAATGTTTGACATTATTTGATTTTATCATTGTTTTCCAAAGCCTTCTAGTTGCGAGTATGTCCAGTTTAACAATTTGTCGCTTATCTTAATGCTGTCAAATCGCGAACGCCATGTTGTTTTCATAGCCGTCTTAATATTATAATACTGCAAATAATTAAAAATATTGATCGTTATTTTGACTTTATTTTTGACTTTAGCGGAAAAGTCATTATGAACTTTTTTGTTTAAAATTTGATGCTTTAACAGAAAAAAATATAATATACAGGGGTTTCCATTTAAAAAAATGTTATTTTACTGAAAAAAATCAAAATAACGACTCTCAATTGTTTTTTTTTATTTCTCATTTTTACCAGCGTTAAAAATGCTACTAGTTTGCTAATTTAAACAACTTTGTATTTTTACTAATAACAAAGTTACCAATGGTGGACACTTAATTTGGATAACCCTGTAGAGTTGTTTTGAGCATATTGGATCTCAAAGAAGTGCTACATCTAGCATAAAAGTTACTTACGTTGCAATGTTTCTCATTTCTGAGCATCTGTTGTAGAATGACGGATGTTTTCAAGTGTTGTCATAAATTAAAACAGTTTAATTACTACCATATAAAAACAAAACATACATATATACACTATTTTCCACATCAATCAACCTCAAAGACCACATATTTCCTTATTCATCAATTTAATCAAACATATCATCGTACGTCACCAAATTCCTTTTATCTCTATGATTACCCTTTTGCGAGTGACTTGATGCTGAAAGAAATACAAAATATAAACTAAATTGTATAATCGAAAATACTTTTTTCAAAATTTTACCTAAGGTCGCCCATGCTGAAGAAGACGTTGCATCATTGATAGGCTCAATCTGAGGCTGTCTTCTGGCAAGTGATACCTTCAGAGGAATGTCTGATATCATACTGCCATTCATCTGAAAAAAAATATTACGTCAAGCAGGTGGATTTCACTTTATAACAACACCGTCATCAGTTCATAAAGGATCAAGTTAAGCACTCTGAGAAAAAATTAAATGCGTGAAGTCAGTCAAACAAGCCCATAATATTTTCAAAATTTTCCACAACTACAATACTTCGCCCAGAGGTAGGAAATAAAATGGGATAATATCTTTAATGTGACATGTTACTTATGGTTAAATGTCTCTACAACAGCAATATGTTGTATGTACCTTACCTCTGCAATAGCCCTATCTGCTGCTTCAACTTTGTCAAAAGTTATGAATCCTCGACTGTAAATAAATGAGCTTAAATTATATATCAATTTAACGGAAGATGAGAGATAAATCCGCAGCTGCAAAGAGGCGTTATGACCACTATATGGACAAATTTTGCTTCAATAAAAGTTTTTGAGATTTTTAGTATTTAATTTTTATCCGAAAAACTGGTCTGCATTTGCATTTGCTGAAATTGACTGAGGAAAATCTTTATGATTTTCTGAACCTAGATGAAAGTTTGTATGTTGAAGATTCAGATTCCGGCCAAGAAATTGAAAATCCAGTTGAAATACAAGATCATTCCAAAGATTCTGATGTCGATGAGGTTCCAGTACCAAAATAAGCTATTCCAAATTATGGTAAAGCTATAAAAAATCAGGGAGATTCAGAATCATTGGAGCTTCTTTCTAAATTAGAAATACGATTTCAAGACGCCATTTTAACGAAAAAGAGGAGACAAACGTCTGACTTGTAATGTCACGTATTCCTGTTAGGTCAAAAGCAACCGATTTTGTCCTATAATGTCCTATCCAGAAGTTAACCGTTTTTGAGTTATTTGAATTTCATTTTTTTTATTTTAAATTCCGATTTCAGACCGTTAAAATTGAAATACAAAAAAACTGCATGCTTGATTTTGAGTTTTTTGTTGTCGTCGCATAGCGGACATTCCAATAGTTCATAATAAGTAATAAAGCTACAAACGTTTTAAAATTACGCTTCTTAAATGTATCATTTTCTTATTTCTTTACTAACTTATTTGACAAAAAATGCAATTTTCTGTAAAAAATCTCCTAGTAATGAAATGTGCAAATTATGTAAATAATATCTCTATCTAACAAGCTTTCATTTGAGGTATTAAGCGTTCAATTATCTGCAGTACATGCAGAGAAACAACAATGACACCCACAGAGGTTGGATTTTTAAGGAATTTGTATTACCTGTTTGAACAAGTCGTTACTGTCCTCAAAGGACTCGCATGCAAGTCTGTTTTATGGCATCGGCTCGACGAAGAAGCGAGCGAGAAGAGCTGACTTAGTGGAGGAGTGAGAGAGAGAGCTGTTATTCTTCATCATTGTAAACTCTGGGCGCTGAAGAAAGACATTAAACGTAAACAGTGATCAGCACGTGAACAGATCCCTCGAAAGCATCCACGGATATACTCCAGTCACTTTAGGTCTAAACATCCTCGGCAGTGTATTTCTAGTGAATCCACAGACCCTTTTTCGTGTCATCTTGAGACTAGAAAAAGGATGACTGTTAAAATAAGTTACCTTGATCTTTCATGAGCTCCCAGTACAAAACATCATCGATATATTTTTGATGTAGGAACAACAAATTGGTTTAGAAAACATCCACTTTGAACCTAAATTGACTGGAGTAACATCGATCTACAGACAAATTCAAGGTCACTAGCAGTCGTCGGCGCTCTACGAATCTGCACAGATTTGGACTTGTAAACGTGATTATAGATGACACGACAGGCATCTAACAGTTAATTCACGCACAGGATTGCATTGCATACGCATTACGCATTCAGTAGCGTATACTCGTTTTTCGCGAGTGGAACGTTTTGTTTATATATTGCCTAAGATACGATGTCTGACACAGATACAGCCGACGAAGTGGTTGACATCAGCGCAACCCCACCCAAAAACAGGGCTAAGAAGCTACATTTAAGTGCAAATGAAAAACAAATAATATTAAATATATACAAAAACCAAATTCAAGAAAAACCCGATTTGGTCGTGGACGAAGTTATATGTAAGGTAGCACATATTTCTGGAGTATGTCGGTCCAGTGTTTATAGGATCATTAAGGAATATAGGAGCACTCACTCACTTTCTGAGCCAAAACCGTATCCTGCAAGAAAAAGGATAACGGACGGAGTAGATAACTTTGACAGAACTGCCATCAGGAGGAAAGTGCATAATTTTTTCTTCCGAAATGAGATACCTACAGTAGATAAGATATTAAGATTAGTTAATGCTGATGAGGATCTTCCATCATTTAAAAGAACCACATTCCGAAAACTTTTGAAGGAACTTAATTTTCGATTCTTGAAACGGGGAAGAAACAGTATGTTAATAGAGAAAGAAGAAATTGTTGTGTGGAGAAGGGAATACCTTAGGAAGATTCGGAAGTTTCGCGATGAAAAAAGAAAAATTTACTATTTGGACGAAACGTGGGTGAATGCTGGACATACTCAAGCGAAAGTTTGGGTCGACAAATCAGTAACATCATCAAGGCAGGCTTTTCTAGACGGTCTTTCGGCTGGATTGAAAAATCCTGCAGGTAAGCTCCTTCATCTATCCGGCAATTTAATTTTGATAAATTCGGGCAAATAATGTGTGATATTCTCCAAAAATGGTGCATTCGCAGTGTAGTCACTAGGAAAAAACTTCGACCCTCTTTTAAGCGTTATTTTGAAATTTATTATCATTTTTGGGTGCAGTCAATTTGCTTTGAATGGGTTTTGAGAAGTTGCAAACTTCAATTTTCTACGTTTTTCAGTTTTTGATCAGCATTCCGTGACTCTTAAATTCAGCTAAATGAACTCAATTGCCTCATTCCTTCAAATTTAATCAATCCATAGTGTAAGGAATAATTTATTTCCAGGAAAAGGCAAACGGCTGATCATTTGTCACGAAGGTAGTGAAGACGGCTTTGTTCCCGAAGCACTGTGGGCCTTTGAATCAAAAAAGACAGGGGACTATCATGAGGAGATGGACTGCAATTCCTTTGAAAATTGGTTCTCCAAAATGTTACTAAAGCTGGAGAATAACGCTGTTATTGTACTGGATAATGCCCCGTACCATTCTAGAAAAATAGAAAAAATTCCCACAATGGCAACTAAAAAAGCAAACATACAACAATGGCTGGCCTCAAAACAGATCGATTTTGATGAAACAATGGTCAAGGGTGAATTGATAGGTATAGTCAATAGACATAAATACAAATACGATTTTAAAATGATCGACGAAATGGCCAAAAAACAAAATAAAACTGTCTTGAGACTGCCACCCTACCATTGTGAGCTGAACCCTATTGAGCTGATTTGGGCCAACATAAAGCAATACGTGGCGTCGAATAATAATACTTATATATTTTCTGATGTTAAAAATCTCTTTCACATCGCAGTCAATAGAGTTACGGCAGAGGAATGGAAAAACTGTATCCGCCACGTTCGGGAGAAGGTTGAGGTCAAAATGTGGGATTTGGACAATGTCATCGATACCCAAATTGAACCTCTAATTAATTCATTTAAACGATTCAGAAGATTCAAGTTCCTCTTCTGAATGAGTGCGCGCAACTTACTTACTAGTAACTAAAAAGTGTAGTTAACTCATTTGTGAATCTCTAACTGAAATTTACTGTAAAAGATATCTTGTATGAAATTTTTGATGACTACCCATAATATCTTGATGCGGTCCTGTAATGTCTCCTGCGCCTAAACACTCACTCACGAGCAATATGCGTGTATTTGTTTGGGTTTAGTTTCTTTCTTCAGCGCCTAGAGTATAGTTACGCGATCGCCGCACGCCGAGTGAGAATTAGGTTTAGTTGGTATCAACTACTGCGTACGCGCACACGTTTTACGCACGATTATTATTTTCGAGTTTCCCAGTTCATTTCGAGTGGTTTCTTTATCATCATGGCAGACGCAGAAGATCCGCCAGGACCTCGCCATAGCGAGCACGGGCAAACTTTTACGAATGAAGAATACGCAGACATAATGTACTGTTATGGACTTTGTAACGGCGATTCTGCAGCTGCCCGCCGTGAATATCGGCAACGTTTCCCGAATCGCCGAACACCTCATGTTACTGCGTTTGGCTCTGTGTATCGGCGCATCCGCCAAACCGGACGTGTTCAAAGGCAACATAGTGATGCTGGTCGACAACGAGTCTATCCTCCTGAAGATGAAGAGGAAATCCTTCGTGTGTTTCACGTCTACGCGTATTGTGGCTGCTCAGTTGGGTATATCACAATACAAAGTATGGTTTACTGTGCATACTGCAAGATTATACCCTTATCACTACACGCCTGTGCATGTGATTGAAGAGGGCGACCTGCAAGACGATTAGATTTCTGCAGGTACATGTTACATGCAGATACAGAAGATCCAGACTATTTTAAGAACATTCTGTGGACCGATGAATCGAAGTTTGATAAAGACGGGATCACAAACTACCATAATGCTCGTTACTGGGCTGATAAAGAAGCTTTAAACCCCCGAAAAATAAGACCGACAGGGTCTCAGAGCCGGTTTTCAGTCAATGTGTGGATGGGCATCATTGATGGATATTTAATTGGACCTCATTTTCTGCCCGCCAATTTAAATGGAGAAGTGTATGAAGAGTTCTTGAAAAATCACTTGTTTCCATTAATGGAAGACGTCCCATTGGCGACGAGACAAAATATGCGGTTCCAGCACGACAGCAAGCCTTTTATTTATCATTCGTACAACTTTACTCATCTTTTTTTAATTTTATGTCTTTGTACTTGAGTTAGTTGTAACTTTTATACCTCAAATGAAAGCTTGTTAGATAGAGATATTATTTACATAATTTGCACATTTCATTACTAGGAGATTTTATATACAGAAAATTGCATTTTTTATCGAATAAGTTAGTAAAAAAATAAGAAAATCATACATTTCAAAAGCGTAATTTTAAAACTTTTGTAAGTTTTCAACATTTTATTACTTATTATGAACTATTGGAATGTCCGCTATGCGACGATAACAAAAAACTTAAAATCAAACATGTAGTTTTTTTGTATTTCAAATTTAACTGTCTGAAATCGGAATAAAAAAAATAAAATTCAAATAACTCAAAAACGGTTAACCTCTGGATAGGACATTATAGGACAAAATCGGTTGCTTTTGACCTAATCGATCACCCCTTAACAGGAATACGTGACATTACAAGTCATGTATATGAATTTTTATATGATGAAACTCACCTTTTATTTCATCTTTTTGTGTTACTACTATTATGTATGTATATTCTTTGTATAAATCCAAAGGTAACAAACCTTTTTTCTTGAGTTCAAAGTTTTTTGTTTATATATACAGTTTTCATTAAAAACATGATTGTATTTCTTTAATATGGACATCCCTCTTGAACGGATACTATCAGTCGGTCTCATTGGTGTCTATCCAAAGGAGATTTCACTGTACGTATCTCAAAGCATAGATCATTTTAAAATGATACCCTCAATAAGGACACATTTGAGAAACAAATTTGGTTGCACATTAGACTCATCAGGTCCAAGTACACTTTATTCACAAATTACCCATAAAATGTGGTCCACAATAAACAAGATGTGGCCCAATTGTACCTTACAATGAAAGTATACTCACTTCTTTTCTATTTCCATTGATATATTGATGATATTTCCCATTGTTGAAAAATGCTTCTTCAAGAACTCCTCAGTTATCTTATATCCTGATACATAGATTGTATTTCCCTGCCTTGGCTTCTCTTGTTTTGGTGGTGGTTTCTCGATCATACCTCGTTCTTCTCTATCTCTAGCATTTGCAAACGTGTCATACAGATTTTTGATTCTTGGCGGCTTGTTTTCTGGATTATCAGGCCCATCGTCCATTTGTACTGCTGAAAAGGGCTGATACCCACTGACAGTCTTCTCAGAAATGAGTTTACGTTCTAGACCTCTTGGCCTTTTGAATCCCTGTTCTTGTTGCTTTTGTTGTTTTGCAATCGCTGGGATAACACCAGACCGTATCAGCTTTTTAGCTACTTCTCTAGCATCTCTGGCTTCAGCTGGCCTTTTTGGAATGATAGGTTTTTCTGGCTCTGGTTTTGGTGCTTTGAGAGCCTGCAGCGCTTTTTTCTAAATCGATTTTATATTATTACCAATACGAAAATATGTGAACATGTATGAAGTTATAGGAATACACACCTTCTTTTTCAATTTCTGGTATTTGGATTGAAGCATCAGTTCTTCCTCAGTGAAGTTAGCAGGAAAGTGTATGTAGACCATTGTAATTAAAAAATGATTTAAACAACAAAATTTGTTTTAGGTGTATATCGTTTATATTTATGTAACCTTAAAAAAATCATAAACGTCAGATACCATTTGACATCAGTGGGCTGTTATTAGCAAGTGCCATCTCTATAATAGTACCGTAGTTTTAACGGTTAAAAAGCAAGTTTCATAAATTAAATTCATTATCAAGAGATGGCGCTGCCTACGAAAAATGTGGATTATCCTCACTACAGCTTGATCTTGGAATACTTGAAAGCAAAGACAAGATCTCGTCAATGAAGTCGTGCTATGTATTTTAGGGTTACGTAACATATATTTGTTCTAGTACTATTGGAATAGAGATCTGTTATTCGGTCAGTGTTGTTCCAGTTATACACTTTTATTTAAAGTCTGCATCTAAGTATCGGTGCATCTGTTATAAAGTTTTGCAAATGCGTTAGTTGAATTTAGAATAATCCTCAACAGATGGCGCTACCAAAACAAAATGTGTATATTCCTCACTACATCTTTATTTTGGAATACGTGAAAGCAAAGACATTTTATCTCATTTATGAAGTCGTTTCACGGTTACGTAAAATATAATTTGTAATAATACTATGGGCATGGATATCTGTTATTCACTCAGTGTTGTTGCAGTTATACACATTTATCTGAACTCTTCATCGAAGCATCAGCGCTATCTGTTATGAAGTTCTGTGAATGCTTCTGTCGAATTTTTTATGTTATATATCTTACATTCAAATATTTTCTTTACCGCCAAGTAAAGTTTTATTTTATTAAGGGCGACTAGTTCATTTACAAAGACTGCATCTTCTATATTGTTTATAAATCTATGTAATACAATTAAAAAAAGGATGTTTGTTTACAGCATGTTATTATTTAGTTGCTTCCGAGTGTAACAAATGAAGAGCGGTAGTGGTTATTTTCAATCAAGATATAGCAATATTTACCATATTATTGAAGAAATTTTTAGGCGCAACAAAAAATAAACAAACAACTTGTGTGTGGCTTTAAGATTATTACCACAAATTCAAACTCCATTCAAATCGAGTATCGATTGAAGATTTGTAGACAAGTCTAGACCAGTCAAACTTTTCAACAAGCCGTCGAAGTTCGCATAATACGTCAGTTTTTTACGTTTCTGATGTTCCTGTCAAATTTGCATTGATTTAAGAATCATTCTTCGAAAAGAAAAACGACTTAAATGGATAATTACGACGACTTATCGTGAGTATGCGAATATCATATGTAGGTACCCCTCTAACTAAAAAAGAAGTGAAATACTTTGATAATTTGTTTACATCATATGTGATTCATTGAAGATTATCGCTCTTAATTCACGTACTTTTCGTTGCCTTATCGCTTTTCAATAATATACAGATAAATTCAATCAACAAACTGATACCAAATAAGTTTATACACCTTTTACCATAAACCTATAAGTTTCGACAAGAAAATGATGTATGAGCTAAAATGCATTTGATGCAGTTACCACAAACAAGCTTTCCTACTCATGTTTCAAGGTAGGTAGGCGACAACACTTTTAGATTCGTTTACACTTTTTCTGCTTCCTTGTGTTACCGACCCGCCATACCGGTCATTATTTGATACGGTATATTCAATAATGGAATCGGGTTCATCTGTATAGATTATACATTGGAGCAATATTTAATAACCTAAAAAGCCATAATTGTTCGAAAAATTAGCATTGTTTCATGTGTCATAGCAGAATAAGTTCACATAATGTGACTGCGCTATGAAGACCTGAACCCCTCCGCCCCCTTCCGAACCACGCAAGCAGGTGAATCGGCGCGATGATACAGAGCGGTACTCGGGAATATATTTTCAGTTCTATGCATACAATCGAGGTTGATGGACGACTTCTGGAATAATAATTATGTGCGATAGGAATTCTTTCCGCCCTTGAAAACGATCTGCTCAGGCAGGTCAGCGGCCCACAGACATCGAAAATTATATGTACAAAGGCGCTATGAATAAGGGAAACCCAATTTGCAGCAAAGCCTTTTCGGGCAGTGATAATGTCAGTGTACGATACTGATAGTACTCGTAGTAACGAGGGCAGCAATGATAGTCAGGAATACCGTCGTATATCTAAAAGAATGTGCCTGTCTGTTGATGCTCAACAGATTTGCATTAATGTTTATAATGAACTGTTACGTGAGATGGGTGATAGCGGCAATTGTAGTGTCCTTTAAAAAATAGCCGAACTGACTAACGTGCCATATCCTACAATTGGCAAGGGAACATCTATACCTTTAAGTGCAGCAACAACTGCCAAAATAAGTGACATATTGTATGATCATTATAAACGTAATGAGGCGAGAGTTGTTCCCTCCGGGCATTTCAGTGATTTGAAACCTATAACAATCAACGTTACTTCAACAACTTGATTCAGTCATCTCTCATCTCATCCAGACTTGCAATAGAAAATGTTTGAAAATTTTCAGATCCATCTCTGTCCTCATGCCTCCGGTTCTCGGTTTTATAGCCGTTTTATGACTATCCGCAAAAAAATGTGAACGAATCTAAAAAGCGTTGTCGTCTACTATACATACATTGTTTGGATTCGCACACTTTCCTCATTTTTTTAGGGATTCTAACAAGGGTAACCAGGTGAAAACTATCTCGAAGGTGTACTGTGATGTGTTGGCAAGCAAACCCAAATCTTACTATGAATATGACAACTATTCACCGCAAACGGACAACATAGATCATTATAGTCTGATAAAAAAAATTGGCCATGGTAAATACAGTATAGTATTTGAAGGCGTGTACGAGCCAAACAATGAACGTGTAGTTATTAAAATGCTGAAACCAGTGAGAAAACGTAAAGTCAAACGAGAAATAAAGATCCTGGAGTGTCTCAGAGGCGGTGTGAACATAGTTCATCTGATAACAGTTGTTAGTATGACTCATATGGACCTAACAGCATTAGTTTTTGAACAGTTAGTCTATACTGAGGATTTCAAAGAGGTGTACCTGCAGTTAAGCGAAGCCGACTCAAGATACTACTTGTACGAATTATTCAGGGCTTTAGACTTTTGTCACAGCAAGGGCATAATGCACAGAGATGTAAAGCCACATAACATAATCATTGACCGAGAGAATAGAAAAATAAGACTGATTGACTGGGGTTTGGCAGAATTCTATCATGCTGGTCAGGAGTACAATGTCAGAGTAGCTTCGAGATACTTCAAAGGACCTGAGCTATTAGTAGACTACGTTTATTATGACTACTCGCTAGACATATGGTCTCTGGGATGCATGTTTGCGTCCATGCTTTTCAGAAAAGAACCTTTTTTCCATGGCATTGATAACCAAGACCAACTGTTGAAGATTGTGAAGGTTTTAGGTAAGTGCAAGGTGATTACGTAAAAAACCTAGACCCTATTTCACGAGCAGCACGTCTACTGAAGCGAACAGCTGATTAGCTAGTGACATATTTGTATTAGTCTGTAATGTTGGTAATCTAGTAAAACTAGCTTATAGTAATTTTTGAATTCAAATGAAATTTTCTAAATGACTTTGAAGTTGAGTCATTAATTTTCAGATGATTGTAGAAGGAAGATAAACCAAAATATGTGTGTAAAAATAAAAAAAAAATAAAAAAAAATTTTTACCTTGTTTTATAAAGTATCCTCCCGACAAGTATTTCAGTGCGGACCTGTATTTGATCGTGAGGTCCCCTGTGAGGTCTTAAGTCACCTGATTCACGAGCCCGTTGTACTACATTAACAAAGGCACGAGGGGTTGGTTGCACTCGATTGGGAAACCGATCCGCATAAACATGTGCCATTTTTTATTTCGTTTGAGCCACGCAACAGATGCCACTATTCACTGACACTGACTGTATACAAATGAATGAAATAATTGTAAAAACATCGTTCCAAATTCTTTCGCTTTTTTGTTTCCGATGCGATGAACCGATACGGCGGATTATATCCGTTGTCGCCAAACACGAGGACATAATATTATTATTGAGACAGGGCGGTACTCAAACTTCCAAAGGGCTATAACTTTGTTACTTTAATTTTACCAGAAAAATGGTAAAGGAAAAAAACATTTCTTTTGATCAGATCTACTCACTGTTAAAATAAATGACTCAACTTCGAAGTCACCCTGTATAGAATAGTTGTCAGCAAGTACAAAATGAATCTGTAGCTTACAAAAAACCAAAACAGAATACGGTCCTGTCTACCTGGGTTGACGGGTCAGTCAGAATTATGTGTCATTTGTCAATATGGGGAATTTTGAAATATCTGCTAAATAACAATTTTATGTCGTAGCCAGCACCACAAAACATGTACGCTGTCCCATCTCGACACCTTTATGTCAATTTTAAGTTGGTAGACATGCATCTATAGTCATAGAACACAGTAAAACAGAATAAGCTGTGAGCTGGCCGGTTGACTGACTGTATCGTGTATCATCAATCGTTCCTGCAATTTGTAGGACGCCTTTATCGCCTCCTTGATTTTCATAGTTTTCTACTCCGTCGTGTCAGCGCTCTATTTTGAGGTTATGTTTCAAATATCTATTTGCGTCAAATTGTTCATACTTTTGATATATATCATATGTAATATAGCCTGAAATTTCCTACAATCCAAGAAGAAAACATAGCCTGACATTCGGAGAGCGCTGACGCTGACACGGAACAGTAGAAATATAGAAATATCCCTTTCTGAAGGAGAGGAAAGACTATTTTGTGCTTGTTCTGGGGGAATTCTATTTGATCCATCTGGCAACCCTGCTATGTATAATGAACCTAACGAATAAAAAGATGACTGTATGATTAGTTACTGATTGTTCCTCGTGGAATATTAAATTCTAAATCCTAAAACTTTTAGGTACTGCAGAGCTTTATGATTATTTGGAGAGATACAATATACACATTGACAGCAGACTACGTGATTTGCTAGGAAACCATACGAGGAAGTCATGGCAAAGGTTCTTACAAACTGAACATGAATACTTGATAACTGATGATGCCTTGAAATTACTGGGTTCTATGCTGAAGATGGATCACATGGAACGAATCACAGCCAAGGACGCATTGAAGCATCCATACTTTGTTGGAGTTCGCAGAAAATCTCATCCGAAGTCACCTACAACTTTACCGGCATCCCTTACAACACAGGATAAACCTTGATAGCTTAGCTTCTTGTGATTTGTGTATATATGGTTGTATTTAGTAATGGATGAATGAAATATTTCCAGATGTACCTATGAATAATTATATGGTTAATGATTGAGCTCTTATTTCTTCAATTTGTCAAAATACACATAAACACGGTTGTACAAATTTTATTCTCACCATTGGAATTTTGGGAACGGTTAAAGATACGAAGGGCCAAAGTTGCGCACTTGAAAGTTTCGCAACTCGGAGTATTTTCACAGAGGGGAGAAAAATAATTTTCCCAAAATCGTTTTTATTTTTTTTGCTTTATTCAAGGTAGGATTTAAATATTTCGTTAATAAAAAAAAGTACCCCCGGCGGGACTCGAACCCGCAATCCCCGGCTTAGGAGGCCGATGCCTTATCCATTAGGCCACGGGGGCTTACAATATGTAGTCGTTACAGCTCGTACAGACGATTTGCGTCCTTGTTTTCATATACAAGGGTTGTATAAAGAGTATTCAGCAATTAACATTGCACAGGTGTGGACGATACGTATTGTAGGCAGCGCTGCCCAAGGAAATTAAATAGGTTAGGAGCAGCCAGCAGATATGTTTACATGAGTCGCCAAAATTGTGTTGTTTCAGTACATACTTTTGGCGCATTTGCCTAACGTTGCTTACCAAAGTGATGGCCATAGGCGTACATTTTTTTTCTAAGAAAGGTATTCAAACGGCCAATCGAATGCAAAAATATCTCTGCTGATGCGTTGTGAATCGCTCAGTTATTGTTAATAAGCAGGAATAAATTAAAGAAGGCAACAAAATGAAAATAAATGTTTATTTCAAGCTGGAGGCGAGTTGTTGCAGGGGATCGAAGCTTGAACTTCGGGAGAACTTTTAATGCGCGCGTTAGTGATAGCCAGTCTTTCATCCACCCTGTCTTGGATCCCGTGCTTCCTTTTGTACACAAGTGACCTGCCCGCCTTGCCGTCCTGATATAGGAAATAGTGTGACACCTCGGTTCTTGTAAATAATTGATTGCTCAAGATGGCTCAAAGTAAATACATTTGGAAATGGCTGCTATCATATTAATGTCCCTATATTTATAAAATAAAAATACTTAGAGCCTACTCAGATTCCTCACTAGAATTTCGTGGCAATGAAATGACAACGTAAAATTTCTGTCTAAAATTTGAAACTAAAGAGCTTTCCTAAGAACTTATAGATCCAAAATCAAAGTATTTAAGAGTCAAAATTTCAGCTGGGCCTTTTCAGTATCTACCCAAAAATGTGATTTATCTGCAATACTTTTTTAATTTTACAAAGCTTTTTTGTTGGTGTACAATCCTGTTGAGGTACAGGGTGATGACATTTCAAAAACGCCAAAAACTGGCGTGTGGAAAGAAAAAATTCACTCCGTTTGCCCTAAGGGAGGAAACATGGTCCAAGTAAACATTTTTGGTATCTGCAAAACTAGTCAACTCCTTTTTGGTGTAATTTGTTAAGATAACTGCTTAAATCAGTTTCAGACAATTACTTATTGTATGTAAGACCTGGTGTTAATATTTTCTGTCACTATATAAGTTGTTCTCTTTTGTTTGTATTTGCAGCCCACTGATCTGTTAATGATGCTGCAAATATTGAACAAACATGCATTCTGCTTATTACAGTTATTTTATTTGCAAACATGCTGCAAGTTGGCACCGTTGTTAGTCGCTTTACGTGTATTAGGATGAAGTGGCAAGTACCTCTTTTATCTGTTATAATAGTTCTATGTCTAGAAGCAGGAATGGCAAAAGAAATACGTCCGTTGAATACCGAAGCTGCACAAAGAACTGCGAAATGTAAGCTTAAATGATTAATCAAACACGAATATTTCACTCATGTATTAAAATCAATATTTCGAGAATGAATGACTTCCGGATATCTTACCGAAAACAAATTTGTTTTGATTTATTTATTTTTACGTCTGTTTCGAACAGTTCATTTTCAAGATATTTCACTTTAATGATTGGAGATGCACGCAAATCATCAGTTCCTCCCAGAATTAGTAGTCTGATCTCCTATTGAGGTGAACACAAAATGAAGGTTTAAATATGTTTCAGTTTTCGGCGTAGGACTGGTGAGATTCCAGAATGCACCATGTAAAAGTGGAAGTAATTTGGACGGTACCTGTTATAGGCGAAGACAATGTGCAGATATAAACGGTGCTGCAGGTAGCAACTGCGCTTCCGGTATTGGTGTTTGCTGTATAAGTGAGTCTCATTTTTTTCATCGAAGCAGAAATGAGCTAAAGATATGAGACCGTTCCAAGTTTTAATGGGTATAAGGAGGAAAATTCAATAAGGATTTTTTCGCGAGTCTACGGTGTAGTGCACTACCGAGAACCGATACTCAAACTTTCGCGAAGAACGGGAATATCGGAAGACGGATGTGACGTCGTCTGAATGTCAAAAAATCACGTGGTGCGCGTACCCGCCTAACGTCTGACAGGTACTAGCGGGTGACAGGTCTTATGTCAATGTCATTTAAAAACGGGCATCTCAATTGAAAATTTGTCTTCGCAGTGCTGAAAATCGAGTTAAATTAATAAATCATAAATGGAGGAACACGTCCACCTGATTTTAAATGACGAGGGAGAAGGTCATCGAAGATATATGAATCGCACTTTTCATATTAAATGATTGATTTATAAGTACATTGCACAAAAAACGATCGGTCTTGTTATTTCAGATTCAAACAAGGCAGCTTAGTTTATCAAGGAGCTTGAAGCAAACATTTTGCACAACATGCGCCATCTTACCACTCCCGGTTGAACTTGAAACTGTCAAAACTTTGAGAGGAAGGGGAAATTCCGTCTGTTCCCGCTCCGGTTCTCTACAGGATCTCGCGAAAAAATCTCTAATGACTGTGATGTTTGACAGTTTACATTCGATCTATACTTTACACGCATGGGGTACAGAGTACAATTGCGGAAACCGTATCGTTTGCTACTGGTCTTAAAGACAGCCAGTTCTAAAGTTGCTTTACCACCCTAAGGCGTAAAGAAAGATGCGAGCTACATAAAAATCACCGCTCATTACTCTGCTTTCAGTTCAAAGGACATGTGGAGACACATCGAGCTGGAATAGTACCTATTTCTCGAACGCAAATTTTCCAACCGCTGTGACGGGAAATACAAGATGTGTCATGACAATCCAAAGATGCAATCCAGATATATGTCAGGTTAAGTGTTCACGATTTTTCAATAATCATATCACGTTAAAAACTTTCTTATAGCGCCCAGCGTTTTTCTTTAGCATGTACTGGTTCATCTTTGCATTCAAGTGATTCTTGCAATGACGGTATTGATGTAAGGCAATGCCATAGAATAAATGAGTATTTTTGTACAGTATTAGGCTTAAGAAAACGAAATACATGTATCGATTTCAATTTTTAAACGCGGAAGTCCAATTTAAGAAAATAGTCGGTGAAAACAGTATCGACCATGATGTGACGTCATACAAATTGTAAACAAAGAAACGTCATCCGTATGTCACTCGTGGATTAACGTTGTTTAAATATTTAAAAAGAAACTCCTAATCCTAATAAGTTATCTATTTCAGGTTTTGTTGAAAAAAAACGATCATGTAACTATAAAATTTATTGATTAACAAGTAATGCATCTAGTGTAGAACATTGCTATAATTTTTCCAGTAGATGGCAGAGGAAAATGCATCAACGTGCTCTCTATATGAGAGATAGTGGATAAATACTGACATATCAGTAGAAAACGCCAGCAAGTTGAGCTGTATCTACAATTTATTAAAATAATAACCATCATTCAAATCAATGCAGCTACAAGCTTTTATTTAACTTGCCCAGCTTGTATATAAGCTTTACATACGTCAAATGATTGTTCATGTAGATTTTGAAATTAGAAATTATATTTTTATGAGTGTTTGTTAATTTTGGCAGATAGTTAAACCCTGTAAAAGGAAACACATTGTTTTCGAATAATTGCATAAAGTACAATTTTATAGGTCAGAATAGATTTCCTCAGTATGTCTCTCGCCCAGCCGAACGCCACTGGGGTATGCACGACGGACGCACTGCTGATTACGGGGGGCGCAGGGAATGTTCCTGTTATTTGTGGAGAGAATACAGGACAGCACGTGTATGCGGACTTTAATGGAAACGATAATATTGTCATGACGATTACTACAGGGGCTTCCAGCAATTTGGGTAGAAACTGGAACTTCAAAGTTACGCAAATTGCTTGCGCATGTCCGACAAGAGGTAATCGTTTCACAAATACCTTGCTGCATTCAAAATACATATTCGGCCCAGCTAGCACAAGCAGGTTATAATGACGAAGAAATTTGGTGATTGATACAAATATCGACGTCTTCTAAAGGTCCAATTGTGTACGTGTACTTTAGGACGTTGTTGTGACGTGTTATCTTTTTTTAATTATGCAGGGCGTTAATTAAGCATGAACCATAAACTTAACAGACGATTCTTTTTAAGATAAAAAGTTCATACAAACATGGGTTCAAAAATTCGTCGTTCTCGAGATACAGGGTGTTAAATTTAAAATAAAAAATGGTTTTTCGTAAATATTTTAAATATCCTCTACGTAATTTTGTTGCAATTTGGTGATGGTATTTATAACATTACGGAGCTACTATAGCCTTAACTTGATCAACTTTATTAAGTCCAGTGGCGTCTCGAGCAGGATCTGAATGAATATTTGTGACCAAAAAACGTACGCCACTGACTTTTACGCAGTTTTTATTATGTTCTTTGGATTAGGCATATAGAAATACAACTTTTTTGGGACTAGGGACTTATAAGCTCTGTAGAGGAGAGCCCCTAAGTATAGTCTAAACTGTTCCCATCATTTTTTGTTTACCATATGACTACGAGATGTTTTACGAGTTATGCAACATTTGCAGCACCCTCTGGTTGCCTCCAGTTCTTCAACTCAACTTCAGGAACCGTCAATAGTTTCAACTTTGGTACTGGCGGTAACAGTATTGACCCGAATACTGGCTTACCAGGAACCAGGCAGCTTGTTAATCAGAACTACGGAGTTTGCGTTCATATGTTACCTGGTTAGTATATTTAGTTCTGATCTATTAAGTTAATATGGTATATTAATATATTTCTTTCATGGTTACAATGACAAAATATGTGTATATCAATGATCACGTTATTGGAAAAATGGTTATTTTTTCCACTTTGTCAAATATTTCATATTAATTACATTTTGTAATCGTAAAAAACGGTTTTTTAAAATCGGTCTAGGTAGTCGTAGATTTTGAAATAAATTGCTGGACCACGTGTTACAACGTTTCAGATATATCTGCTCATCTTGAGACATGGTTTGGAGGGGATGAAAATTGTAGGTTGGAAACTGTATGCGGTGTTGCATATTTAGTGTCAGTGAAATACCTTCTATTACAGTGGACCTCCGGTAATCCGACAAACATTATGCAGGGCAGTGGCGGACTATCGAATTTGTCGGATTATAGAGCACTGCCTAAGACCCCATATAGTCTGGAATTGTTTACAAAAGAGTACTTTGTAATCCGACAAATTACATATACAATGGTAAGATTATATATGTTATGTATATGTATGTGCTTTGAAGTACAAATCATACTTAGTTTATGTTTGTCGAATTTAGTAAATTGAATAACAATAGAGGGCTTACGTTTTATTATAAAATTAAGCATAAATGCACATATATATGTACCAAAATAATCAACAATTAATGAATTTATCAAATTATGAAGCTTGGAAATATTCATCAATTTTTGTTTGTTTAAAGTTGTTATAACGCGAGATCAGAGCTTTGTCCCCCAGTCTTCTCAAAAGTAAAAGTTCGTTGTAGGATGTACCATTCTCTTCAGCCCATTGTAAACCTGGCTCTAAGGCGTTAATTGCGTCTTGTGCTGTGACTTGTGGAGCAGTTGCAATCACGTCGTCGTTATTTTCCTGATTGTTTGTTGTATAATCAGAAACCTCTTTTATAATCTCTTCGTCAGACATTTCATGAAAAACATTTTCCTCTTTATCCATTCCACGGCACCAGATTTGCAAATCTTCCGGACTTATCTGTGTTTCAGTAGCGACTTGTTCTATAACTTCCGAAGTAACACTGATTTGTGGAAAGTTGCTAGGAGTGGTGACTATATCTGGCCATAACTTTTTCCAAGTTGATTTAATAGTTGATGACGGTAACGCATTCCACGACTGACAAAGAGCAAAAACCAATGCCTTGATATTAAATTCTTTTAAAGTATTTTCTATTGGTTGGTCTTTTCATATGGCTCTTAGAAGTAGGCTTTTCTTATTGTCTTGCTTGACAAACTGAATGATATTCTGGTCCATTGGTTGAATCAGTGCAGTACAATTTGGCGGAAGAAACATCGCAGTGATGCATTTATCCTCAGTTGTTAGTTCTTCTTCAGACGGATGACCGGGTGAGTTATCAAGAAGCAACAACGCTTTTTGAGGAAAATTATGATCTTTTAACCATTTTCTAACTTCAGGTACGAAGCACTCATCAAACCACTTCTTGAAAAGGTCTTTTGTCATCCATGTACTTTTTTGTCCGTAATAGTGTACAGGTAAATCAATGTTTTTGAATGCCCGTGGTTTATTAGATTTCCCAATGACCATCATCTTAAGCGCGTGTGTGCCCGCAGCGTTAGCACATGGTAGTATGGTTACACGCTCTTTACTTACTTTTCGTCCAGGTACGGATTTTTCGTTACAAGAAACGAAAGTTTTGTTAGGCATCACACGCCAAAAAAGCCCTGATTCGTTTGCATTGTATACCTGTGACGGGTCAAGATTTAAATCGTTCACCTTTTGCAAAAATCTTAATTTAAAGGGCTCTATGCAGGTGGCATTGTTAGAAAGTTTCTCTCCTGTAATAGTCATTCGTATGCCATGACGACTTTTAAAACGTTCTAGCCATCCTTTGCTGGTCACAAAATCATATTTTTTTGTTGTTTCCTTATAAAAAAAGCTTAGCTTTCATGGGCAATATGGGTCCTGAAATTGGTACATGCCTATTTCTTTCCTGAAGAAACCACATGTACAAAGCTTCTTCCACTTCTTGATCTTCTCGTGGTTTCTTTTAATGTCATAAATTGTAGATCGGCATACGCCGTATTCACTTGATAAACTACATTGCGATTTAAGCGGTGTAAAATATCACATTTTTCTTTAATAGTCAATGTTTTGTGCTTTCGCTTCTGAGTTTGTGACGACATTACTAGGTACTATACTTAATACACAATGAATAAATAGTAAACAATGAACGCACGCTAGGCCGTACCGCTATCACAAGTAGTCAAATTCAAACTAAGTAAAACAATGCTTACGCTTCGAGTACGATAGCGGTGGCGCGTACAAGTTGTAACCTGTTCAAACCTGCGTGATCTACATTAGCGAAGATTGTCAAATACGTATGTATGTAATACATATTCAAAGACATGTCGGATTACAGGGGGCGCCGGATTAGACAGGGGCCGGATTATCGGGGGTCCACTGTATTAAGAAGTTGCTGATACTATGCACCTGTTAGACATAATCACACAAATTTTCCCTATATCTGTTATGGAAACAAAAATATGATACATTTGCTTTATATTGTTTGATGTGTAAAGGTCGAAGGTTCATCGTACTTAAGTGAACCTACCTAATTACGACTTTGATCATCCCTCATCTTTGAAACCTCCAACGAAGGTGTAGGAAGAACAGAGTCAATCTACTTGACGCCACTTTTTGTGAAACTATTATTATACAGGGTGACTTTGAAGTTGAGTCATTAATTTTCAGATAATGATTGTAGAAGGAAGATAAGCCAAAATATGTGTGTAAAAATAAAAAAAAATTACCTTGTTTTATAAAATATCCTCCCGACAAGTATTTCAGTGCGGACCTGTATTTGATCGTGAGGTCTTGGAGCACCGGTATGCCGTCCCCTGTGAGGTCTTAAGTCACCTGATTCACGAGCCCGTTGTACTACATTAACAAAGGCACGAGGGGTTGGTTGCACTCGATTGGGAAACCGATCCGCATAAACATGTGCCATTTTTTATTTCGTTTGAGCCACGCAACAGACACCACTATTCACTCACGCGTTACCGACTGACACTGACTGTATACAACCGAATAAAATAATTGTAAAAACATCGTTCCAAATTCTTTCGCTTTTTTGTTTCCGATGAACCGATAAGGCGGATTATATCCGTTGTTGCCAAACACGAGCACATAATATTATTATTGAGACAGGGCGGTACTCAAACTTCCAAAGGGCTATAACTTTGTTACTTTATTTTTACCAGAAAAATGGTAAAGGAAAAAACATTTCTTTTGATCAGATCTACTCACTGTTAAAATAAATGACTCAACTTCGAAGTCACCCTGTATATCTCCGATGCGATGAAGTGACAAATCAATGTGTAACTTTCAGGATATTGCTCTATCCGATGGAGCTCAAACAACTTCGTGGTATCTGGCGTACCGCAGGCGAACTTTGGAGCACTTACCAACGGCGATTGCACAACAGATTTCGTTGTCATCCCGAATCCGTCTTACATAAACGGTACACCTGTCAACTCTGACAGGTTCTGCGGAACAGCATTTAATACCGTCACCAGTGAGTATTAAAGACACAAGTGCGGTGTCACGTAACATTTTTTTAAGAAGAAGAAGAAGAAGAAGTGATTGTTTCATGCTGTGATTACTTTGTTGCAAAAACAAAGTGATTAAACTAAATATTTAAAATATCAATAAAGTAAAAAGTCCCAATAAAATGACACCTCTTTTATGACTTCTATTTATATGTTACATGCAGTGGCGGCTCGTGGCAAAATAAAACAGGTGTTCTGCAAATCCGAACTTACCTATTTTTTATGTCAGTTCGATCCTACGCTCCTTCTTGGCAGCAAATTTGTCGATCACCTTCTCGTTGAAATTTTCCATGGTCGAAATAAATTCCTTTTCAATGGACAGCATCGACAACGCTGTCAGACGATCCTGGGTCATAGTATTTCGAAGAAAGGTCTTGATTCTTTTCAATGTTGAGAAATTTCGCTCAGACTCTGATGTTGACATAGGAGTTTTAACAATAATTTCTAATAGCTTTCTTGTTTCTTTTAATGTTTCCTATTTTGTATCAAAAATATCAAAAGAGACAGAGTTCCATGTAAATTCTGGCAATCATTCCGTGCATAAATAACAGACAACTCTGTCTTTAAACGACTTTTTTCTAATTCGGGATAAGCCAAGCAGGTAGTTTCCAACTTGTCATCATATTGTCGCACTTCTAATGCGGTAACTCGGTGATCGTGACTGCTATTATTACGTCGTCTCCCTTTGTTGCCTTGGGGTTCAGTGCAAATACTTTTGGCTTCATTTATTATGTCATCAATTTTATTTCTCACATCGACAATACATTTTTCAAAGTTATCGATAGCTGTTTTAACTTGCGCTGTCTCGGTTTTTCTCTTCTGCAACTGGTTGAACAAGATGTCGACGTGAGGCATGACATGATGAAAAAATGTCAACCAAAACACGAAAACAGAATCGTTTGACATACGGCGAATACCGCAAGCTGCCTTGCAAACGGTTTCATCAGTGACATTTTCTTCCATTTCTTCAATGCATTCAATGAGTGATTCTCTGTTCTCAAACACTACATTTATTGTTCGAATATTAAAATTCCAAAGAGTTGCTGTTCCTTTGGGAATTGTTTCCCCACAATTCTGCTCAGTACGTCTACGCGTTGAGGAGAATTATTAAAAAATCCCGGAATATCTTTCAAATCCCCAAAGAACACCCGAACTTGAGCATTTGGGACATAATCAGGTTTAACTGATGCGCATAGCAATGCACATAGTAAGCAAATGGATATCTTTGTTTAATTTTTGCCTGTACTCCAGCATTATGTCCGCTCATAACCGCGGCTCCATCATAGCTCTGTGAAATAAGTTTGTTAGGGAAATTTCCTATTAATGGATCTACGACGCTCAAAATATGTCTTGTGAGAGTATCAACGTCACATTTTTCGGGATTCATATAACTCCAAAAACGTTCTACTAGTTCGCCGTTAGATACGTATCTGAAAATTGTTACCCGTTGGGTTTTCCCCGAAATGTCCGTTGTTTCATCTGCTATTTTGTAGAGAGAGAGAAAAGCAAGCGCGTACGCTTGTGTCGAAGTAGTGCACAGACCGTTTTCAAGTGGCCCATGAATAATGTTACGCTGCGGTCGCGACGAAAATGACAAGTACGCAATTGGTCGATTATAATCCTTTCTCAGTACAAAACAGACTCGACGCCGTGTCTTGCGGGGGCAGCGTTGCCGGTATTGTTTCTATTTGTGCGATAACATGGAAAATAAATAATGATCAAATTACTACTGCTTTCTGCCAAGACAAAAGTTTTGGCAGTTCTGCAGCTCTGCAGAACTTAAGGGCCAGCCGCCCTGTAACTTACATGGTAAAGTGTGTAACCTATGCACCTTGCAAAAATGTCTATTCCACCGACCAATTTGAATTTGAATCCTTTTCCTTTTAAACCACTAAATAAGAACTTGTTTTTACAAAGGTATTTATTGATAGATAAATATCATGAAAGCTGATTAAGGTTTTTAATCATCTCAATAATTTTCAGCTTCTTCAAAACCGTTCGTCATGACGGTGGTGACGAACGGAGACGAAACAAACGACGTTCGAAATGAAGGATTCTCGATGATGTTTACTCAGCTACCTTGCACGAATGATGTTATCGCAGTGGGAAGAAAATAAACAAATTATATGAAACAAGTATTTTTATTCTTAAGCTATCACCCCATAAGCATAGAATTGGAGCATCTCTGTTGAGCAAAATCTAAAGAAAATCCAGCATTACCTGTATCATTGATTTCATTGCTGTTCGTTACCACAGAGAGCACAAACGGCTTGCTGCTACCTGTAAGAATAATTATACTTCAATCTAAGATTGACCAAGTCATAATAAAAAGACGTGACATAGACGTCATATCGACCTCAGACATGGTATCGACTGTGAATTTGGTCTTTTATACGACATACAGTGACGCCAGTTGGATGTGACAATAGAGCGTCATAATGACGTCATTTATACGTCACTATGTTCACTGAGAAGATTCTCAAGCAAATCAGAAAGTAATCTTACTGATAACTGGTGCAAATCCGTTTCCGCAAAATCGATCGGTGTTTGTCGCCGTTCCGTTAACGAAGCGGGGAGCTGGAATAACAACAAAATCTGTTGTGCAGTTCGCTCCGAATATTTCGGCGTTCGGTGTTGCAATCGTACCATCCTCTACGTTGTCGAACGTATTGTTAGTCACCGAGAAACTGTATGTGCCTGGAGATTGAGACCACCGAATACCACAATAACCTGAAAATATAGTCTTCTACAATTGTGAAAAAAGGGTGGAGAACACCATCCGAGGGGATTAAGAACTAACGTAGTTTGTTGCTGGAAATGTATGCAATTCGTCGTGAAATTGGTTCCGTATACTATACTCCGAAATAGAAAAGAAAGATAGCAGCAAAACACATCGCACGCCCATGCTAACGCAGCATCTCTTCGATTTACGAGGGTGGTCCCAGAAGTACCCGACCCAACGAAGAAAACAAACAACACTTTCTTCTTAACCAAATGCGGCCAAATTCTGCCTTGTTGCTGTGAAACCTCGCTAAACATCTTCACGACACTGTTTTTGCTTGATTGTGAGAAATCGCGGCACCCATCTTGGACACAGCTTTCTCATGTCCAAATTTTCAGATAATATGCGATTAACCGCACTTTTGAAATGCCTACTATGTCTGCTAGCTCGCGCACTTTCAGTCGACGATCATTCAGTAACGCTTTGTGAATTTTCTTCACAATTTCTGGAGTCGTCACCTCATTTGGTCGACCACTGCGATGCTCGTCTTGGCAGCTCATACGGTCTCGTTTAAACTCTGCTACCCAATATTTTACTGTTGTAAACGAAGGAGCAGACTCACCCAGAGTAGAATCCAGTTCAGCTTTTATATTGTAGTACATAACGATGACCAATTTTCTCCATTTTCACAAATTCACTGAAAACGTTCAGTATTGATGGCTGCCAAACAAATACTAAACAACGTGGCGTCTTCAAACTTGACACACATGCGTTATAGGTTGCATACTTTCTAATACAATTATATTTTTCAAACAACTATCGCCATCTGTAGGTCAGGCCGGGTACTTCTGGGACCACCTTCGTATGCGGGATATCTGTCAATTTCAAAAGATGCCTTTAGCATGGACGTGCAATGGGTTTTACTGCTCTCCTCCTTTTCGGATCCCGGGTATAATGAACTAGAGCTATGTAGCTTTCTCATTAAAAATATTATCCCATGATTCGATGACAGAACTTCCGAAGTCGTCAGTTTCATATATTTTTAGCAACATACTAACTTAGTTTGTAATTCTCTTGGTTGGGGCTCGTCGCCCAAAGTGTTAAGTTGCAGAATAGTTAAACTTAGCGTCCAGTAAAACACGACGATATCATTAGAATACGATGCGTCTCACTGTTGCCCAGTTAACGAATTTTTCAGAGAAATATTACTCAGAAAATTAGTAATAACTTTCAGAGATGGAATGTTCTCTAGAATAAAGTTAAACTATAAACAGAAAAGTAAGCCTTTAAGGCCTGATTTTACTATTGATCAGCGGAATTCAAAATTTGCACCTTTGGCACACATTGGATGAATGAGAATGTGATGGATCTAGTCAATTTGGTATAATAATTACAATTTGTGTAAGGTGGGCTCATAATTCTCATGCTAAATCAAAAAATACTTCATATATCACACGACTCAGCTACAAAAACCTATTTTTTCATTTGTGTCCAGACACAAAAATAATTGACTCAAATTTGGCCAATCAAAAAGAAGGATTTGTGGAAACGTGGATCAAACCTGATTGACACGACGCCATTGCTGAGCATTTTATTGAAAATAACAGTGTCTCACTGTAGCTGTACAAAATTTTGCTCATTAAATTCTTTGAAGAGACTGAAATAGAATTACAGGTGGCTTATTCTTTAAAAACTGCCTTCTCATTGGTCGACTGTCTGACACAGGTGTTTTTTTGCTCCCTGGCTGATCAAAATCGTGCCTTATGGCTTCAGGCGTTTAGACTTAAAAAGACTCAAGTTGTAACAAACATCATTGATAAATTTCTACACTGTCTAGCCCACAGCCGACTTCAATTATTATTTCAGTTTTATTCTCGGGAACCAAAAAGAAAGCATTGAAATACATCGCACGCCCATGGTAAGGCGGCATCTTTCGAATCGACAAAGTCGGCGCGCGGATATCGCTTCATATTAAAAAAGATGACGCATTAGCATAGGCGTGCGATTTGTTTTGCTGATCTTTCTTGTGGTTGCCGAGTATAGTGGCGTCTGGTGGCCTTGTTAACATGGAATCCCTGGCGTATCCTGAAAAACGATATGACGGATCTACGATCTGAAAGATGTCCGCCTCTTAGGGGAGTTGGGGCGTTTTAGAGATTTAGTTTTGGGCATGCTCCATATTTGATGTAACTTCTATTAGGTTTTCTCATAGCTCATGAAGGTTTACTTCATAGCTTAATAATCTTATCCAATACTTCTGCTTGCATCTTGTCCGACCTGTTAAAATTGAAGCTGTTTGCAGTCATGGTGACTGCAACAGAGTAAGATGTCACGTGTACACAAGCTGAAATTAATTTTCTGCGCAGTGTACATACGAGTCAGATACCATATGCGCAGAGCGCGAAATCCAGTTCCTGCTCAGTGTACTTAGTAGGAGATAGCCCAGTCTCAGTCGTCGACAGTTTCTGCCTCACTAGTAACAGATCTCCTTGAACACCAAGCCAACCCCCCTAAATACGACATAAACTAGTTTTCTTTCGTTTTTAAACTTATATTTCGTACCTGGTATCATAGCAATGCAAACCCCATAATTCAAATTCGCTAGTTGTCTTGTGCCGTTCTGGTTTATCGAATTGCCATAGTTGAAGCCTCTGACCGTGCCTGTTGTGCTGTTGAAATACTGAAGACATCCAGAAGGTGCTGAAATGATCGTAGCTTCATGATACATTATACATGGTGCGCTCTAGTCAGAAGAAATTCTGCACAGGAATGAGGATTTTCACCGGCTTGTACCTTTGAGGTCATTTCAAAATATAGTCCACTCTTTTTAATGGGACCGTATATATAAGGAAGAGAGTGGGAGATTTTACGTTTGGATGGATGCCTGACCTTTGAAGGTCATGGTCAGGATCTATTATGTATGTAATCGATGAATAATATTGAAACGATGTCCCCTTCGACCAATCTAGAAGCGTTCCAGGACATTCGTGCGATATTTCTCGAACGCTCCCGACGTCAACCGAACACTGCCGATCGCTCACGCACGTCAAAGCGATCGCTTCTCGAAGCTTCTCCAGTACGTCGCAAGCTGCGATACATGATTGTGTAACTCTGGTTGCCTAATTTTGCGAGGGTACCTTTTCGCTTTTCAAGGTATGTAATCAATAAAATACTCTCAAAGAGAAATTATAACAAAGCATGACATTATGATTTTTTCTGATTATCTGTCGGCGACCCTCAATTTGTCCTTGATCTCTGACATTCAAGGTCACTTCAAGGTCAAGTCCGTCTTTTTAATGAGACCGTATATTTTTGACACCGAAAATAAATCAAACGGAAGGCTTAACTTCAAATAAGGCACTAACCTTCAAAAAATTTACCTTTGAAGCTCAATGTCTGATATCTAATCAGTAAAATGATCTCGAAAACGACGAGACTATTCCTGAGACCAGAAATTGATAGGGTGGAAAATTTTACGTTTGGAGGAGTCCTGGACCTTGAAAAATTCAACGCTTAGAGGCCATTGTCAGACATCGATACTTGTCTCAATAGTCATGAGCCTCAAAGAGATTTCCTTATTTAAAAAAATACATTTTAAAAATATAATATAATGATATATATATATATATATATATATATATATATATATATATAGGTGTGAAAAATTAAAGCTTCCGCCTTTTGTTGGGTACTTCGACAAAATTTAAGCAAAGAGGACTCTTTATACTTTTTTAATTCTCTCTAGCTTTCAATGGACTTTGCTATCATCATCAGGAGCTGCAATTACAATGACATCAGTAGCAACAAAAGTGTAAAATGAATTTAAATTGACTCAACTTACAGTAGTATGTGAGGATGTTGCTAATTGTTGTTTACGTATAGGATGAGGGAAACGTCCAGTAACATGGTGAGAGCTGGATACATGGTACAATGGTCAAAATTATATAAAATATGACAAGAACAAGTTAAAGACAGATTAAAAATTATTTAAAAACATTACATCGTGAAGCCACTTGATGATTGCACAAAATGGTGGTCATGGAATAATGAGTGAGATGAACCTTTTGACAGAAGGCCGAAGGTTGTCAATGTCTGTGTTGAAAGATGGAACGAATTGTGGGCGTGTGCCAAAACGTTGCCAAATCACTTCAGATGATGTGATTTTCAGAATGTTATGTAAGAAATTGTTAAACCGACCAGAGACAGTTGAATAAACTATATTTTAATTAATGGGAATTTAAATTAACAATTATTAATAAATCGTGAGAAGAGAATTATTAGATTTTGAGTGGAATGAAATTTACTGGTGGAATCGGCCAAAACACAGATTCTATTTATGGTTGTGAAAAGTCGAAATTTGGGGAGATATGTAAGTTCTCCAATTTTTCGCAGTTTAGCAAATATGAGTAAATGACACTCAGTTGTTTAACATCTGTCTTTTTGTTGATACAGTTGCTGTTCATGAAAATGTGGGACATTTCAAGGAATAAACGTTTGGAAAGGTGTTTTTCTTTATCAAGAACTTTGATACTTGAGTAATTCATAGAATGCCCTGTTGTGTTAACATGAGATGCTAGAGCGCATCTTTCAGGATGAAGCCTAGCATCACTTTTGTGTAATGTAATCCTTCACACGCCCACAATTCGTTCCATCTTTCAACACAGACATTGACAACCTTCGGCCTTCTGTCAAAAGGTTCATCTCACTCATTATTCCATGACCACCATTTTGTGCAATCATCAAGAGGCTTCACGATGTAATGTTTTTAAATAATTTTTAATCTGTCTTTAACTTGTTCTTGTCATATTTTATATAATTTTGACCATTGTACCATGTATCCAGCTCTCACCATGTTACTGGACGTTTCCTCATCCTATACGTAAACAACAATTAGCAATATCCTCACATACTACTGTAAGTTGAGTCAATTTAAATTCATTTTACACTTTTGTTGCTACTGTTATCATTGTAATTGCAGCTCCTGATGATGATGGCAAAGTCCATTGAAAGCTAGAGAGAATTAAAAAAGTATAAAGAGTCCTCTTTGCTTAAATTTTGTCGAAGTACCCAACAAAAGGCGGAAGCTTTAATTTTTCACCTAACTGGTCTAGACGACAATGACCACGTCTCAAGTTATATATATAATAAATACAGTTTAAAAAAAAATAAAAGTCGACATCCGTGAGACAGATTCGATTTTCAGTGAAAAAGATCCTTATTTCCTAAAGTTAATCCACAGGCTCTTAGAAAGGATAAAAATTGAGTTTCGAGTGCCAGATGAATCCATGTATTTTTCGACGTTGAAACCGAATTTGAAGCCAACGGAACTTTTAAACTCCTACAATTCACCCCCGGGACCAAAAACTACTCCACATAAGGGTATAAAATTAATTTTTTGATGCCAGATGTCGTGGTGTGAAAAGAAAAACGACAAAATCACACAAATCCTGATGGCTTTCGAGATTATCCCGACTTCTTGAACACCCTGTATGTGTATAGCAACGTAAAAAAGTATGATTTATGCCTCAAAAATTAAATGCAATTTATAAAAAATACACACCTCTAGTGGGACAGTTGCAACCGATCTGGGTAACTTTAATATTCCAAGCGACGGCTGCGCTAGTCGTACCACTGGTACTGACGGAGATCGTGATAGGAGTGTCACCATTAAAATCCACGTAGATGTGTTGACCGGTATTTTCACCGCAAATGGCAGGAACTATCGATGCTCCCCCCGTAACCAAAAGCGCGTCTGTCGTGCATGTACCGTTGCCGTTCGGTTGGGCTAGTCGGAGGGTCAAGAAGTCCAGGCGTATCTGTTAAAAAATAAATGGATATGGAAAAAGCTTCGGTATGGCAAAGAAAGGTATTTAAGTACCGAGGCCATGGCTTCACATGCAACATTTGTTCAGGAATGTGAGCATATGAAATATTATTTATTAACTCAAAAAACCTACATAAAGTCAAAAAATCGACATTGTATCACAAGATACGTAATACCCCTGCGGATTCATATCTAGAAGAGACGCGATAGAACTGGATCAAGCTCATCTGAACATCTCTTCAGTGGAAATTAAAAATGCGATATGGAAAAAGTTTTATAAGTTGACATTGTTTTATCTTACCTGGCATACTCCTGCACATTTCTGTATAGTAATTGTGCATACTGAAGATCCTGTATACGCTGAAGGAAAGCCAGGACTAACGAAATACGTATTGTTTAGAGAAGAGGTCTCCCCACACGTCCTTTGAACTGAAAACAATAAGGTACTTATCCTACATATAAATAGCAAATATTTAAACAAATCTGTAAATACTAAACAGCAATCAAAAAGTGTAAAGATCATGTGCAAGAAATATACTCAGCCGCAATAGACGACCCAACAAAAATGATCTGATATGAATAAAATTTTATATACAAAAACTGTATCACTTATATTTTTGCTTATGTCCAATTGTTGTTGACGAATGCAATTTTCTCAAGTTTTGAAAAAGGAAAGTTACACTGCCGCAACCTGTAGTATTCCATATTGATGCATTGATTCCATTATCCTGAATTACGGTTCCCTAACTTGTCCCGTTCAAGAAATAAAGTGGAGAGGGGCATGTTTGAAAAGCACCGAGTGAAATAAAACGAAAAAAATTATTTGGGGGTTATACAGCAGACGCTCGATAACGTAATCACGGAATAATGAAAACTTGCGCTAATGTAAATACAAATTTCGTTCTATAGGATCAAACGGAACGCGCGATAACGTAAACAATGTGTACGCTCGATAACGTAAACAACTCTCGGCGCACGGAAACAGCGCGACGGTAAAATGCTGAAGCCTCGATGATTTATGTCGGGCGTCGGGGAGTCCCGAGAGTAGGGGATTCACCTCTGCGATAAAATACGACAAACTCGGTCAGTCGTATGATCGTTTAGGATACGTTTATACGTACGTATGTATTTCATTTTTGAACTTAAGTGAATACATTGCACCCCTTATAATATTTTTCGATTATGGCATCCACATATCCTATAAAAGAAAGTGTTTAAAGTTGAGTGAGAAAGTGAAAATCATAGACGAAGTTGCACTAGGTGCGGGAGTGACACAGTTAGCAAAAAAATATGGAGTATCGAAAGCAACAATCTGTAAAATTAAGCGTATGAAAACTCGAATTTTACAAAGAACGTGCAATACATTTGGAGGTCCGGGAAAAAGAAAAACTTAAAAAAATGCGAAGGCACCTAAAATGTAAAATTCCCTGTATAAGTGGTTTTTAAAACAACGGGAAAATCATGTCCCAGTTAGTGGCGAAGTACTTAAACAGAAAAACTGAACGAAACTGAAAATTTCGTAGCTAGTGATGGCTGGCTACAAGGATTCAAAACAAGATATGGAATTCGACTGCTGTCTATATCTGGTGAAAAATTATCAGCACAACCACAATTAGTGCAACCATTCAAAGAAAAATTGATGAAAACAATTACCGAGCTAGATTTAAGAATGGAAGAAATTTACAACGCAGATGAAAGTGGCCTTTATTGGAAAATGTTACCAGAGAAAACCTATGCTGCATCATTTGAAAAATCTGCCCCGGGAAGAAAGCCGGAGAAACAACGAATAACGTTTCTAGCCTGCACTAATGCTAATGGTTCACACAAAATAAAGCCACTGGTAATTTTGAAAGCAAAAAATCCGCGCTCATTTAAAAATGTTAATATCCCTGTTGATTGTGACTGTTCAAAAACCGCTTGGATGACTAGCAGTATATTCCTGAAATGGTTCCACAGGTGCTTTGTCCCTCAGGTATGACAATCAATTATCACAAATGCTCTATTCATAATTTGAAGATGTGTTTTCAATTTGTAGGTAAAAGGTTTCCTAAAACAACAGAAGCTTCCAATAAAAGCGTTGTTACTATTGGATAATGCACCAAGTCATCCTCCCGAGCAACAACTGAGGAGCAGGGATGGGTCAATCTTCGTCATGTACATGCCGCCCAACGTAACACCGTTGATTCAACCGATGGACCAGAATATGATAAGACTCACCAAACTATACTATAGGAAGTTTCTACTTTCGTCTGTCTTATCAAAGAATCTTGAAAACTTATCTGAGGCTTAAAAAAAATTAACATTACGAGAAGCTGTTTTAGATTTACATATGGCCTGGAATGAACTTAACCAGCAAACTATTCAAAAATGTTGGAACAACCTCTTTTGTACCAATAATGAAGATGATGAAGAAGACGATGTCCCCTTAAGCGTAATTAGAGAACGATTGCGATCCAATAATGATAATGTTATTAGTGTGTCATTAGATGTTGTTGATTTATTGAAAACAGTGAATCCCAACATTGTTTGTACTCCTGCTGATATTAATTTATGAAACGAAGATAAGCAGACGAATGATGCTGATAAAGAGGAGGATATGGACAGTGAGGATAATGAGAACGATCCCATCGAAGTCAGAAGTGTAGTGACTGACGCGCAAGCTATACAAGTTTTTAACCAAGCTTTAGATTGGGCTGACAGAAAAGAAGTTTCATACACGGATATTTTAGTTCTTCGTAAATTACGGGCGCAGGCATTGGAAGACAATGCTAAGCGCAAATTTACGCAGACAAAAATTGTTAGTTATTTTTCTTCTAATTAAAAAAATACTTATCGCTGTTAGAATATTTGTTTATTTTGTTATAAATAGTACGTATTAAACGTTTCTTTTAATAAATCAAATATTATATAAATCACGTTCGCTAATGTAAACATTTCGATAATGTGAACCACACTTGGATTAAATTAGTTTACATTATCGAGCGTCTGCTGTATTTCCTTTATCACCGAGTATATTTCTATGTACTTACTGACACAGCAAACTCCAATACCACCCGCACATTTAGTGGATCCTATGCCATCTATTTCCCTACACTGTCGCCGAGTATAACAGGTACCCTGCATGCTACCAGATCCAATACATTCCGAATTTTCAAATCGCACTAGGCCCACTCCAAAAAAGGCTAATACTAAAAAAGAGTTACACAAGAATATAAAAAAACATTTTATACAATATTTCTTAATAAATGCATCGGTCAATACCTTTTTCTTGCCTCTTGTTCAATCTTTGATTGCTACGACTGATTTCACAGGACGCACTATTACAGACCAACACTATGAGGATCGATTTTAGTACCAGATGTGAGTGTTTCATTTTGTCGAACTAACATTTTTTACTTTACTCTTCTAATGTCTAGTTAAGGCCTCAGTTAGCACCTTTTCGGTGATAACGGTAAAGTACCGAAATATACTGTTGAATTCATCAAAATTGCTACTTGTGTATTCTAATAGTTCAATTAGCACTAAAATAGTATATTCCTGTGAATCTATCTCTCTTCATAACCAGAACACCAGTACATTTTGTTTTATAGCATCAGAAGATGAAGTTGGGGATATTCGTTATAGTCTCGATCGTATGGTTGTGTAACTGCCACGGAGTACTAGGTAAAAGTTTGCCATTTATTTTTGAGCTAAAACCTATCGCAGGAGTTTTAATGGTAATTTGTATTCGCACTGAGAAAAATTTTAATTGTGCTATTTAAATATATCTCTAACAGTTGAATTGAATCTATGAAGATAGTTTGATTAAATTTATTTAGCCGTTTACTTAGATTGAGTACACCAATTTACTAAAAATAAATAAAGCATTAAAAGGTGTTTACATGTTACAAGTAACTATATTTAGTGACATTGTTAAATTATTATAGGTGAAAGTATTTTATTAGTTTTAATGAATCATTTTATTGAGATTTATAAGTATTTTTTGATAATGTTTGACATTTAAAAGAACTAATTGCGTTTTATTGAATCAAGTATATTGTAATTATGGTCTGACAAATCTAAAATATTAAGAAATTTATATATTATTATATATTGAGAATTGATATTTTCTAATAAAAATGGAATTTGTTTTTGAAGTAAAATTTCGCAACAATTTGAGCGGTAATTTGTGTTCGCACAGAGAAAAAATGGTTGAGCCAATTAAAATCTTAATCAAAGCAATTACAAAATTTAATCAACTATATGACAGCTAACAAGTTTTATTGAGCTCCGATTTCTAAACCAGTATACTTCAATCTATGAATCTGTTTTAATTAAATCAAAATGCAATCGTTTAACTATTATTATTAAACCGTTTACTAGGATCGTATTACACCAACTTTCTTTAAATTAATGAACTACCAAAATGCCTTTTTGAAAAAAATAACTCGCAACAGTTTGAGCGGTAATTTGTACGCGTACTGGGAAGAATGTGATTGAACAATTTAGGTTTTAATTAAACCAATTAAAAAACCTAATTAACCATGTGACAGTTAATAAGTTTTATTAGTTTATTTAATCCCCGATATTTAAACAGTTTACTTGAATATAGAAAACTAGTTTAATTAAATCAAAATGCAATCGTCTAATTAAAATTATTAAACCGTTTACTAGGATCGTCTGCACCAACTTTCTTTAAATTAATGAACTACCAAAATGCCTTTTTGAAAAAAATACCTCGCAACAATTTGAGCGGTAATTTGTATTCCTATTGGGAAGAATGTGATTGAACCAATTTAGGTTTTAATTAAACCAATTTAAAAACCTAATTAACCATGTGACAGTTAATAAGTTTTATTAGTTTATTTAAGCCCCGATATTTAAACAGTTTACTTGAATATAGAAAACTAGTTTAATTAAATAAAAATGCAATCGTTTAATTAAAGTTATTAAACCGTTTACTTGGATCGTCTACACCAATTTCCTTTAAATTAATGAACTACCAAAATGCCTTTTTGAAAAAAATAACTCGCAACAATTTGAGCAGTTATTTGTATTCGTACTGGGAAGAATGTGATTGAACCAATTTAGGTTTTAATTAAACCAATTAAAAAACCTAATTAACCATGTGACAGCTAATACGTTTAAACTCCGATATTTGAACAGTTTACTTGAATATAGAAAACTAGTTTAATTAAATCAAAATGCAATCGTTTAATTAAAATTATTAAACCGTTTACTAGGATCGTCCACACCAATTTCCTTTAAATTAATTAACTACCAAAATACCTTTTTGAAAAAATAACTCGCAACAATTTGAGCGGTAATTTGTATTCGTATTGGGAAGAATGTGATTGAACCAATTCAGGTTTTAATTAAACCAATCAAAAAACCTAATTAACCATGTGACAGTTAATAAGTTTGATTAGTTTATTTAAGCACCGATATTTAAACAGTTTACTTGAATATAGAAAACTAGTTTAATTAAATCAAAATGCAATCGTTTAATTAAAATTATTAAACCGTTTACTAGGATCGTCCACACCAATTTCCTTTAAATTAATTAACTACCAAAATACCTTTTTGAAAAAATAACTCGCAACAATTTGAGCGGTAATTTGTATTCGTATTGGGAAGAATATGATTGAAACAATTTAGGTTTTAATTAAACCAATTAAAAAACCTAATTAACCATGTGACAGCTAATAAGTTTGATTAGTTTATTTAAACTTCGATATTTAAACAGTTGACTTGAATATAGAAAACTGTTTAATTAAATCAAAATGTAATCATTTAATTAAGATTATTAAACCGTTTACTTGGATCGTCTTCAACAAATTCCTTTAAATTATTGAACTGCCAAAATGCCCTTTAGAAAAAAATAACTCTCAACAATTTGAGCGGTAATTTGTATTCGTATTGGGAAGAATGTGATTGAACCAATTTAGGTTTTAATTAAACCAATTAAAAAACCTAATTAACCATGTGACAGTTAATAAGTTTTATTAGTTTAAGCCCCGATATTCAAACAGTTTACTTGAATATAGAAAACTAGTTTAATTAAGTCAAAATGCAATCGTCTAATTAACCTAATTAACCATGTGACAAGTAATAAGTTTGATTAGTGTATTTGAACTTCGATATTTAAACAGTTTATTCGAATATAGAAAACTAGTTTAATTAAATCAAAATGCAATCGTTTAATTAAAATTATTAAACCGTTTACTAGGATCGTCTACAACAAATTCCTTTAAATTAATGAACTACCAAAATGCCTTTTTGAAAAAAATAACTCGCAACAATTTGAGCGGTAATTTGTATTCGTATTGGGAAGAATGTGATTGAACCAATTTAGGTTTTAATTAAACCAATTAAAAAACCTAATTAACCATGTGACAGCTAATAAGTTTGATTAGTTTATTTAAACTTCGATATTTAAACAGTTGACTTGAATATAGAAAACTGTTTAATTAAATCAAAATGTAATCATTTAATTAAGATTATTAAACCGTTTACTTGGATCGTCTTCAACAAATTCCTTTAAATTATTGAACTGCCAAAATGCCCTTTAGAAAAAAATAACTCTCAACAATTTGAGCGGTAATTTGTATTCGTATTGGGAAGAATGTGATTGAACCAATTTAGGTTTTAATTAAACCAATTAAAAAACCTAATTAACCATGTGACAGTTAATAAGTTTTATTAGTTTAAGCCCCGATATTCAAACAGTTTACTTGAATATAGAAAACTAGTTTAATTAAGTCAAAATGCAATCGTCTAATTAACCTAATTAACCATGTGACAAGTAATAAGTTTGATTAGTGTATTTGAACTTCGATATTTAAACAGTTTATTCGAATATAGAAAACTAGTTTAATTAAATCAAAATGCAATCGTTTAATTAAAATTATTAAACCGTTTACTAGGATCGTCTACAACAAATTCCTTTAAATTAATGAACTACCAAAATGCCTTTTTGAAAAAAATAACTCGCAACAATTTGAGCGGTAATTTGTATTCGTATTGGGAAGAATGTGATTGAACCAATTTAGGTTTTAATTAAACCAATTAAAAAACCTAATTAACCATGTGACAGTTAATAAGTTTTATTAGTTTATCTAAGCCCCGATATTTAAACAGTTTACTTGAATATAGAAAACTAGTTTAATTAAATAAAAATGCAATCGTCTAATTAAAGTTATTAAACCGTTTACTTGGATCGTCTACACCAATTTCCTTTATATTAATGAACTACCAAAATGCCTTTTTGAAAAAAATAACTCTCAACAATTTGAGCGGTAATTTGTATTCGTATTGGGAAGAATGTGATTGAACCAATTTAGGTTTTAATTAAACCAATTAAAAAACCTAATTAACCATGTGACAGTTAATAAGTTTTATTAGTTTAAGCCCCGATATTCAAACAGTTTACTTGAATATAGAAAACTAGTTTAATTAAGTCAAAATGCAATCGTCTAATTAACCTAATTAACCATGTGACAAGTAATAAGTTTGATTAGTGTATTTGAACTTCGATATTTAAACAGTTTATTCGAATATAGAAAACTAGTTTAATTAAATCAAAATGCAATCGTTTAATTAAAATTATTAAACCGTTTACTAGGATCGTCTACAACAAATTCCTTTAAATTAATGAACTACCAAAATGCCTTTTTGAAAAAAATAACTCGCAACAATTTGAGCGGTAATTTGTATTCGTATTGGGAAGAATGTGATTGAACCAATTTAGGTTTTAATTAAACCAATTAAAAAACCTAATTAACCATGTGACAGTTAATAAGTTTTATTAGTTTATCTAAGCCCCGATATTTAAACAGTTTACTTGAATATAGAAAACTAGTTTAATTAAATAAAAATGCAATCGTCTAATTAAAGTTATTAAACCGTTTACTTGGATCGTCTACACCAATTTCCTTTATATTAATGAACTACCAAAATGCCTTTTTGAAAAAAATAACTCTCAACAATTTGAGCGGTAATTTGTATTCGTATTGGGAAGAATGTGATTGAACCAATTTAGGTTTTAATTAAACCAATTAAAAAACCTAATTAACCATGTGACAGTTAATAAGTTTTATTAGTTTAAGCCCCGATATTCAAACAGTTTACTTGAATATAGAAAACTAGTTTAATTAAGTCAAAATGCAATCGTCTAATTAACCTAATTAACCATGTGACAAGTAATAAGTTTGATTAGTGTATTTGAACTTCGATATTTAAACAGTTTATTCGAATATAGAAAACTAGTTTAATTAAATCAAAATGCAATCGTTTAATTAAAATTATTAAACCGTTTACTAGGATCGTCTACAACAAATTCCTTTAAATTAATGAACTACCAAAATGCCTTTTTGAAAAAAATAACTCGCAACAATTTGAGCGGTAATTTGTATTCGTATTGGGAAGAATGTGATTGAACCAATTTAGGTTTTAATTAAACCAATTAAAAAACCTAATTAACCATGTGACAGTTAATAAGTTTTATTAGTTTATCTAAGCCCCGATATTTAAACAGTTTACTTGAATATAGAAAACTAGTTTAATTAAATAAAAATGCAATCGTCTAATTAAAGTTATTAAACCGTTTACTTGGATCGTCTACACCAATTTCCTTTATATTAATGAACTACCAAAATGCCTTTTTGAAAAAAATAACTCTCAACAATTTGAGCGGTAATTTGTATTCGTATTGGGAAGAATGTGATTGAACCAATTTAGGTTTTAATTAAACCAATTAAAAAACCTAATTAACCATGTGACAGTTAATAAGTTTTATTAGTTTAAGCCCCGATATTCAAACAGTTTACTTGAATATAGAAAACTAGTTTAATTAAGTCAAAATGCAATCGTCTAATTAACCTAATTAACCATGTGACAAGTAATAAGTTTGATTAGTGTATTTGAACTTCGATATTTAAACAGTTTATTCGAATATAGAAAACTAGTTTAATTAAATCAAAATGCAATCGTTTAATTAAAATTATTAAACCGTTTACTAGGATCGTCTACAACAAATTCCTTTAAATTAATGAACTACCAAAATGCCTTTTTGAAAAAAATAACTCGCAACAATTTGAGCGGTAATTTGTATTCGTATTGGGAAGAATGTGATTGAACCAATTTAGGTTTTAATTAAACCAATTAAAAAACCTAATTAACCATGTGACAGTTAATAAGTTTTATTAGTTTATCTAAGCCCCGATATTTAAACAGTTTACTTGAATATAGAAAACTAGTTTAATTAAATAAAAATGCAATCGTCTAATTAAAGTTATTAAACCGTTTACTTGGATCGTCTACACCAATTTCCTTTATATTAATGAACTACCAAAATGCCTTTTTGAAAAAATAACTCGCAACAATTTGAGCGGTAATTTATATTCGTACTGGGAAGAATGTGATTGAACCAATTTAGGTTTTGATTAAACCAATTAAAAAACCTAATTAACCATGTGACAGCTAATAAGTTTTATTAGTTTAAGCCTCGATATTTAAACAGTTTACTTGAATATAGAAAACTAGTTTAATTAAGTCAAAATGCAATCGTCTAATTAACCTAATTAACCATGTGACGAGTAATAAGTTTGATTAGTGTATTTGAACTTCGATATTTAAACAGTTTATTCGACTATAGAAAACTAGTTTAATTAAATCAAAATGCAATCGTTCAATTAAAATTATTAAACCGTTTACTTGGATCGTCTACACCAATTTCCTTTAAATTATTGAACTGCCAAAATGCCTTTTTGAAAAAAATAACTCACGACAATTTGAGCGGTATTTTGGATTCGTACTGGATGAATGTGATTGACCCAATTTAGGTTTTAATTAAACCAATTAAAAAAACCTAATTAACCATGTGACAGTTAACAAGTTTGATTAGTTTATTTAAGCCCCGATATTTAAACAGTTTACTTGAATATAGAAAACTAGTTTAATTAAATCAAAATGCAATCGTTTAATTAAGATTATTAAACCGTTTACTTGGATCGTGTACAACAAATTCTTTTAAATTATTGAACTGCCAATATGCCTTTTTGAAAAAAATAACTCGCAACAATTTGAGCGGTAATTTGTATTCGTACTGGGAAGAATGTGATTGAACCAATTTAGGTTTTAATTAAACCAATTAAAAAACCTAATTAACCATGTGACAGCTAATACGTTTGATTAGTTTATTTAAACTCCGATATTTGAACAGTTTACTAGAAAACATGTTTAATCAAATAAAAATGCAATCGTTTAATCAAATTTATTAAACCGTTTACTTAGATTGAATAAACCATTGAAATCAATGAACTATTAAAATGTGTTTACCTGCTACAAGTAAAGCATTTTAATTATATTTATTTAATCTTAATTTGCTCAATCAGTGTAGGTAAAAGTACTTTCCTAGTTTTACCAATTATTTATCTGATTGTCCAGAAACAAGTTGTAACAACTACAACAAGTACATTAATAATTTGGAAGTCGCATATGCTCTTGAGTATTACGACCTTTTGGTATTTTAAAAACTTGTCGCTCTCAATGGCGCCGGCAGAACTGTTTCTCAGTGGGTCCGATCATCGGTAAAAGATAATCTTTCGTGAAAGTCTACCTGCCCTCTAATTCTAAAAATCCTCAATATTGTAGACAAGGTCCAACTGTGCGCTCAGGGGTCACGCTCCCTACTGCCGGCCCTGTGGGGGCCCATGGTTGTTTTGCTTCCTTTCAATATGAGGAAGCCAATCATCTTTTTCAAAGTTGAACAGTTTTTAGCAAGTTGACTGTATATTATTGTGAAAATTAAATACTTACAATCCTCATCAAATTCAGCTTGTCAAATTTTACCGCCACAGTCTGGTATAGGCAGGCCTATAAGTAAATAGTTTTTTGTATCTAGTTCGTTTTAGCAACAGCGTCTGTACGACCTTAGAAGGCTACGATGGAATTTGTTTACGAAGACAACAATGTGAAGACGCTAATGGCATTTCTTCGGGGACTTGTGCCAGCGATTTGGGAAGATGTTGCCTATGTGAGTATTCTCCTTTTCTTCAAGTTATTATATTCTGAGTATAGAGTTGATTGAATGCAAGAAACTATCTATCGTGGCTGAATCGTAATTCTGATGACATCGAAATTTCTTTCAATGGTAAAAAAGAATTTAAATCGCCATACGGATATTTTGGTGGCAGTAAGTATACGTGAATTAGCTGTTACAAGCCATCCAATGCTGCGGTCATATACAAAGTCAATTTTTTAAGACCTCGTTCGTAAAAACTAGCAGAATTTTGTGTCCATGGACTCTTTTTTTCCAAATGTATTGAGATCTACGAGGTAACTTTCTTAGAAAAATTAATGAGGAAGCTTCCTATATTTGAAAGTACACTTAAAATGATAGTCGTAAAGTGAAGTACAACAGTGATTGTTTTTAATATTAAAAAAACGAGAAAGTTACGCTCTCCAGAAGCTTCTTATTTGAAGAACGATATTTCTGGAGCATGTGACTGAGTGATGACGTCACATGACACCAGCTACCATCGCCACCACGAAGCGATGCACCCGCCGCGCATGCTATTTGCAAATATTATTCTGCTGTGTATTTACGATTTGTTGTAAAAATTATCATTGTACTGTTCTAAATCTTATTTTGATGTTGAAGTTGTGACTATAGGAAACTTAACTAATTAAATGTCATTTCCCATGTGTGGTAATGTCATACATATTGATGTATAGGAAATGATGATGCTCCTATAAGATATTTTGAATTTTTAAATTAGGCAAGTGATACATATCTTCATCTTTATTTTTAGTTCAAAGATCTTGCGGTCAATCTTCGTCGCAGAACAACACCTACTTTTTCAACAGCAAATACCCAAATACAGTTAGTACGGGACTTCAGTGTACGTTTACAATTATACCGTGCAATTCAAATATTTGTCAGGTAAGAGCAGTTAACTCTATAGTTTCGTTAATAAGTAGAAAACATATTCAAATCGGATCGATGTGCAGACCCAGAAATATACTAAGTGACATATAAATCCGAACACCCAGTTTAAATGGTTTTATTTTAATAAAATTTTGTATAAGTACTTAATGAAGCATAATAAGTAAATAATAAAAATTTCAAAATGATTTCACTGCTTTAAAGCCCTTTGATCTTTAATAATGTGTGGATGCACCCTGATGTGCTACGCATTCTCCAACGCGCCTAGGAATGCTTCTGATCAGGTGGTCAATGTCCTCCTGTGGTATCTCATTCCAAGCAACCACCAACTCCTCTCGAAGTGCTTCTAGAGTCTGAGGAGGACGTTGCAAATTGAGCAATCTCCTACCCATCATATCCCACACGTGCTCAATTGGGGAAATCTTGGTGGCCATGGTAATAATGTGACATCATTATGTTGAAAGAAGTCTATTGTGACTCTTGCAACATGTGGTCGGGCATTATCTTGTTGGAAAGATGGATCTGCCAGGGTGTCAAGATAGGGTAAAAGATGGGGTTCTAGAACTTCGTGGATATAACGCTGCGCGTTCATGTTACCTCTGATGAAGATTAAAGGTGACCTGGAACCATAAGCTATAGCACCCCAAACCATAACTTCAACAGTGTGATGAACATGTCTTTTAACAAAAAACTGTGGATTCCTCCTTTCACCACGTTGCCTTCTAACCCTGGCATGCCTAAACAAAATCGAGACTCGTCACTAAAGACAATACTGTTCCATTCCTGATCCCAGAGTGACCGTTGTCTGCACCACTCAAGGCGATTACGTCGGTGTTCTCGAGTTAAAGGGAGGACCCAGTGTGGCCGGTATGAAAACAAGCCAAAACTTCTCATTCGTCGGTAAACACATCGCATGCCAATAGGTCTTCCGTGTTCTGCAAACTATTTATTTGCAATGGACCTGGTAGTGGAGAAACGGTCCCTTAAGGCCAATAATCTTAGGCGGCGATCTTCACGGTCTGTTGTTCTACGGCGGCGTCCAGTGCCCCTTGCTCTTTGCGTTCGGCCTTCTCGAAGCCATGCCTGACAACACCTAACCACAGTGTCTACACTTCTTTTCACTCTAACTGCAATTGCCCGAAAAGAAAGTCCAGCTTCCCGAAGTCCCACTATACGGCCCCTATCAAACTCACTAAGTTGACGAAATCGTACAGGTCTCCGTACTCTAGGCATCGTAAAGAATCGTAAAGGATGTCAAGAACCAAAATCCGCCAACGTTGATTCTTTACTGCGGCTGAAATATTCATTTTTAGAGCGTTAGTGAATTAAAAAAAAAGCAGTATAAAAACCGGAATTTCCAACTGATAAGGGTGAACATTTTTTCACTTGTTATTTACAGTAAGATAAATACATTCACCAACTTTTATTAAAATAAAACCATTTAAACTGGGTGTTCGGATTTATATGTCACTTAGTATATATCCAACGTACAACAATAATAGGCGTCACTAAAATTCTAATATAATATTCTTTTAGAATCAAGAATGTGAATATATCTTTTCATGTTTATTGCGATCAGTGATCATAACGTTATTACTTTTTCCAGATTCGTTTGGACTTCTTGAACCTAATCTTATCTCAGCCAGACGGAAATGGAAACTGCATTTTCGACTCTTTGGTGATCACAGGTTCAGCATCGGGAAACGTTCCTGTATTGTGTGGTGAAAATTCTGGCCAGCATATGTATCTGATGGTTGACCGTACTAATCCTATTACCATCACTATCACAACCAGCGTCGCGGCGTCGTTGGAAAGAAGCTGGAATATCAAAGTTACACAGATTGCTTGCGATTGCCCAACATTAGGTAACCATCAAAATATACAGAGAAACCCAAATATCACTGACGATGTGTTGCATACGAGAGAGAAGACCAAGAAACATTGTTGCCGAACCGACTATGAGGAAGCTCACCTATAGAGAACGGCTTGTCGCTCTTAATTCCTGCATGTAGAGCAAAACTGGGAGCTTTTTCGGTAATCAAGATTCCATTTCTGTAGAAATACCTAAAAATCTGTAGGTTCGGCAACACTGGTTAGAAAGAGTGCACCGATGGCAACGCGGCAAGCCGCAGTTGCTTCCGTGGCAGTGTTGCCAGAAGTAGCGGAAAAACTTAATTTTTTTATGCAAAACAGAAATGGCCTTTAGTCATATGCTTTTTATTATTTTGTTTCCTGTGATATTTTTTTAATATGACTGCATGATAAATGTTCTGTTGTTTGACAGAGTTATTTGTAATATTGTATTGGTTTTTATAGTTAAATGTTTTTTTATTACAGTTTCTTATGTTATATTTCATCACGCTGTTTGGTTTTAGTTTTTCTTTTTTGTCACAATCTGTATACTAAATGCCCCTGTTTTATGATGCGAATTTTCAATGTGGGCTCTGGCAACACTGTTCCGTGCCCTTGCCACTCGTCACTCGGGTTGCTAGTTGCTAGATAACGTGGTGTTTCTATCCCTTTCTAATATACGTATTGCACCCTTCTAGCGCTTCTCTCTCGTCCACATCGCGATTTCAGTGGTTTATGGATTTTTCTGTATAAGAAGGCTTAACTTCATGTTCGATGTCAAGGTCCAAACCTCTAGAAGACGATTCGTACTCAACAACAACTCATTGTTATTAGGATTACCACTGATTATAGTCCGGGCAATATCTTCGCATCTGGTGGGAAAATAGTCTGTTACCTATATGATATTTTTTTTAGCAAATTCCAAAAAATGTTTCTTTTTGCTTCGTTCAAAGTGCTTAGATTCTTTGGGAAATTCTGAACAAAAAAAGTGCTTCAGAACTTTTCTCTAAGGTTGACAGTTTTCGAGACGTAAGCGATACAGTATTTGAAAAAGTGCGAAATAGGTGTATGCATTTTTGAACCCGAAAAACAATATGAAAAACGAAAATGTTGTCAATGTTAGTAAATATTCTTCAAAAATCCATTAACAACATCCTAAAGCATCTGAGGAGGTATTGTTATTGCAAACCTTTGCTTTTAATTGTTAACTAAGCGCGCGTTAAGAAATTGTAGACGTAAATTCGGGCCTGGCAACATGCGGATTTTTAAAAGAGGCCCTTTTTGAATAAGCAGATGCAAAAATGTCTAATCAGAATATTTTCTCATTAAATGCGACTATAGTGCCCGGACTGATTATGTTTTAGCTCCAAACGGCTGTCTCCAATATTATTACTCACAATCCGGAAATGTGAGAAGCTTCAACTACGGGACTACGATAAATGGAAATAATCTCAATTTCGGCAATGGTTCATCTGTAGCAGGAACTAGACAGATATCTAATGAGAATTATGGTGTCTGCATTGGAATGGTAAATATGCGTCAGTATTGAAAATAATAGGTGCACAAATTTTCAATTAACACCATCGATATTAATTCATAGACAAATTAAATCGTCTTTTATCTACGACACTTTTCAGACTACTTTTTATCGCTCGCTATTAAACTAATTTTACCACCCTATATGTATGGATTAACCAAGTTGAAAGCTATATATAGGCCAGGAAATGGGTAATTTTTTCCTGCAATTTTGGGACAGCAAACTTTTTTGTTGTATCGCTAGGTGTAATGCTGGGGCTAGAGCATATGTCGCGATCGAACATCTCGAAAACCATTTATCCTATGGTAATTTTGTAGGAATTATGGGCGCCCATGGGTGCTCCTATTATAATTTCAAACCAAACATCATGCATATACTAATTTCTCCGTAGGTTCCTGGTTACTGCTCAATACAATGGAGTCAGTCTGATGGAGAAACCAGTTCTTTTTCACTATCAAATGACACCGCAGCCGCCTCAGTGTTAGATGGACTACCTAGCAATGGTTTACGAGGTGAAAATTGTACCACAGACTATGTGGTGATCCCCAATCCGTATTTTGTGAATGGAACTGCCGTGAATGCAGACAGATTTTGTGGAAATCAATTTCCCACTGTTGTTAGTAAGTTCAATATCGATTTCCCGTATGATTGAACATAATTTGAATCCTATTGAAAACAACGCCACGAACGTACTCAATGCCCTTCTCTAATACGGGAGACACTAGAAAAGAAATCTACCTAGCCATGGAAAAAACAATTGAAACGCACGAACATAATATGTCAAACAGAGACGTGTTCCAACCTTCCTTGAAACATTTTAGTTTTGATAATCAGTTTCCAATTTATAACGGAATACTAAAAGAGAATATTCTAAAATTCGTTAGTTTAAATATGAAGCGGACTCAATTCTTTTGGATAATTTGAATTGTGTGTTTAGTTGAATAGCTAAAGAGTGAAAACATACAATGTTAAGGCCTCACTTAGGCTTTTACGTAATTTGAAATTGAGTGAATATCTATTTTCTCAGGTTCGAAGCCTCAGATAAGTTTTTTCACGTAGAAATTTAAATTATTATAAATTTTAATATTCTGGTGTGAGGTGACACATCCATTACTGTAGGATTGTACAGCTGATTATCTGGTAATATTTCACGATCCCCTATATCGACAAATGACATATAATTCTGACGGATCCGTCAACGTCAAGTAGATAGAACCGTATTTTTTTTCGGTGCTCCACTTTATGGTAAAACTGAAGTCAGCCTGTATCAAGTTTCCCAAAAATGAAGCTGAAGTGCAATAACAATATCCAATACCCGGCAAAATTCTAACTTGTCACATTTCAAATAATAACCCGAAATATAAATCTACTCCCGAGTTGGGTAAATACCACAATTTTGCGGTGATAACTGTGACATATAACAGCTGATTCATGACGTCACGGATCTTATAACCAAGCTGATAACCACACTCGCTTGAACGGATCGGTAAATACCAACCCAAAATGGTAAATACCATTTTCATTTGGTTATCCGCTTGAAATTGATTATTATCTAATATTTCAGCATCATCGAAGCCATTCGTTTTGAGAGTGGTGACAAATGACAATGAACTGGGAGATGCAGCAAATAGAGGATTTTCGTTAGACTACACCCAGCAGGCTTGTTCTAACTTAGGATTCATGTTGTACAATATGTCGTAAGAATAAAACGTCCTTATACAAAGTGTTTTATTGTATAACAAAAAAAACTAAATACTCGAGCGACAGCACACTTGTACTGAAGGCGGATCACATGTTCCCCTGTTTCCTCTCTAAGCTCGGCGCCTAAGATGTTGCCAGATCATGAAAAAATTCGAATTTGAAAATTTTTAAAAAATCTGGATTTTGATATTTGGGAAAAATTGTATTTAAACGTTAGGAAATTTCCAAACTCAGATTTATTGTTAAAAATGAAGTATACTAAAAATGGGAGCTTTTGATTATAAGAACTTTTGTCGTCGTTCTGATGTTAAAACATCAGAAAAATCCGATAAAATAAAGCGAATAGACTTCAAAAGGGCAAGATTTATTATTCTCACTAGATTTAACGCTGGAACATAAGCTGTATTATGGAGTAACTGGGAGTTGGATCAAACTGTTTATTAACTTCAATTCAAAATTACAAACTGTCTAATTATATACAAAATTTATTTATCACATACTGCACTCATAAACAATATCTATGATGTAACTGTAGATATAATTAACAAAAAGGAAAATATTCAAACAGTGATAAACTGTGCTCCTTGATGTTGCATTACAGCCTCCTTCATGTTAAAGTACCACTTGCCGATGTTTGTGTTCCCTAACAGGTCCTTGAACGCAGTACAGCCCTCTATGCTGTTCAAAACACCGTAAACCGACAGGTCCGCCAGGTTAGGCGAGTCACCGCCCATAAAGGGCGTTCCCTTGGCGCTTAGAGCCCTCGTCCACACACTGCATTCGTCATACAGCGATTGTCTCACATCGTCTTTCAGTTGGTGTCTTTTCTTCAGCCGTTTGCCTATCATCCACATCGCTCCCGCTCCCACGTAGATTATTAGGTTCCTTTCCCACGACGGGAAGTTTTTGTCCCATTCCCCCACTTCCGAGAACCAATTGAACGCTTGGAACGCCTCTTCTCTCGTTCTATACACGTTTGGGGAGAGAGTGTGAACGAGAACGCTGTCTGCCCATTTCCGCCATTTACGTTCTTCACTGCAAAAAATACATTTTTATATTTATTTGAATTATGCGTTTATTGAAATTATGAGGAATACGGTATAAGTCCTCGCCATACCACACTTAAAAATAGCTAGGCAGTGTTTACGTTTCGGTCAGTCTAATTACAAAGCACTATGGTAGGGAGGACTTTTGGCTGGTATATTAAAAAAACGACGAGGTTATCGTGCTCGCTTGTCGCTTTGGATGGCTGGTTGTCCTTTTGACTTTGCTGGTTTTGCAGCATGTTACAGAACCTTCTTATCCCATTTCAGTACTCTGACAAATCATGTAGTCATGCCGTTTGTTTAAAAGTTACCTTTTACTGTCATCCTGAGCTGTAACTCCCCTCTGATCAGTAGACATTACAAAATATTTATTCATAATCTCGTTTTTCTTCACACCATCATCATCATAGTAAGTTATGGTTGGGAAGCATTTGACAACATCTGGTATATTCTTGTCAGAATCCGTTAGATATGTCGCCAAGGCTGATACTATCATGGAACTGTCATTCAAAGGCTGCAATTAAGAAAACCCTTATGTTGTCGTACAATCTCATTAGCATCAATTTAATTACGCGGCAAGAGGATAATTAACGTACACTTCCTTCTCAGCTCTAAAGACTGTATTTGAAATCTAGACAATAACAAACTTCCAGGTATACCCTGCTTAAGATATCGACCGACAACTTTGAAGGATAAACATTTGAAAAACTTTGTTTGAACATGCTCAAAAGAATCAATATAGTTGTAAATTGTGTTCCAAATTAACGATGCGTATTCCAATTTCGGTCTAATATATGCAGAATATAAAGCCACCAATCACTGTGGATAGCTGAAACTTCTACTGTTTCTAACAATAAAACCTTATGCCCCTGAAGCTTCACCACTCACCTTTTGAGCTTTCTGGAGTGAAAAATTAAGTTTATGGTCAACAATTACACCCAAATCCTTCATTGAGTTATAATGATTTATGCAAATATCCTCAATCTTATAATTAAATTTCCAGACATTTTCCTGGAGAAGCACATCACACCAAGCTATTAAACCATCAATATAATCCTAAATAACTTTAAAATCATCAGCAAGGAGCAGTTTATTCCAACTTAAATATTACATAATATCATCAATAAATGAGGTAAACAATAATGGGTCAAGACTTGAACCCTGAGGCACTCCCGACTTACTTACATAATGGTATGACCTGAAGCCATTGAAAGTAAATTATTGCTTCCTTTCATAAAGACAACTTTGAATAAGTGCTGAAGCTGATGAATGGAATCCATAATGAAAAAGTTTATTTAAAAGTACACATTCAATTGCGAACTGAACAAAGATTGTTAAATTAGTAAGTCTGGATTTCTTAGTAAGAAACCCATGCTGGAAAGGAGACAGAGATCAATGAACTACAGAGTAAATTCTATCATGCAATCTCTTCAATTTGGAGAAATTTGTCAATGTTGCCACAAGTTTTCAATATCAGAACTATGAACCAGTTACTAGATCTGGGAATGCAGCTGTAGGATACAATATAGTTTCAATAGCAATATTAAGCACATGAAAAATGTTTCTAATCAACTTTAACTTGTTAGGTTTTGAATATAAGAAGGTTGGGTATCACATGTATCTTCAGTTGTTCTTTAGATTAATAATTTATATAAAGCTACTGTAATCTGCCACAGAAACATAATTTTTTGTATCTAGTGGTATTAGTAGGAATTGTTGCATAGCTATGATATACAGCATACATGTTATGGAACTGCTAAAAACTAAAAATATATTGCATTTATTTAATTTTACAAATCTTAATAAGAGAAATATCACTCCAGCACCCCAATTGAATAATATTGCTTATGAGAAAATAGTGCAATTCCAAAACTTCTTCAGCAAAAAACCTAATACATACCTGATAACCCTCTTCAGTTTGAGCAACTAATATGGGAACCTTTTTGTATGGAGACCACTTTATAGACTGTCTCAATACTGGATCCACCTCTACAATATCATAAGATATACCATAGTAGTCTAAGAATGCCCTGACTTTGCAGCAAAAAGGGCAAGTTTGATATTGAAACAAGGTGAGTTTTAAGCCACTACGGTCACCCAAAAAATTGACCTGAAAAGATCATAGACAATTTAGGCTACATTTTTTTAGTTTTGTAATCGAGAATTTGTTTATTCGAGTATAATTGCTGCAGTACTAAAAAACAACTACTTATAACACTGTTCACATGAGGAACGAAATTCAGACGTTCATCAAGAGATATGTCTTGATTTTTTCCAGTTCTAAATACTTTTATAATTTCACCACTTAATGATATAGTCGAATATTTCTTAATTTGATTTCTAAACTTTTTAGGAGAGAATATAATTACTTTTGATTTTTCTGGATTTAATCTAAGATTATGCATTTTTGCATACTTGTCAATAGATCCCAAATCTTCATAAATTTGAGCCTCTAAATTATTGTATAACTTCGTAAAAAACTGAATATTGCAATGTTTAACAACCTCATCGAGGCAGGAGATATATAAAATAAAAATAAGTGGCCCAAGAACCGTTCCTTGAGGCACTGCTGATAATATTGAAGTCTCAGGAGAAATGTTCAGATCATAGACAACTGTTTGTGATTTATTTCTTAAAAAGCTATTCATTAGATAAATGGGCATTGTGCACACAATAACTTTTAATCAGTATACTTTAACCGTAAACATTAAAAATCCAACAAAACCTATTTCACCATAAGATTGTTGCAATGTTCTTTGAATAGCATGTTGTACTATTAAATCACATAATACGTACATGACACACGAAAGCCCATAGTCAATTGTAACATACCTTTCGGCTGGGAGGTATTTTAGGCATTTCGCTAATGGGTGGTATTGCACTTTCCTCATTTATGATGTGCCCCCTGGGCTTGTTCATATAATTTATAGAATAGCCTGTGCCTATCGCAACACCAACCGCTAGTCCTGCTAAAGCTATTTTCGTGAAACCTCTTCTTCTCTTCACGACTTTTACCTCTGTAGCGTAATTTCGAAGCGCGATCTTCGTTAGTTGTAGGCTTGCATTATTTAGCTGGATATTTTGACAGCACTGTACGACATTCTTGTTCAAACGGCAGTAAGCTCTAATCCACAACATTTTCGTTTAATCGATTTAATACGTTTTGTATAGTGTCATTTCAACTTTGGGTTAAATGCCTTTCGATGACATAACCTAGCTTCTTGACATATGAATTGTTCAATAGTTCAATGCTCGGTCCGTTACAAGAGTTTGGTATTCTATTCCATTTTCAAATGTTCCGTGATTCTGTTTGTTCCTGCGTTGCCGGTTTCCCGATAAGGTTGACATTTCGAAGAATTTTCCAATAATCCCAGAATACTCCCTGTTTTAACCAGAAAAACAGAATATTTTTTGATGTGAGAATTAAGTTAAGAGAATTTGAACAACAGGGGTAGGTGATTAGGAGTAACCTCCTCTTCTTTGCAATATACGCAATTCGCGTAATCTCTCTTTCCTACGCTCTTCAGGTGAGGTAACTGTCAAAACAACCATGTTCTGTGAGGAACTGGGATCATCCTTCTGGTCCTTGCATCATGATCAGTTGCATCCCACCTCTGCTGCCATATGACCACAAGCGTCTCTCTTTCGTCGCTTGCAAATCAATTGGTGGGATACCAGCCACCACCAGCAGTGCATCGGTCGACACCGTTCTGTAAGCGCATACCACGCGCAGCATTACTTTTCACTGGCTACTCAATATTAGCTGTCTATATTTCTTTTTCCTCAAAGCCTCGTTTTTAAATTATTTGGCACAGTGAACCTAGTCCACTCTCTATTTCTACTATAGCATAAGAATAAAACAACACTGGTGTCGATGAAAGAATCAATTGTGAAAATTTCGAAAAAAAAACATATATGACCCAAAAAAATTATATTTAGAAATTGCGACAATTTAACTAGACGAATGTCAATTTTCGCTAAAAAATTGAATGATGTGTAGATCTCGAAAACTATGAGGCTTTTGTGTAGGTCATGATGTGACCTATTTCCAGTCATGGGATTTTCCTTGGATTTCCGGACACTGTATAAGTACCTATTATGTCATTGTTCCTAGTCATAAAATCTATGGAATTGACAATGGTTGATTCAACAAAAGCAGGCGGCAACGCTGCCAATGTTGAAAATGTCGATTATTGTTCGACCAGCGCCACCTTCAACTAAGTTAGTTGAAGGTGGCGCTGGTTCGACGAGCTTCCATGCCGAATAATAACCCCTAAGCTTTTTTCATGCTGCAACGGTGCCATCTATGAGGAAGACAAATAATTTCTTACACAACTTGCGAAGGTGTCTAGATGGAATACAGTCAATTTGACGGTTGAACCATTGCTTAGGAGATGGCGCTGATCAAGAAAGTAGTGAACTAAATTCTTAAGCTTAGGAAATATATTTTTATATACTACAGTCTAAAACCGGCATTCGAAAAATCTGATTACATTTGTTTAACCACCCATTTGTCCTAAATTACCTTTTTGGTGTTAGCGCCATCTATGATCCAGGCCTGAATCATTCCGACTAATAAGAGTGCACCAAATTTTTTTAAATTCAAATACACAACAGGAATACATACATTTACAAGTAGCATGTGTATAGCCCAAGATGTTTGTATCGAAAGGATGATTTGACCATATATATACGTAATTATCAATTAAAATCCTCTAAAAATCTAAAATAGGATACAAACGATCTTTGTGCTATCTATTGGTAAAAATTTCAATGATAGAACAGCTGTTTCTGACCTCTCTCTAACCTAAAAAACCTGGTTAACCCTCGTTTTTGGACATGGTTTCCATGAAAAATGTATAAAATACGATATTCTTACCTGTGTCGCTTGTGTCATATAAAAGTTAACAGTGCCGGATTACTCATAAAAAGAAATAATTCTAATGAACGATGGATGATCCACGGTAAGAATTTGATATTTACAATCCTTATACCAAAAGTACTCTATAGATGGCGCTATCACTCATTCGCCTATCGTCTACGGGGGTAAGGGAATACATACTAACAGCATTTCTTTTAGAATTAGATCCAGCCTACGTTCCACACAAGGTAGAAACGGATACCAGCACAGACAACTACTTCAGAACTGTAGTCAAGAACCCTGCACCTTTTAGTTTGGTACTGCCACCGCCCAACATAACAGGAACGCTCCATTTAGGTCATGCGCTTACTGCGGCAGTGGAAGATACCCTTGTAAAATGGTAATCGAAAATGTGTTTTTGCGAATATATACATTAGTTATTTATTTATCTAGCCCCCCTTGAAAAAATTAGCCTTTTGACCTATATTCATAGGAACATTGACTTTTACCCATTTGAATTGCATTTCGGATAAAAGTAGCAAATTTACTGACATATCTCCAACTGGTGCACAATTGCGCTGTTGCAGTGTTCCTCGAACTGTTTGTTCGCCGTTTCAACTCCGCAGCTCTCCGATTTGGACGGTTTTGAAACCAATTGACAATCGTCTGTGTGGTGTAGTGGTTAGATGGTCAGATTAGTACGAGGGTTGCCTCAAAAATAAGATTTATTTGAAAAAACGAATTTATCATTGGAAACGTTGGTCTTTGAGCTATTTTTCCACATAGTCGTGTTTTTTCTACGTGTTTTTTTAGACGTGGAATCAAGTTTTTGTCGGTACCACGTATAGCGAGTACAACCTCTACAACTCCAAGAATTGAGTTTGTCAAACAATGTTGCTGTACCGCGCTTGATGCACGGTGGCGCAACTCTGGTTGTCTAAACGTCGATTTTGCGAGGGCGCCTCATCGCTACTCAAGGTGTTGGTTACGAGGGCGTTACAGAATGATCAACTTTGATGGGCATCGTTGCCGTGAGATTAGCGGTATTTTCTTATCCCTCTTGCATTGCTCGTGCCTCGTCTCTCATCTCGTATTGGTAAGGGGGCTAGGTGTTAGAATAGATATAACATCTAAATCTCGCCTCCCGTAATGTTACAAATAAAAAAGAGGTTAAATATTATTACTTATTCTTTCAGGAAGCAAATGCAAGGGATCGAAACTGTATGGGTTCCTGGGATGGACCATGCTGGTATAGCGACTCAGGTTGTTGTAGAAAAGAAGTTATGGAAGGAAGAAGGGAAAAGTAGGCATGATATAGGAAGAGAAGAGTTCGAGAAGAAGGTGTGGAAGTGGAAAGCAGAAAAGGGAGATGTAATCGGTAAATAAATATCAATTCGATCGTTTATCGTATATTTGATAGCATTTGAGAAAGACTTTATATTAGACCTTACGACTTGTGTATACAGGGTGTCCCCAAAAGTATGGACACACTCAAACTTTACATACAAAAGTTTTATAAACTCAAAAGGCGCATCTTTAGATTTGACGTTGACATTTAGCGTGAAGGCCATTTCAAGGGCAAGTTGATTTTGCCAAACAAGAAGGCTCATTTTTTATTGCAGGAATAAACAGCCAAAGAAATTATATAATATATAAATATTATAGTGACTAAAATTACAACTAAAGGTAATTTCAAGGTCAACTGTTGCTCTTTCATAGAATGTACGTGGAGCAGCGGATAGTTGGAAAAAGAGGTATATTAAAGAAGAAATTTAATGCGAAAATTGTAGGACACCCAACGGCACATCTGATCGTGACCATCATTCTGACCTTGGCTATGACCTTGAATGTAATTTTTATGGACAACATTTTTTTCATATGTCCACCCTCAATTTTAATTCCAGCGCTGAAAAATGTGGAAAAATCTCATGTTAAAAGGTTTTATTAACGGAGGAAAAATCGTATCTAGAGGTTAAATAGACTATACGACCTAATCATATTGCGAACATCCTCTCATCATGAGAATAGTTATTCGTTCATGGTCAGTCAGACGTCATCCTTAACATTCCTCTTTCTCCAGCTAACAATAGTTGACCTTGAAAGAACCTCTACATATAATTTTAGGCCTATGATGTTAATACTGTTGAAAAGAAAAACATTTTGACTTTCTATTTTTGCAATCAAAAATGGGGATTCCCATTTGAAAAAATCGATTTGCACATGAAAAGACTTCCAAGGTCAATGTTAAGTCCAAGGTCATCACTAGATGCGCCGTTTGATTTCCCTATCTACATTTTTTCCGAGATATTTGGGTGTCTATATTTTTTGGGCAACCCTGTATACCTTTTTCTTCTGAACGGTCATGCAAAAAAGTTAATACGGTTCAATTTATAGCGAGATTCTTCTTCATCTACAATCTCTCCATACAAATGAGCAACGTTCACTTACCAGAAAATTCTCAAATAAATCGCCACCTCGATATTGTTTCCACCTGACTATAACCGCGAATTTCTCACAGTTTGAACTAAGGTAATGATTATTTTCCAGGAAAGCAACTCCGCCGTCTAGGCTGCTCGTTGGATTGGAGACGAGAACTCTTCACAATGGATAAAGACCGGTCAAAAGCTGTGCAAACTGCCTTTATTCGTCTATTTGACGAAGGACTTATTTATAGGTAATTACTATTGAACGTTTTAGGGAAACTGAGCACAGGGCCAAAACGTACAGAGACAGTAGTTTCAGTCAAAGAACCACGTAATTTCCGTTCCTAAACCTTAAGTGTTGTGAGATAAAAATGGTTGAAGTTGAATTATCTTTGATCCACTTTCGACCAGAAATGATCGGGAACTCGGAAAAGAAACAAAAACGAGGTTTAGAAGTAGCTTTACATCAATTTTTAACACAAAACGTCTAAAATAACCTATTACCTGACATTGGAATATTTCTGCGATTATGATAAATGACAACCATCACATTCACGAGACGACTTACATCAGATTTTTGGCGTAGATAATTTATTTTGCAATTTAAGTTTGATCAGAGAATTCTAAGATTTTACAAAATGCAAAATACAATATTTTCGTATTCTCCGAAAATCTTTTAATAGTACCATAAATCGGCAGTATTTTTCTAATAAAAGTCTTTTTTTCATAATTGGCAAAGGATAGGATTGTATCATACGTGGACTTGGAAAGCACATTACCACATTTTCTTTTTCAATATAAAATCTTGTAAAAACTGAGATAGACGTTACAATACTGCATTCTGCATATTTGAATCCTTTTTGATACTGGACAAGTCGGTAGGTTGCAATGCTAAACTTTTCTTTGGTAACAAAAGCAGATTAAAAAAAAACATTAAGATGTGTTGAAAAATCCTCATGTTATGTTTGACGTTTACAACTTTAAACTTTTTTGATGTTGAACGTACTAGTATTTCCATTCATTGGAAATATGGATATGGCCATTTCCCGGGCAGTGTATTAATTTCTTGCCTTTGGAATCTGTTTTATTAGTTTTTTACTGTTTGTTTTGTTATCCATCCGCTTATTGACACAGCTATTTTCATCACTCGGTACATATTCGCTTCCTCACGATTGAAAAGGCTCATCTACTGACGACATTTTCGCGCCAAATATGACTTGTTGCCGTGCGAACAATGTTAATTGCATACTAAATCACGCCACGCGTCCACGCGACGCGAGAACTACGTTACCACACGATCGGATCCAGACAAGTCCCCACCTACACAAAATGATCTCGGTGCAAAAAGCAGGTATGTTCTGGAGCTGCCTGATTTATGCTACCCATACCTGACCAGGCAAGTGAAATCCTACGCTATTTCACATTAGAAGCTTTCGACTTATTTGATTTTAGTACCAAATGATCCGCAATGATCTAAATTCTTAGAATATTAGAAAAAGGAATTTTTGATAAATATTGGGCATACCTACTTGCTTTGCCTTCAATTGTAACATAAATGAGTTACACCGCAAAACTGATAAGCGGTTGATGGCACTGTCTCTCGTGAATGTGCATATTGTCAGTTATCATGATCGCAGAAATATTCTAATTTCAGGTAATAGGTTCTTTTGAACGTTTTGTATCATAACAATTGATGCAAAGTTACTTCTAAACCTGTTTTTTGTATCTTTTCCAAGTTCCGATCATCTCAGGTCGACGGTGTACTTAACGTCAAAAAATGACGGATGCGCGATGTACGAGGGTTGTTTCGAAAATAGGGCTTCCACATTCTTTTCAGGCACAAGGAATTTTTTATTTGAAAAAACGAATTAATGATCTTTTCTATATAGTCGCTATTTTTTCTACGCATCTTTTTTCGCTTCCGGCTCAAGGAAGTCAGGCGCCAGCCCGTTTAGAAACTTGGTAACTGCTCCGTTGACCGCCAGAAATTCCTGATCCCGGATCGTGATTCGTCGATCTTCGAGCAAGATTTGCTCAATCTTCGTCATAACTTCCTCGGAGATCGACGGCCTCCCGCTTCGTTGTTCATCGTGGACAGTGGCGCTCCCAGGATTTCAGTCTGGGAGGGGTAACATGGAAAGTAAATTCTCCGTGTGACATACTGAAGTGCTCATTTCTTTAGATTTATGTACTAATTTTGCAAAAACCACGCAATACAGGGTGCCCGCAAAGTTGGGGTTTTCCTTTACACGACGTGTAGATCTTGAAAACACTAGCAATTTTTCTTAGTACCATATACACCAATGTCTTAAGGGAACCGAGATAAAGGGCTCTGCAACATCAACAATATCTGAATACCGTCCTGTAGCCGTGACTCGCGATATCCCCGAGTGGTACTAGGACACTAGCTCAACCCGACGACAGAACTGGGTCGGGGTCAGTGTGTCAGGTCAGTATTCAACCTTCAACCAACGGGTACGGTCACGCGTGTAGAGGTAAACGAACCCGTATAATCGATTGCGTTTCAAAAAACAACAAGCACTAGAGATGTGGCTAGAGAAGTGCAAGTATCAAAAACTAAAGTGTGGCAAACGCTGCGTGAAGAGGGGCTGTATCCGTTTCACGTCCAACGTGTACAAGCCGTTCAACCTGACGATTTTCCAGCAAAAGTGCGGTTTTGTGAGTGGTTGTTGCATCAACATGACAATAATCCGGACTTTTTGAAGTGCATATTGGTGACAGACGAATCTACGTTCACGCGTAATGGGGTGAATAACTTTCGCAACACTCATGTTTGGTCAGTAGAAAATCCGCACGCTGTCCGTCGGGCACATTTTCAACAAACATTTTCGGTGAATGTTTGGGCTGGCATGGTGAACGGTATGCTCATTGGACCATTTATTCTCCCAAATCGATTGGACGGGATGCAATACCTAGACTATTTACGCAACATTTTGCCTTCCTTGTTAGAAGATGTGCCATTAAGTGTAAGACAATCAATGTGGTTTCTGCACGATGGTCATATTTGTTACCTCTGTTCGTGGTCTGCACCACCGCCGGCGTCTGCTCGGTAGAGCATCAGCTGATTTCATTTTCTGTTCAAGCGGTATGATTTCGGGCAGAGACGTACTCAGCCCTTCTCGTCAACTGGAGAGTGAGTACTTTTTCCTTTATTTTTTTTACTTGGTCGCCCTCGTTTCACTACACATTACCTTTGTTATTTCAAGAGTAGTTGTTTCTGAAAAGGAAAACCCTAACTTTGCGGACACCCTGTATTTACAGAAAAGCACTTGTAGTTCATCTGAATATGACAGCCAATGAAATTTCTTCAAGTGTTTTTTTGATAAGTAACATTTCATTTCTTTATTATTTTTCAAGTGTGTGGAATAGGGATATTTGAAAGAGTCATTAGGGATCGTTGTACACCTCAATAAGGTATATTTTTTATGGGAAGACAAGTTGCCGCTGAAATTTACATATGGCGCAACATCAACAAAATTGGAAAATTATGTTAAATTTCCATTTTTCCGTCTGTAATTTTTTTAGACACGAATTTTTTATAGTATACAAATTAAAAACAAACAAAAATTAAATATCAATAGAACATAGAAAATAGCGTGAATACCAACCAGATCAACAAAACTCCGCTTGTTTACTTCTCAGCCAAATTTTGTTGTGGACTCCGTTAGACACTAGACTAGACCATAAAAGACTAGACTATACCTGTTCCAACAGGAAGAAGCGCACGCGCACACCGTTGCTGTTGGTGGGAGAGTAGTCGCTAGTCGCATGCGCACTGAGCGGGTTGGCAGTGTTGCCGCTATCCTTTCTTAAAGTTACAGATTTTTTTATAAGACGTTTACTTTATACCACCTTTTCAAAGACTGATCGAGTCGTCTGGGGGGGGGATTACCCCCTTTACCCCCCGTGGAAGCGCTAGTGATCGTGGATGTCCATGCGGCTGTCAGAACACTCTCTTCATCATTTGAGGACATGTTAAATGCTTATACACGTTTCTCCATGTACTTCACTCAAGCGGCAATGAACTTCGATGGGTGGTAGCGTTTTGTCGTGCAAAAATCGCACGAATTTCGCGCCTGACGGTAATGGCGATAATGGGCTCCATTGCGCATGGCTGCGGGCCGGTACTGAGCGTCGCCAATAGGCGCTTTTTGTTCGGATGGGTGGTGGGGGAGCCGACAAACACGGCGGTGTTGCCAAATTTCGCTTATTTGTCGAAACAACCCTCGTATGATTTTAAGCAAAGTAAAATATAGTAGACGACTGAGGGAAACGTTTGTTTTCAGATCTGACCATTTAGTGAACTGGTCCTGTGTCTTGCAGTCGGCGATCTCCGATATAGAAGTGGAACATTTGAGTCTGAATGGACCGACTCACATCGAAGTGCCAGGATACAGCAACCCAGTCGAATTTGGATTACTGTTTCGAGTTGCCTATAAGATTCATGGATCAGGTAGGCCTCTGAAAAACTGTTTAGCTGCACCTAAACATGAATAGGGTTATATTTCGAGGCGTAGCGGCATTGGACGTTTCCCATACGAGGGTGGCCCGATAAGTCCTTACCCTACAAAGGAAAACGAAAATTTTAGACAAGTCGCGATCTACTTCTCAACATATTGCGCTTTTATTGTTAGCTTGGTCTGTATGCATGTATGACAATATTTGATAACAGTTTTCCAATATCCTTATTAGGACCGCGGTATTCGGATTAAAGAACTTGATTGCTCTAAGTTAACAGGAAAAACCCCATGCAACAGTGAAGTTTTAAATGAAATGATTAGATTACGAAATGATTCGTAAGACATTTCAATACCACATGCCCACAAAACTAAAAAAACACGCTTTTATAGCTAACCAAATTAAAAAGTAAAAAATATTTTTTTTAAATTATCATTTATCTCGATTCACTTGACCCAGCGCCTGAAAGGTGGTCTGTAAACAAGACCTCTGTGGCAGCAAACTATTGGACAAAAAATTAGTCCTTAATAATAAAGAATAAAAAATTTACGACATTTACTAAAAATGTTTCCAAACTTCTGTCCGCTACTGTGCATGTTATTTCATTGTAACTTATAAAAAAACAAAATTAAACTTTTTCGAAAAGTACATCTTTTCGGTTTTATAGTATGTAACGCTATAACGTATCGTAGGAAATTATTCAAGATATTTTCGGAACAACATTAAACACTTTTTTAATGTAGCGTGTCAGTCATAAAGTTATTACGGATCACAAATAATATGGAACGGTGCCAGTAATACCGGAATAATAAACCGTTATCGGAATACTCAGATCGTCATACCGCTGTAGTAATAATAATTAGAAAATATTCGGATTACATTTTTCGTTCCGAATGTTTTGGCTGCTACAGTCGCCGATAAACTACGAGGGGTACTATAAAAGAAATCTGCATAGCCATGAAAAAAGAAACAGATATTGCAAATTTGAGCTAACTTCAATAATCAGTTTTCAATTTATAAACTAAATTGTAGTGTCATCAATTTAAAAAAGGGGTCATCAGCCGAAAATAATTCTAGAGAGAATGATACCTATGGGGATGATGCATCATATTACACAATAAAAGCTTGGTTTCAATGGGCGCGTGAATACATAGAAGAGCCATGAGATATTTACAAGTTTCTCACAGATATTGAGACCCCCCTGCATATGATCCTCATCTTGTATATCGAAAAATAATATTCTCAAAAAATCGTACTTTATTTTGTTTCTTGGCTAGGTAGATTTCTTTGGTAGTGCCCTCGTAGCTAGAGCTATTTTGGCACCTCGAAAAATATCGACTCGCATTAATCGCCTCACCCAAAATTAGCTGTAGAACCGGTTTCTGGTGTATCAGTAAATGTCTGGGTCTAGACTTGTGGCGAAATTCCAAAAACGATGGAATTCGTTTAAGTTCATATTTATATGTAATTGTCGGTATAGTACATTCGTTGCCAATAAATGAACAGTGTGTCATTGAAAGCAGTTTCATCCGATAAATACAAGATAATATCGGAAAACCATTTCTACTATGTGACTATTACCCGTCTCACGTCAGGAATTTATTCAGGCAACGTAGTTTTTAACAAAAAATGTCGTCTTTGACTATAATCAACAGATAACTGCCAACCACACAACAAATTCTTGAAACATTTTTATGTCTATTGTGGTTTTGATTTTGAGGTTTCGAATATTGTTGAATATTGTAAATCGCCCACCTTGGTGCATCCAGAACTGACCGATACGACCCTAGGATATCGAGACTGTGGAACAATCTACTGGAGGAGGTTTTTCCCAGTTAGGCAGTTCAAAAATTGGATTTAAGCTCCTTGCGGTGCTCTGGTACTTAGGCTTCTGCCTGCGCTGTGTAAAAAAAATACCGGAATTTGGGAAAATACTTTGCTATTCAAGCGACTCGCCGGTCTCTAAAAACATAACATAAATGCTCTGAACATTATAAACCCTTGTTGTTTTCAAGTAAAGTTATTTTAGGCCCAATTTCACCAACATTAATATTATGGACCAATGGGAAAATACCTTATCTAAATACAATTTGACAGAAGCTGTCAAAGGTCTCTGAATATTAGTGATTTCTATTGAAATGTTGAATAAAATCGTGAAAATTCGACTGTATTATAAACAAGACCATTTTTTGATTCCAACATGATGCTTTTGTACAGAAAAAACAGGACAAGTTTCATGTATTTTGATATATGTTATAGGTTTACATTTAACAATCCGTTATCCCCCTTAGCGAATGGGAATGCGGCAAATAACAGGTTGATTTTCTAGCTGTTAAATTTGGCAGCAGATTTGGACGTTTGATAATGCATGGCACTCTCGAATTTACCAACTTCAATATACTGAAAGTTATCATTACATACCTGTTGAATATTGTGGATTTGTCTGTATTTTGCAAGAAAATAGAATATAAAATACATTCAATGAATATCGTATCTTCCTCTACATCATAATAGTAATCATTTATTAATTTGAAGATTTTGTACAATTTCTTTGAAAATGATGAAAGATATGTCTGATTTGGCAGGGTAATGTCGCAGCCAAATGGCAGTCACTCTTTCTGACACAGTCCGGATCGAAAGATGACGATACTCGTGAAATGTATTAATACTTCTAAATATAGGATCGTATCGAACATCCCTACTGTCAAGATGTATAACCCAAGGTACCGACGGAGCTATTTTGCGGCGTCATGGAAATAATTTTAAATTTTCATTTGCATTTTTTCAAGTGTTGTGCAATGATTTTGGGAAAAATGTCACGAATGGTCTTATAAAGCATCGTAGAGTATATTTCAACAGTTGGCGAAATTTACTCCACTGGGACCAGGAGGGTGAAACGGGATATTAATACACAATCTGGCAACCCTGTCGCACCCTCACAAAATGGCCGCTGACAACCACACAAGTCACCGTGTTGTCATTGAATAGCATGGAATTAAACCTTCAGAGTATATGTTTTGTGACTGGTACCAAGAGTTGACAGATCCCACACATGTGTCACTCCTTGAAATGCAATAATCAGCTCTATTCAAATAATGTCTAATATAAATATTACCTAGAATGTGTACAAAAAGAAAAATATGGCAAATTTGTAGTTTTTTTGCAGGCTTTAGGTTTGCTGGTAGCTTTAAGGGCATATATTTGGGAATTTCTTAATAGCTGTGAATATAGTGTGGATGTTTGTTCAGTTCCTGAACAACGAAAAATATTCAACTTTATGGATGTATGGATATCAAAAAGGTGGAGAATAACGGACTGTTGTTGGTGAAATTGGCCCTTAGAGTATTTTCGGCTTAGTTGACCTTGAAGCAATTTTTATTCTTGTTTGGTAAGCTAACAAGGGGCGAGCTTTTATATGGGAATTTCGCAAGTTCATTATAAATTATCATTACTATTACTGTTGGAAGGTGCCAACACCTGAGCATTGCTTTTTATCAGGTGTCTGTAGATACGTGGACATGTTGAGTGATTCTGTTCAAACTCTAATTATACTACTTTGCTGCTACGTGCACAATAATTGCAGGAGCGTCAAGGTTTTGGCAAAAATGCAATTGCTATTATTTTTGACTTGCATCGGCGTCTATTCTCACCTGTTTCATATTTGTGTAAGCTTACTTTTTTACTTGTTACACGCTTGATAAATGTAGGTAGGCAGTATTTCTGATGAACTTATGTCTAACTGGGTTCCTGAATATTTGCATTTTCACGGAAACCTAAACTAAGGAATTTCCCATAACGCCTTGACTAATCGATCTGGTTTGATAGAAAGAACACAGAAATAGCCGCACGGACAATAGAACTAGTGACTTCCATTCTTACATTTCTTGATTTAAAAAAACAAATTGTTGACATTTTGTCGAGATAAAACTTTTTCTTGTGAAGACAGCACTGTGAGAGTATTCAAGTCCAAAATCTTGTTTGTTTTAGTTTGCTGTGTCTTTTACAAATAATTGTTTTAGAAACCCTCCATTTATTCCTCATTTCGTGACAAAATTTCGCCTTGTATCTAACTTTATGAATGTATAACCCCTATTTGGCGATACAGACCCTGGGTATATAATGTGCAAAAACATCAAAAAATGTAGACAATCATGTTAGGCTGAATATCCTTAAACCAAGATTATCACTTAAACAGCAGAATACGAAACTGTATTTTTGCGCTGATATAGATAAACGAGTACTTGAGTACGTACGTGACACAGAACAAATTCCTCTTATATGAGTGGTATTGGCGTCCCTATTATACAGGGAAAACCAAATTTGTGTGACGGCTTGAGCTCCGGCGTAAACAAAACATTTATTTACCAACTTATCGAACTTGTTGAAATTTTAATTTATGGTGAGCGCCTTCAAAGTGCTACCGCGGCTTCGCGAGTGAATGCAGATCGCTTTCCCAAACGTAACCATTCGTTACTGTTTCGCGACACATTAGATCTTTTAGTTGGAAAGTCCAACTTTGAAGACACCATCATATGCTTGGCCGAATTTTACATATTTACCAATTGTTGCATTCCTCTATTCCAGACGATGAAATAGTCGTAGCAACTACCCGTCCAGAGACGATACCAGGAGACGTAGCGATAGCTGTTCATCCCAAAGATGAACGCTACAACAGGTGGATAGGAAAAGCCGTTTGGCATCCCTTCAGGAATGAAGCGATTCCAGTTATTGCAGACGAATTCGTCGATCCGCAGTTTGGTACAGGTTCGTTATTTTGTTTGCTTTTGTCTTTTACATACTCGAAAACTTGGCAACCACTTATTTTTTGGAAAAAAGGTTCAGAGTGTCAAAATAGGAATTTGTCGATGACCTCAGATGTGATCTAAACAATGACCTCAGAGGTCATTTGAAGGTCTTTTTTTTTAAATTATTTAAACCATCATTTTTGACAACAGATTCGTTTCGGTCTCGAAATTCCAGATCAGAGTGCATTTTCATATATGAGGTCAAGCGGTCGTAAGTGGTTCAATCAGCATGACCTCTGAAAAGTACACGAACATCCCGAAAATTTGGCAAACACGCATTTTTTGGGAAAAAGGGCTAACAAAAGTTACATCTTATGAAAAACAATTTGTGGAGGTCCTTAAATATGACCTAAAAATTACCTCAGAGGTCATTTGGAGGTCAACTTTGTAAATTCAAATAGCAACCACCATTTTTGACAACAAATTTGTGTCGAACTTAAAATTCTACATCAGAGCGCATTTTCATACATGAGGTCAAGCGGTCATAAGTGGTTTGATCAGCATGACCTACAGTAACGTCGAAAAAGTACACGAACACCCCGAAAATTTGTCAACCATGAAATTTTCGGAAAAAAGGGTTCAAAATAAGTTACAGCTTATCAATCAAACTATTTGTAGACAACCTCAAATATGACCTCGACAATGACCTCAGAGGTCATTTGAAGGTCAATTTGATAAATTCAAATAGCGATCACCATTTTTGACAACAGATTCGCGTCGAGCTCGAAATTCTACATCAGAGTGCATTTTCATACATGAGGTCAAGCAGTCATAAGTGGTTTGATCAGCATGACCTACAGTAACGTCGAAAAAGTACACGAACACCCCGAAAATTTGTCAACCATGAAATTTTTGGGAAAAAGGGTTCAAAATAAGTTACAGCTTATCAATCAAACTATTTGTAGACAACCTCAAATATGACCTAGACAATGACCTCAGAAGTCATTTGGAGGTCAATTTGGTAAATTCAAATAGCGATCACCATTTTTGACAACAGATTCGTGTCGAGCCCGAAATTCTACATCAGAGTACATTTTCATATATGAGGTCAAGCGGTCATAAGTGGTTTGATCAGCATGACCTACAGTAATGTCAAAAAAGTACACGAACACCCCGAAAATTTGTCAACCATGAAATTTTTGGGAAAAAGGGTTAAAAATAAGTTACAGCTTATCAATAAAACTATTTGTAGACAACCTCAAATATGACCTCGACAATGACCTCAGAGGTCATTTGAAGGTCAATTTGATAAATTCAAATAGCGATCACCATTTTTGACAACAGATTCGTGTCGACCTCGAAATTTTACATCAGAGCGCATTTTCATATATGAGGTCAAGCGGTCATAAGTGGTTTGAACAGCATTACCTACAGTAACGTCGAAAAAGTACACGAACACCCAGAAAATTTGTCAACCACGCATTTTTTGGAAAAAAGGGCTAACAAAAGTGGCAGCTTATGAAAAACAATTTGTGGAGGTCCTCAAATATGACCTAAAAATGACCTCAGAGGTCATTTGGAGGTCAATTTTGTAATTTCAAACAGCGATCTCTATTTCTGACAACAGATTCATGTCGAGTTCAAAATTCTACATCAGAGTGCATTTTCATACATGAGGTCATGCGGTCATACGTGGATCAACCAGCATGGCCTACTACAATGACGGAAAACTACACGATGACCCCGAAAATTTGGCAACCACGCATTTCTTGGAAAAAATGGTTTTAAAGAAGTTACAGCTTATCAAAAAAACTATTTGTGGAAGACCTCAAATATGAATTAGACGATGACCTCAGAGGTCATTTGGTAGGCAAGTTTATAAATTTAAACAGCAACCACCATTTTTAACAACAGATTCGTGTCGAGCTCGAGATTCTACACCAACATGAGGTCAAGCGGTCATAACCAACATGATCTACTGTAACGTGCATCTACAGGGTGTCCGCAAAGTTGGGGTTTTCCTTTTAAGAAACAACTACCCTTGAAATAACAAAGGTAATGTGTAGTGAAACGAGGGCGACCAAGTAAAAAAAAATAAAGGAAAAAGTACTCACTCTCCAGTTGACGAGGAGGGCTAAGTACGTCACTGCCCGAAATCATACCGGTCCAACAGAAAATGAAATCAGCTGCTGCGCTACCGAGCAGACGCAGAAACCACATTGATTGTCTTACATTTAATGGTACATCTTCTAACAAGGAAGGCAAAATGTTGCGTAAAAAGTCTAGGTATTGCATCCCGACCAATCGATTTGGGAGAATAAATGGTCCAATGAGCATACCGTTCACCATGCCAGCCCAAAGATTCACCGAAAATGTTTGTTGAAAATGTGCCCGACGGACAGCGTGCGGATTTTCTACTGACCAAACATGAGTGTTGCGAAAGTTATTCACCCCATTACGCGTGAACGTAGATTCGTCTGTCACCAATATGCACTTCAAAAAGTCCGGATTATTGTCATGTTGATGCAACAACCACTCACAAAACCGCACTCTTGCTGGAAAATCATCAGGTTGATGGGCTTGTACACGTTGGACGTGAAACGGATACAGCCCCTCTTCACGCAGCGTTTGCCACACTTTAGTGTTTGATACTTGCACTTCTCTAGCCACGTCTCTAGTGCTTGTTGAGGGATTCGCCGCGATTACCTCTACACGCGTGACCGTAACCGTCGGTTGAAGCTTGCATACTGACCTGACACACTGACCCCGACCCAGTTCTGTCGTCGGGTTGAGCCAGTGACCTTGTACCAGTCGGTGATGTCGCGGCTACAGGACGGTATTCAGATATTTTTGATGTTGCAGAGCCCTTTATCTCGGTTCCCTTAAGACATTGGTGTATATGGTACTAAGAAAAATTGCTTATGTTTTCAAGATCTACACGTCGTGTAAAAGAAAACCCCAACTTTGCGGACACCAGTCTAACGCCACCACTGTCTTGTTGCATAGTAATATTAACGGCAGAGGGCTCCCTATTAATGCAATGAACAATAACTCAAATTGCAGAGTAATATATATTATTTACATGTTTTTCATACAATAACCACAAATATACACATCTATTCAATACTCACAGAAATGATTAAATACTGGCAATGGAGAAAACTGACGAGGATAGATGAATGTAGAATTGTACATGTAGCGAATAATAAAACTAATCTTCACGTTTTATCCTCTTTATCAACTGGGTCCGTAACTATAGCGAATGTCAGGAACAATATAAGAACTGAAGTGAAATCAAATAGCATTCAAAAATATGTTTTTATTTCTTTGGGATGGAGGATACTGAAGGCACTAAAGAAGTACGTTTAGACATTCCCCACTTTTTCTCACTGTGTTCATTCCAATATTCACAGTCCTTTACAAAACTTCAAACAATCAGCACTAACCTTCGGTACTTGAATTTTCCGATTTTGCGTCTAGCTTCTCCTTAATACTAATTTCGAACAGAACGTTCTCCGTTATCAAGACATTCTTCGTACACATCGTATCAATTTTCGCGTAATACTTATATTTGTCTTTTTGCATTTCCGGATATTTTTTCGAAAATCTGTGCGTTTGCAACTCGCAAATGTTCTGCAGGCAATACAAACAGTGCTGGTCTTCCGCGTAAAGGAAAACCCGCTCTTTGAACACTAGGTACCTTCTGTTGTGTTGATCCGAATACATTTTGATCTCGTAGTCGTAGATTTTGTTGTCGAAGTTGTAAACGCCAATGAGCACCATCTCACCGAACTTTATACAATGCACCATTATAAGAAACGGGACGTCATCCACCATAAGCAGTTTCATGAACGACTGCAAATGCGTGACGTTCTGCAGACTTAACGTCAGCTTGTCTTTGTGCAAAGACCCCGGGTGGCAGGTCTCGAAATGACCGATGTCGTTCAAGATAACAAAATGCAGTCCTTTATCTCTGCAATTCCAAAACGGGCACTCGATCTTCCGATGCGTGCAGGATCTCTCGTGTTTCTGCACCTCCGGCCACGATATCCGATCTGAACAGTCCTCGTGCGCGCAAGGGAAGCTCAGTTTGGCGCCGATGGATTCGTAAAGGGTGTTTCTGTTGTTCAAAATCGGCTCTCTGAACAGGCATCTGCCGCACTTGTTCACTTTGCCGTCATCCGAAGTCATTACTGGGGCCACGTTCAGGTAGTTGCTGCACACGCTGCATTTCAGGTTGTGGCTTTGGCTCTGCTCGATGTCCATCTGAAACAACTGAGAAAAATGTCGGTCAGTTTGTGCACGTAAAAATGTCGCTAATGTGTCTGAAGGCCATATGCCACGTTAGGATTTTTTTTTCATAATTTGGTACCAGTTTGTCTAGTCGACTTATCTTAAAAATACGAGCCCCTTCTCACTTCAGTTGGGCCACTTCAAGATTTGTACCAAAATATGCCTTTATGACGAAACTATTTACTTCTAAAACAATTTATTTTCTCAAAAACACTTTAGATACACTCTAGTCGTAAACAATACATATTTGAATTCACTTAGACCTATAACTAATAGAACATCTGAATAAATAAACAATGTGCGAATAATTGCGCGAAGTTAACAAAGCAACAATTGAAAAATTACCATTGGGTAACATCACCTTTATTTTTTATTACTGCTGAAATTCATTGGGGCATAGTGTTAACCAAGTTTTGGCAAAAATTTGGTGTAAAACAATCCCATATTTCTTGAAGCTTTTGTCTCAGTTCGGTGATTGTACGAGCAGGATGTTGTCGTAGAACCTTTTTCATCTCGTGCCACAAAGTTTCAATAGGTGACAGATCTGGACTGCTAGAAACCCATTTCAAAAGTGGTACATTATTTTCTTCCATCCATTTTATAGCATTGAAATGAAAATAGGTTGATATGCTGTCATTGCAATATGTGTTATTTTCATGCTGCAAATGTGATTAGGGAGTGATAAAGTTGCTGTTTTCTACTATATATTATCAAAATATTCATTGTTAATATTTTAAACCTATAGCACCCTGCCACATTTCTATTATTTGTGTTTGATAAGAAAAAAAAGATTTCAATAGTTGGGCCAACTGGGAAGGGGCTCGTACGTGGTGCATATATTCGTTGTTAAAAAATATGAAAAAAAGTTTCTATGAACGTGGGTCCGGAAATGCAGAGTTTTTTTTATTTCTTGCAAAATATTGGTTGTATTTTATTTTATTATTTAGCCCTAAATAGATTGAAATTATTAGATCCAGTGGCGTCCCAGGAGGCACCTTAGCGAATATTATTGGCCAAAAAATGCCTTCACTGCCTTTTTTGTAACTTTAATATTCGTTGATTGATTAAGCATCTAAAAATACAACTTCTTCGCCTCTTGTATTTTTTCCGTATCTTACTTCCTTTTCGAGAAAAAAAAAATAGAAACCTTCTTATTGTATGCCACTGGACAAAATTGGTTTATTTATTTTTGCTAAAGTGATTTGGAAGACAACAAATCATTTCCGGATGGAGGTTTGACGTTTGCGCGTCGGTTCTTCTAGAAAAGAATTATTCACGTGATTTTCTATTCGAAATTTTCCTAAAAAGTTTTTTCTCTGTTTTGAGTTTGACGAGGCAGTTTTATGAGCCGTGGAATAAAATCAATCCTGAGAATTTTCAAGATAGAGGGTGATAAATTAAATATTTTTTTAACGGGGAATCATCCTCTATAATACCTCCGTCTATTTTTCGAACATCCTGTATATTTAATATCATAAAAAGCGCCTGTCATTTTCACGAACATATACAGAATGCTTCAAATAAAAAAAACTTGGTAGTACTTTCCTAGTACACTACAATTTCTACAGGATATTCCTTAATGATATGCGAATATAAACTATGGTCCAAAAATGATTCCTTACAAAAATTCGGAGTGTTGAAGTTTTAGGAAAAAAATGGAAATTAATTAATATTTTCATAACCGATTCAGATATTTTACTGATATTTAGTACGTAGTGAAAGTTAATAAAGTTGCATATTTTTCAATGCAAAAATAATTTTTAGTTTTAACAGCGGCGTGCGTACGCGTATTGACTTCGATATTTTTTAAGAAAAAAATGGTACGCCAATGGTTTTTTGCCAAGTAAAAATTACTTTTGAATTCCCCGTTCAATTTAAAATAAATGATCTCGCTTGAATTGTTTTCTTTCGATGCGCCATTTTTGAGTAAAAAAATAAAAACCATTCTATTTTCTAACTTGCAAAATTATTATTAATTTAATTAAGAAAAATGTTGAAAATGGCCCCCTTCACTTAGTATGCATGCTTCCGCCCTCCTTCTCATGGAATTTCGCACTCATTGAAATAACCCTGGAGTGTTTTTTATTCTATCACAAGCTGCAACTATTCTTCCTCTTATTTCCTCTACAGTGTTAATGGGACTTGTGTACACTAGTGTCTTGAGATAGCCCCACAAAAAGAAATCTAAACTGTTGAGGTCTGGGGACCCTGGTGGCCATTCTTGGGGCCCACCGCGGCCAATCCAACGATTTGGATAAACAGTTTGTAAATAATTACGAATCGCTACACTGAAATGCGTTGGTCCACCACATATTGTTTCTTATTACTAACGGAACATCATCAAGCAGCAAAGGCAAATGTTGTTGAAGAAAATTGAGGTAAGTCTGTCCGTCAAGTCGTCCCGGCAAGAAGAATGGGCCAATAAAGTGGTTGCCAATAATTCCTGCCCATACGTTAACCGAAAATTGCTGTTGGAAATGGGTTTCGGTTAAGGCTCCTCTACACGTTGGCCAATGTTTATCAGCCAGCGTGTACAGGATACTGTTGGTCGTATTGGCGACCGATCCGTCGTGGTGTCGGTTTTTCAAGACGCATCGAAGGCGTTGGCCTTGGAACTGGCGGACGCTGGTATTCTCGACCACACGTGGGCGATTCACTGGCCTAGTATGTGATCAGATGTTGTACACGTTGGCCAATGCGTTGGCCAACACGCTGGCCAATGTTTATCAGCCAGCGTGTAGAGGATACTGTTGGTCGTATTGGCGACCGATCCGTCGCGGTGTCGGATTTTCAAGACGCATCAAAAGCGTTGGACTTGGAACTGGCGGACGCTGGTATTCTCGTCCACACGTTGGGGATTCACTGGCCTAGTATGTGATCAGATGTTGTACACGTTGGCCAATGCGTTGACCAACACGTTGGTCAATGTTTATCAGCCAGCGTGTAGAGGATACTGTTGGTCGTATTGGCGACCGATCCGTCGTGGTGTCGGTTTTTCAAGACGCATCAAAAGCGTTGGCCTTGGAACTGGCGGATGCTGGTATTCTCGTCCACACGTGGGGGATTCGCTGGCCTAGTATGTGATCAGATGTTGTACACGTTGACCAATGCGTTGGCCAACACACTGGCCAATGTTTATCAGCTAGCGAGTACAGGATACTGTTGGTCGTATTGGCGACCGATCCGTCGTGGTGTCGGTTTTTCAAGACGCATCAAAGGCGTTGGCCTTGGAACTGGTGGACGCTGGTATTCTCGTCAACACGTTGGGGATTCACTGGCCTAGTATGTGATCAGATGTTGTACACGTTGGCCAATGCGTTGGCCAACACGCTGGCCAATGTTTATCGGCCAGCGTGTACAGGATACTGTTGGTCGTATTGGCGACCGATCCGTCGCGGTGTCGGATTTTCAAGACGCATCAGAAGCGTTGGCCTTGGAACTGGCGGACGCTGGTATTCTCGTCCACACGTTGGGGATTCACTGGCCTAGTATGTGATCAGATGTTGTACACGTTGGCCAATGCGTTGGCCAACACGCTGGCCAATGTTTATCAGCCAGCGTGTAGAGGATACTGTTGGTCGTATTGGCGACCGATCCGTCGCGGTGTCGGATTTTCAAGACGCATCAAAAGCGTTGGACTTGGAACTGGCGGACGCTGGTATTCTCGTCCACACGTTGGGGATTCACTGGCCTAGTATGTGATCAGATGTTGTACACGTTGGCCAATGCGTTGACCAACACGTTGGTCAATGTTTATCAGCCAGCGTGTAGAGGATACTGTTGGTCGTATTGGCGACCGATTCGTCGTGGTGTCGGTTTTTCAAGACGCATCAAAAGCGTTGGCCTTGGAACTGGCAGACGCTGGTATTCTCGTCCACACGTTGGGGATTCACTGGCCTAGTATGTGATCAGATGTTGTACACGTTGGCCAATGCGTTGACCAACACGTTGGTCAATGTTTATCAGCCAGCGTGTAGAGGATACTGTTGGTCGTATTGGCGACCGATTCGTCGTGGTGTCGGTTTTTCAAGACGCATCAAAAGCGTTGGCCTTGGAACTGGCAGACGCTGGTATTCTCGTCCACACGTTGGGGATTCGCTAGCCTAGTATGTGATCAGATGTTGTACACGTTGGCCAATGCGTTGGCCAACAAGCTGGTCAATGTTTATCAGCCAGCGTGTAGAGGATACTGTTGGTCGTATTGGCGACCGATCCGTCGCGGTGTCGGATTTTCAAGACGCATGAAAAGCGTTGGCCTTGGAACTGGCGGAGGCTGGTATTCTCGTCCACACGTTGGGGATTCACTGGCCTAGTGTGTGATCAGATGTTGTAGGGCACGGGTGTTTTTAAGTGCCTTTGATGTGTGGTGCTTATAGATTTTTACAAGTTTGTAATGATACACACTTACGTAGTACCTAAATGCAGTAAATAAATAAACTGCAGCAGCTGCTACTCTCATGATCTCCTTGTTGTTCATATAAACGTCCTTACAACAGTTCCAACATGTGAACAGATAGTCCAATGTCCTTGCGTTGGCCAACGTGTAGAGGAGCCTTTACGGCATAGGGATTTTCTTCTGCCCACAAATGATTATTGTGGAAATTCTGAATGGCATTTCGAGAAAAATTAGCTTCGTCCGGGAACAGAATCATTGATTCAAATTGCGGATTTTGTGTAATTTTTTAAGATACCGCTGACAAAAGGTCACACGCCTTGGAAAGTCAATTGGAAGTCATGCCTGTACTATTAAAATATGGTAAGGATATAACAAAAAATCCACTAAAATTCTTCAAACAATTTGATGGCAAAATAAGTGTCTTCGTGCAATTTCAGGTGTTCTGACACTTAGAGGTCTACCTTCAGATGTTCCTTTTCGGACAGAACCAGTTTAAACAAGACGACGATGCATATGAGAAAAGGTTAGACTATCTGGCAAAGCACGATCGGGATATCTCTGGTGATAAATCCGTCTGGCTTGCTCACCATTACCGTCGGCAAGGCCATATACGTAATGCATTTCTGCATTTGAATAATTCACCATTATTAACAAGATTGCAAAAACTAAATAATGAAGAAGATATCAAAGCGAACAGATTTGAGTAACAGACGTGTCAGATGTCAAAAGCCAGTGACATATTCCAGAGCGACTAGATATTTATTGCTAAATAACTTACTGAATCGTGGGACATTGAAAGAACTGTCTCGATGTACTTCATGTTCACGTGGATATGCTACATATTATGTATGGTTAATTCGAGCGATGTTGTATAAAATTGCGATCGCCTCAGGTGACTCAACGTTTATTTGTTCGTAAGAAAAAGATAATCACTTAATGCTCAGCGTTACAAAGGAATAATCTCTCGTTATTATAATAACCCTGATTGACGTCAAACTTGCTGTTTGCTTTTTTATCTTCCGGGAACATCGTTTATAGTACTTGAAACACTTCAGCGTTCCAAGGTGTCATGTCGTTAGGTAACCAATTATGTAATTTTCTCAGCTGAATATAATAAAATCAATATCTGACAACGAGACCTTACATCTTTCGGCAGGGGTATTGAGAATCTTGAAAAGTGTCGTTTTTTTGATATTCTATAGGTTTTTTCGAGACATTATACAGGGTGTCCCGAAAAAAGTGTGCAATATTCTATCGGCGGTTTCTAAAACTTAAAATAGGAAGAAAAGTTTATATAAACACAGGTCCACAAACGTCCCCTAAGGGCGGTACGGTCTTTTAAAGGGGCTCCCCTGAAGATGGATTTTCCTTAATATTTCCGACACGTGTTGAGATAAAGACATAGAATTTGGTATTCTAGCCGAGTTTTTTATGCTGGATTTAAAAATATTAACAATTTTAGGCAGTTTTGTTTTGAAGCGTATGGAACAGGGAGGGACTCAGGTTATTTTAGCCCCAACATTTTTGTGTGATTATATTTTTGAAATTCAATTTTAGAATTTGAAAGTTTAAGGTTTTCTACATAAAAAAGGTACTCTTATAGGATATCGATAAATTGTGCCATTTTTGAATAAAATCAAACTAAAAAATTTGTCACATGATAGGAAATGTACTGCGAATTTAAATGAATTGTTGAATAATTAGTCTTGGCAACGGAAAAACTAATTTAATAATTGGTAAATATTACATAAATACATATTCCTATTGCAACATAGCTAACATTTAGGCAAAAACAAAAGAAATAAATTTTTTATACAAACGAAATTCAAATTTGTTTATAAAAGAAGACATACAGTTGCATATACTTAAGACTAGCTTTACAATAAGTGTTCAAATAAATTCCCAGTTTGTTTGATAGAGAGTCTCGCTCGACGAGCTAATGATTGCGTAGCCCGAAAAGCGGAAAACCTTTTTCTTCTTATTTCATTTGCAGCCTGATGGATTCTTTGAAGTAAATCTTCTCGAGTATTTACTTCGGTCGAGTAAACTAGGTCTTTTAATGACCCCCAAAAATAGTACGTACACAAAATGTCAGTCAGTTCTCTGTCTGTAAATCTTGTCATTTTAAACCGATTTAATAAAATTTTTGATTTTAATCTAGTAATTTTATACTGCTCACAATGTCAGCTTAACGTCAAAATAAGTCATAACAAATCAAAACAACTTTTATTTGCAGTCATGGCTAACTATGTACTGTATAATCAACAATTCATTTAAATTCGCAGTACATTTCCTATCATGTGACATATTTTTTGGTTTGATTTTATTCAAAAATGGCACAATTTATCAATATTCAATAAGAGTACCTTTTTTATGTAGAAGACCCTAAATTTCCAAATTCTAAAATTGAATTTCAAAAATAGAATCACACAAAAATTTTGGGGTTAAAATAACCTGAGTCCGTTCCTGTTACATACGCTTCCAAACAAAACTGTCTAAAATTGTTAATATTTTGAAATCCAGCATAAAAAACTAGGCTAGAATACCAAATTCTATGTCTTTATCTCAACACGTTTCGGAAATATTAAGGAAAAACCATCTTTACGGGAGCCCCTTTAAAAGACCGTAGCGCCCTTAGGGGACGTTTGTCGACCTATGTTTATATAAACTTTTCTTCCTATTTTAAGCTCCAGAAACCGCTGGTAGAATATTGAACACCTTTTTCGGGACACCCTGTATAAGTCGACTGTTGTTAAGTGACGTGCACACGTTTTGTAGCTATACGTGTTGCCTAAACGTCATTACGCTTGAGTTATCATGGTTTGGTTTTGATGTGCTTCAGAGATGGCACTATTCTAGGTTATAACGTATGGATAGCTTGGATAGCTCTTCAGGCAGTTTGGGATGCTATTATTGACAGGAAGATAACGTTCTCATTCTGTGCGGTGTCTGCGTGCTTCACGAACAGAAACTTAATAAAGAAATGCGTATTTTCGCTTGCCGCCATCTCGACTACGAATTGGTGTCATTTCGCGAGAGCTGGAAAAGTGTGGATCCCGAGAAGAGACAGATTTACACGGAAAAGTTATTATGCCTAAGTATTTCAGAGAATGACAAGCTGCTAATCACCATAATCCTACTAATTTTTATAATCTAATGTAAAACGTTTTTAAATTGGGTAACTAACAAACAAATGGCATTAAGTTTTTGTAGTCAGTAAGTAAGTTTCATCAAATTAAATATTTAAAACACACATGACAACAGCGCGTCGGACATTCATCGCTCTTATCGAGCCGGCAATCGATCGCAAACGGTAACAGTGGTTAGTTATTGTTCGCGTACGTCGTCGTGTTTATTTACAATGTTTTTACATTATCCAAATCGCTGGATCGGTCGAAATGCTTCTGATCCTCGAAAATGGCCACCAAGATCTCCTGACCTCAATCCGATGGATTTCTGGTATTGGGGAGAACTTAGAGGGATGGTTTATGGTGCTGGTCCAATGACAACTGAAGCACAACTTCGCGAAAAAAAAAAATTACGCGGCTGAAATAATAAATGGACAACTTCGAGGATCCAGAGTAAGAAGAAACTGGATTCGTCGCAATGAAGCTTGTGTTTAAAGTGGACCCATTTAAATAATAACTATCATAACGTTTAAACTCTGTATGCCATCGTGGCAACATACGTGAAACGGTGGTTGCAACGCACATTAGCGGTAAAAGTACCAAACCAGGATTTATGCTTTTTAAAGGCATTGATTTCTTACGAAAGAACTGTCAAAACCATTTCAAAAGCAGCTTCACAAATTCACAATTGGGGATAAGTCGGGAGATCTTGGTGGCCATGGTAACAATGTGACATCATTATGTTGAAAGAAGTCTATTGTGACTCTTGCAACATGTGGTCGTGCATTATCTTGTTGGAAAGTTGGATCTGCCAGGGTGTCTACATAGGGTAAAAGATGGGGTTCTAGAACTTCGTGGATATAACGCTGCGCGTTCATGTTACCTCTGATGAAGATTAAAGGTGACCTGGAACCATAAGCTATAGCACCCCAAACCATAACTCCAACAGTGTGATGAACATGTCTTTCAACAAAAAACTGTGGATTCCTCCTTTCACCACGTCGCCTTCTAACCCTGGCACGACCATCGTGCATGCCTAAACAAAATCGAGACTCGTCACTAAAGACAATACTGTTCCATTCCTGATCCCAGAGGGACCGTTGTCTGCACCACTCAAGGCGATTACGTTGGTGTTCTCGAGTTAAAGGGAGGACCCAGTGTGGCCGGTATGAAAACAAGCCAAAACTTCTCATTCGTCGGTAAACACTTCGCATGCCAATAGGTCTTCCGTGTTCTGCAAACCATTCATTTGCAATGGACCTGGTAGTGGAGAAATGGTCCCTTAAGGCCAATAATCTTAGGCGGCGATCTTCACGGTCTGTTGTTCTACGGCGGCGTCGAGTGCCCCTTGCTCTTTGCGTACGGCCTTCTCGAAGCCATGCCTGACAACACCTAACCACAGTGTCTACACTGCTTTGCGCTCTAACTGCAATTGCCCGAAAAGAAAGTCCAGCTTCCCGAAGTCCCATTATACGGCCTCTATAAAACTCACTAAGTTGACGAAATCGTACAGGTCTCCGTACTCTAGGCATCGTAACCGATCGTAAAGGATGTCAAGAACCAAAATCCGCCAAAGTTGATTCTTTACTGCGGCTGAAATATTCATTTTTAGAGCGTTAGTGAATTAAAAAAAAAGCAGTATAAAAACCGGAATGTCCAACTGATAAGGCTGAACATTTTTTCACTTGTTATTTACAGTAAGATAAATACATTCGCCAACTTTTATTAAAATAAAACCATTTAAACTGGGTGTTCGGATTTATATGTCAGTATACATATCTTGGCCCACTTTATGGTGAATCGGACGTTGTTTGCCCCCTAGTCAACTATTTTTTTGAGGCTCAAAGTCAGAACACCTGGTACGTAAGACCTAGGACGATTAAGACATTTGCATTGGTACGAATACTTAACGCGACGCTTCTCGCCGTGACGAAATGCTGCAAGCACTACCGGGGTGGGGCGTGTGCCGCGTTTCCAGATAATTTCACACTTCGGACAGAAAAGGCTGAAAGCTTTCCCCTGTCCGAAAAAAATACTCACAATGTCAGCATCATCCACAACGAAGGTGGGAGTACGCGAACGGTCACTATCACAGCCATTGAAACGACCATTTGCTGGCAAGGCGGGCATGATGTCGATGGCGATGTAAAAAACGGAACACAACTCACCGGCGATAACCACCGTCGGCACAATATTGTGGAAATGATGCAATTAGGCGGACACCTATTTATATATTACGAATACCTAGTAGTTGGTTCGATCACGATTTTATTTTCATTGGATTCCAGATTCGCCGCTTTACCGGTCAAAATCCTCGAATGTAGGAATTCCCCGTCGATGTAGAAAAAACATCGTTTGGCACGACTGAAAGTTGTAAAGCGCATAAACGTAATTCCGGAGATGATGTGTCCTTACACTGAATAAAGATTCGATTATTTATACATTCAGTCTCTACAGATTACAAAGGAGGGGGTTGGCTTGCTATCCATAACGACACTTCAACCAAAATGGATCTGTTGTGACCCCCATGTGTCCAGTCTTGATCCTTTAATCAGCATGGCCTTGACACAGTGCCTTGCAGGTAGCTTCCCGCTGTTGGATTTGTGATTCCCACTGTCTGAAACCGTACCCCTGCCAAGCTTTTGAAGTGACCCAGGAGATGCTCTGGCCCAACTAACAATTATCACTCCTATTAGAGTTGCAAGAATGATTATACAGTATTCCTTAAACAGCATTGTAAACTGTAACCCTCTTAGAACAGCTATACAAGCGGAATGGGCACACCTAATAGCACACTTCAGTTATTTAAGAGGTTAAATAAGGGCTGCAGGTAACAGTTATACAACAAAAGTGTAAGCCTCTCGCAGCCGCTATAGGACATTCGCGTCAGTGCAAGATTCAGTTTTTGTCAACTATACAACTATTCTGTTACGTGATTCTACTTTATTGCAACCAAAAAAATTTCTTATGTATTGTATAGACGAAGTGAAGAATATATACTAAGTGACATATAAATCCGAACACCCAGTTTAAATGGTTTATTTTAATAAAAGTTGGTGAATGTATTTATCTTACTGTAAATAACAAGTGAAAAAATGTTCAGCCTTATCAGTTGGACATTCCGGTTTTTATCCTGCTTTTTTTTAATTCACTAACGCTCTAAAAATGAATATTTCAGCCGCAGTAAAGAATCAACGTTAGCGGATTTTGGTTCTTGACATCCTTTACGATCGGTTACGATGCCTAGAGTACGGAGACCTGTACGATTTCGTCAACTTAGTGAGTTTGATAGGGGCCGTACAGTGGGACTTCGGGAAGCTGGACTTTCTTTTCGGGCAATTGCAGTTAGAGTGCAAAGAAGTGTAGACACTGTGGTTAGGTGTTGTCAGGCATGGCTTCGAGAAGGCCGTACGCAAAGAGCAAGGGGCACTGGACGCCGCCGTAGAACAATAGACCGTGAAGATCGCCGCCTAAGATTATTGGCCTTAAGGGACCGTTTCTCCACTACCAGGTCCATTGCAAATGAATGGTTTGCAGAACACGGAATACCTATTGGCATGCGAAGTGTTTACCGACGAATGAGAAGTTTTGGCTTGTTTTCATACCAGCCACACTGGGTCCTCCCTTTAACTCGAGAACACCGACGCCTTGAGTGGTGCAGACAACGGTCACTCTGGGATCAGGAATGGAACAGTATTGTCTTTAGTGACGTGTCTCGATTTTGTTTAGGCATGTACGATGGTCGTGCCAGGGTTAGAAGGCGACGTGGTGAAAGGAGGAATCCACAGTTTTTTGTTGAAAGACATGTTCATCACACTGTTGGAGTTATCGTTTGGGGTGCTATAGCTTATGGTTCCAGGTCACCTTTAATCTTCATCAGAGGTAACATGAACGCGCAGCGTTATATCCACGAAGTTCTAGAACCCCATCTTTTACCCTATCTTGACACCCTGGCAGATCCAACTTTCCAACAAGATAATGCCCGACCACATGTTGCAAGAGTCACAATAGACTTCTTTCAACATAATGATGTCACATTGTTACCATGGCCACCAAGATCTCCCGACTTATCCCCAATTGAGCACGTGTGGGATATGATGGGTAGGAGATTGCTCAATTTGCAACGTCCTCCTCAGACTCTAGAAGCACTTCGAGAGGAGTAGGTGGTTGCCTGGAATGAGATACCACAGGAGGACATTGACCACCTGATCAGAAGCATGCCTAGGCGCGTTGGAGAATGCGTAGCACATCAGGGTACATCCAAACATTATTAAAGGTCAAAGGGCTTTAAAGCAGTGCAATCATTTTGAAATTTTTATCATTTACTTATTATGCTTCATTAAGTACTTATACAAAATTTTATTAAAATAAAACCATTTAAACTGGGTGTTCGGATTTATATGTCACTTAGTATATTTTCCGCGCCGCCGCTGCAGCTTTCGTACCAAGTTTGTACTCATACAGTAAACAACTTCGAATTACTGTTTTATTCGTCGCCATTTTCAATTATTAAAACTAGGTATGTAACAATTTTCAGCAACCGCAACTTATTTGGTTACCTGATATTATAGTTGTAAAAACTATGCATACGAATGGTCATCATGTTACCCGCAATCGGCGACTGGAAAACGTTGGTTTTGCGAGCAATAGGTTGAAAAAGCATTTATCCTAGTAGTCAATTGGTATGACCTTCAAGTAGGTCATGTGGCTTTTGTCCGCAGCAGTTTTTCCTGCTCCAGAGACGTTCCTTTTGAATGAGACTGGAAGGATATTCTGTGGCTTCTCCTCAACTCCAGAACGTCCCATTTGCTGCCTTTATCGCTCTCCCTAGGACTATAACTGGGATGACCTTGAATACCTCGCGTTCAAGATCGATTTCCTGAATATCAATCACCCTGGTTCACAGGTAGTTCTCCTTGGTGATTTCGACGTCCATAATGAGCAGTGGCTGGGCTCGAACGAGACCGATGCAGCAGGTCGTGCAGTTGGAGCGTTCACTATTACCCCCAAGGGCTGGCCCAGCTGGAGACGAGCCCTACTTGTTTCATCACGTTGGATCTCTTTCTGACCACGCACCATGTCCCTTTCAGCACTACTGTCCTGTCGCCCCAGGGTGAGACAGACCACGGTGTCACGTGGAGAAGACTAGACAAGCCAACGCGACGTTTAGTCTAGAAACAAATATAACGAAGCGCTTCGCAATGCCAAAGACCAACATGATGTAAAGGTCAGGAACAGGGTAATGTCGCAGCGCAATGTCAGTCCGTCTTTCTGGACGCTGGCCAAGCAGATTGAAGATCTGCTTCTCAAAAGGTAGGTAGCCTTCCACCGCTTGACAGGATGCAACGATTGTAACTGACTCAAGGCTAAGGCGGAAGTGCTTGCCGTCGATTCAAAGGGTTCTCTACCTTATGCAGGGGGTAACCTTTAGGAATGAGATCGTAAGACGGGCGATCTTGTCGCTCGACATCAACAAAGCTTCTGGTCCACACTAGAATCCTGCCATTGTATTGAAGACTTGTAAAGTGGAGCTTGCTCGAATTCTTTCGCGTCTGTTCCAGATATGCTACGAATCCGGCACTTTCCCAGATGGACTGGAAAATGCCTCGCAATATTTCTGCAGATTTGTCATGTATATTGTGCAGCAAGGTTGATTTTTCCTATGTTGGTATAATTTTGCAGTTATTTGGAGATGTACGTATAGAGAGCGCTGTTGTTGAAGCAGGAATCTATATTGTTTTGGAAACATTACTGTTTATCCAGATCATTTTAGTGAGCTTTGCAGGAGATACTATATTAATGCTCACCAATTATGAAAATAGAGTAACGGATACAATAGACTTAAACTAGATACAGAATCGTCATTTAATTATTGTTGCAACACTGTGTTTTGTATAAAAATGTGGAGTATACGCAGCGTTCAAAAAATAACCACCCATCAATCTCTTCTCGGCTCTGAAATGTAAACGTTTTGAATAATCTATCTCAGTTTCTATTTTCGAACTTTACAACATATACTTTGCTAATAGACAAGAGATAAAACTGATGATGAAGACAAGAGATAAAACTGATGATGAAACACCTAAAAACGTTTTCAACAAACAGATCAAAGATAAATTTTATGTTAATAACAATAATAATTTCTTCTCATCCTCGATGCAGTTTTTTTTACTTTCCACGCCCAGCGGCCTTTATGAGCTGATAATGGCGTGACATGGGAAGTCTAAAGTCTACCTACTTGACGCTTTGTATCACTATGAGAAACAATGAAAATCCTCGACAACTAAAAAGATAACGACTTGCACGTTTTTCGTTTTGTTTGCGCTAACTCTACCGACAGTCCACTGATTTTCAAAAGTCACAAAGTGCAAGTGCCAAAACATCAAAATCCAAATAGTGATTCTCAGGCCAAGGATTATTGGACACATTGCTGTGCGATTCCGCTTGACTATAACGTAACTGCGTCTGATGTTTGATGTAGTCCCTTAGATAAGGGATGTCGAGGACTCTTTGAAGCTTCTCGTTGGAGACATACCATGGCGCGTTGTGATGGTTCGCAAGGTTCTGTTCTGCGAAACCTGCAGATTCCGCATATGCGTTTTGGCAAGAATACACCATGCTGCACATGCGTAAGTGATTGCTGGTCTGATAACCATCTTGTATAGCCGAACTTTGTTAACCAAACTTAATTTTGAGGTTCTACATAGCAAAGAGTAGAGTTACCGAAACGTAATGTCGAATCTAGTTTTTAATGCTTCAGTGTGATTCTACCAGGACATTCCGCTGTCAAGAGTGACACCGAGATACCTGGCAGAATTTCCCCATGGTATGCGAGCTCCATTCACTGAAACCTCAGGCGGGGCGCTCCTACATTTCTTAGTACAATAGATAGCCTGCCTTTTCGAGTAATTAATTATGATTAGCCACCGATCTGTCCATTCCAATACCTCACCCACCGCTCTTTGTAACCTGTCGTGAACCAGATTGCCGGTACGCGACTGGGCTACCAGTGCAGTGTCATCAGCATATAGACAGACTTCACAGTCGCTAGGGCAAGGAACATCATGCGTGAACAGTGAGTAAAGGATTGGCCCTAGAACCGAACCCTGACGAACGCCGGCTCTGATGGGCTGCACTGTCGACAAGACATTCTTAATTTTGATCCGAAATTTCCTACAATTCCTTTGGAATCATTATCACTTCCACGCCGATGGAAAGTACTGGATCCTCAGCACGGCATTGATAATAGCCAAAAGATAAGCCAAGGACTTTCGTGAAAGCAGCTTCAGCACTTTATTAGTGATTTGATCCTCCCCAGGCGCTTTACGCACCTTGAGGTCTTTACTATGACCTTGAAGCTCCGCTGGTGTGCAATGCCGGATCTCGGGAGAAGCCGCTGATGTGC